TTTTATTAGTAAATGCGTACATTTACTGTTGGTTGGTTTTGTGGAGTAAATGTATACATCTACTATAGGTTGTATATTCACTTTGCTTCCAAGGGGCCTTCCATAAATTACGTCACATCCATTTAGGGGATTCGAGACACCCCCCTACCCCCATGTCACTCAGAATATACAGTGTGACCCATTTGTTTGCGACTCAACCATGATTTTATCCGGATTTGTTTTAAAGTGTAGATCTTGATAAACTGTATTATTGGAGCACACTATATTTTTACAAAATACAAAACCTACTATGTCAGTTTTTGAAAGTATTTTTTTAAGAATTCGTATTTTTTTTTAGTTTTTTTATTTAATTTTAATGTGCCTTCAACAGGCACCAGGCCCAATTACAGAAGTACAAACAAATAAACAGCCATACCCCTGGTGGGATTCGAACCCACGACCTCTCGGCTTGTAGTCCGCCGTGCTAACTACTGCACCACCGAGGGCGGTAGCGATTAAAAAAAATATCTATGCACTGCACTGGATTCACCACCCCTCAAAACGACCCTATACTAAATTTTATTGAATTTTGTTTAAGTAGGAACGATTTTGGAGCTAAATTAAAACTGCAAAATAATTACTATTTTCAAAAATTTATTCTGTCAAGTTATCCATGAAAAAAACATTTAAATAAAATTAAACTAATAGTAACATGGTATAAATGGATAACGCTTATTTAAAAGGAACCAAGCACCAAAAAGTTTTTCTGGCGTTAGTAAAATTATTTGTAAAATAACTCATTTTTAATAATGCTCAAAAGGTTGATCATCATTTTAAACTTTTTTCAAAAGGATTGAGAGGGTTCCCAAATCATTATTAATATTTTGAGCAGCATTAAAAGTTATTTTGCAAATAATTTTGTTTACCTCAGAAAAAGGTTTATGCGCTTGGTTTATTTTCGATAAACGCTATCCAAATCTTAAAATATTTTGATAGCGTTTTAACAAATAAAAAATGCAATAGTATGTTAAAACAATAAAACAAAAAATTCCGACAATTACATTTTCGTCATTTCTACTAATCCAACATTTATTTTAATACACTTTCATATTTGTTCTGGAGAAATGGCTGCGCAGGCTTGTATTACCCTACCGTAGTTCTTTTGCAGTAGAATTTTTTGAATTCTCTATTTTTTGTTTCATTGTTGTTTTATGTTGCGTTTTTTATTTATCAAAACTAAGCAGCGGCTGGTGGATTTTGCGTATACCGATATCTTGGTTATTAGAAATGGGACCCACACCAAATTTATATGAGTTTATAATGGCACTAAATTAACAAGTTCTGCGCATGCAGAATTTAAATAGAACTTTTCCTAAAATAATAAAAAATAAATTAAAATCTGTAACTTGGATTTTTTAAATAAAATTTGAAGTTTGTCAATAAACTATGGTAAATTATAAATTGCACCACTAAAATTTGTATTATCTTTATTAGAGGGGCCAGGCTGCAGCAAAAACTATATTTTTTTCGTAAACTTCTATTTAAATTCTGCTTGCGCAGAACTCATAAATTTGGTGTGGGTCCCATGTCTAATAACTGAGATATGTCATATGCAAAATCCACCAGCCGCTACTGAAACTAAGCATAAGAATATTTATACCATGTTACTATTGGTTTAATTTTATTTCAATGTTTTTTCTTGAATAACTTGACATAATTAATTATCGTAAATGGTTATTATTGTTCATTTTTAATTTGACAACAAAATCGTTCCTACTTAAAAATGTTTAATAAAATTTAGTATAGGGTCGTTTTGAGGGGAATCCAGTGCCGGGCATATATTTTTATTTTTTAAATGGGTAATATGAATTTTTAAAAATTTACTCTTAAAAACTGACAAAGTAGGCCTTGTATTTTGTAAAAATATGGCGTTTTTGATTATTATAAAAAACAACAAAATCGGGAAATTATAAATTTACAAGTGCCCACAGCTCCACAGCCTATAAGCTGTGACTTCTGAGTTTGACACGTCAAACTCAAAAGTCACAGCTCACAGACTAACAGAAACCCAAGCTTTTTGTAGTAAAAAGTTGGGTTATAGTATTTGATTTGTCATTTACAGCCCCGTGACCAACCGAAAGACCAATCACGTAATTTACTACACAATAATTCACTACATACGTCACTTTCCCCGGTAATAGCGTTACTATAGCACACGAATCGTATGACACGATGTCACAAAGTCTTGACCCCCTCTAAACGTGTAATGTACTTTATGGACGACACCTAATTAGATTTAGTATATCGAGAGCTTTACGGCAGTACAACGTAACTGTAAAAAGCTTATTTTGTAAGCAAACACAAAAAACGCATAATAATATAATAATAAATATAAAATATCAGTATTTTTATTTTTTAGGTTCCATTATAGATGGAGCACGTTATTATAAACGTCAGTTAAAAGGTACTGCCCTAAAGCCGATATGCATTTACGGAATTTACACATTAACTATTTAAAACATGTGACGCCCTCCGAGAAATTGGCCCTTAGCGTCCCAGCGGCTATTTTAGAGGAGAAAGGAAAAAACGGGCGAGCGCTCTATTAAACACGGATGATGTTAAACGCGTTTTTACATACAAAATATTCAAAGAAAATTATTTCTCACAGGCTTTAATTAGTCTATAATGATCATAATCCAGAAATAGATTATTTTTTGGACGCTAAGGACCCTTTTTGCGGAGCGCGTCACTTATTGCACCAAAATTAAATCCTTTAGTAGTTTTTAAAAATATATTTTTTCTAACTACCGTTTGAGGTAGGTTTTACTTTTGACAAAATTAAAATTATTTAATTAATTCAAATATTTAAATATCAATACTAATAATAATAATGGTTATACTTTCAATATATACAATATATTTATGTATTGTATTTTGAGCCAAAGTAATTTTTTGCTCTTTATACATAGGTAAATGGCTCTCACATAAATAAAATCTGTTAAAATTTAATAAAAATGCTGGAACATTTGTTCATTGGGCAAGATTTTTGGACTAAAATGAGTCGTTTAAATCAATATCAATTCAACTTAATTAGATTAAATCCATGGATATACACTGCCCGTCAAAATTTACGCATAATAAGTAAAAAAAAACTCTAAAACGCGGGTGACGTTCATAATATCGAAATTCACTTTATCGAATTCAAAATATCGAACACTTTTTATCGAAAATCAAAATATCGAAAATACAAAATGTCGAAAATCAAAATATCGAAAATTAAAATGTCGAAAATGATAATATCGAAATTTTATTTAATCGAATTTTCAATTTATCGAAAATAAAATATCGACGTTCATAATATCGAAATTCACTTTATCGAATTCAAAATATCGAACACTTTTTATCGAAAATCAAAATATCGAAAATACAAAATGTCGAAAATTAAAATGTCGAAAATACAAAATGTCGAAATATTTTCTTATTTTGAATTTGATATTTTGTTTAAATATTTCAATTAATCGACATATTATTTTAATCCGAAGTGTATATGTACAGAGGCGCCTCTGATATAGAAATGTACTCAAACTCAACAACACAACCCAACCGACCCCGCCCCATTGGCCCCCCCCCGCCCCATTGAGCAAAAAACCCAACTAAAATGGGCTAATTTATGTAATTAAAAAGTGTTTTATTTTTATCGTAACATGAATTTGCCCATTTTAGTTGGGTTTTTTGCTCAATGGGGCGGGGGGGGGGCCAATGGGGCGGGGTCGGTTGGGTTGTGTTGTTGAGTTTGAGTACATTTCTATAAAACGCGCATCTCTAGGAGCCAGGGAGCCAAGATAATTCGGTGCATAACCGTAACTTTATCTACAGAGGCGCCTCTGTACATATACACTTCGATTTTAATCATACATTTTAATTTTCGATATTTTTAAATCGATATTTTAATTTTCGAAATTTTAATTATTCGACATTTTCAAATCGACATTTTAATTTTCGATATTATCATTTTCGACATTTTAATTTTCGAAATTTTAATTATTCGACATTTTCAAATCGACATTTTAATTTTCGATATTATCATTTTCGACATTTTAATTTTCGATATTTTGATTTTCGACATTTTGTATTTTCGATACCTATTTTGATTTTCGATAAAAAGTGTTCGATATTTTGAATTCGATATAATGAATTTCGATATTGTGAACGTCACCCCTAAAACGCCTTTACCAATCTTTATAAAATTTTGGATAAAAATACTTATATCTACGTTTACATGTTCACGGGTTTTTCGAGAAAATATCCTTAAAGCCCTTTTATTTAATAATAAAAAAACGCTCAAAAAAAAACTTTTATAGGGATTTTTTTAGTAAATAAAAAATATGCTGTGAAATAGCGTATTTTTGTAAGTATACCCTGAAAATGTTGTACAAATCAAAAGATCAGTAACGAAAATACAGCGCTTTAAAGTCGTCAAAAATGACCACTTTTCAGCAAAATAATCAAAAAGGGGTCATTTTTACCGTCTTTGAGGCACTGTATCTTCGTTACTGTTCGTTTGATTTGTACAAAATTTTCAGGGTGTACTAACAAAAATACGGTCTTAAACAGCATTATTTACTTAAGGTTTTTTTATTATTAAATAAAAGGTCTTTAAAAATATTTTCTTGAAAAACCCTCAAACACATAAACTGAGATATAAGTTGAAGTATTTTATACAAAATTTCATAAAGATTAGTAAAGGCGTTTTAGAGTTGGAATTTTTTTTCTTATTATGCGTTAATTTTGACGCGCAGTGTATATAATAGATATATATATAATAGATTTAAATAATATAACCTAAATGGGAGGATATTAAATTTAAAGCTATAGCTTAAAATAATGTTTAAATAAAATACAAATATAAAAATTGTACAGTAAAAAAATATACAGATCTTTTTTTGATCACAAAATTAAAAATATAAATAATCTAAATTAATAATATTTATAAATAAATATATACTATCTATGAGACTCACATTTTGTTGCCTTACATTTTTCTACAATTTGACTAAAAGTAATTTTACCCATGTTGGTGCTAACAAGTTGAATGCTTTTGAAAAGCGTATCCGAAGACATATCGTCCGGTAAATGGGTGAGGAACTGAGCGCCGTGCAAGAAATCCATACGTAAAAGACGGTCTTGGTTTAAATGTAGAATACCTTAAAAAATGCATATAAAAAATAATCAAAAATTTACTAGGTTTTTATCAAGAAAATTAGTTTTCATTTATAGGATAAGTCCTAAATGAATTATACGTTTTAGAGATCTAAAAAAGTAGTTGAATGCTTTTGAAAAGCGTATCCGAAGACATATCGTCCGGTAAATGGGTGAGGAACTGAGCGCCGTGCAAGAAATCCATACGTAAAAGACGGTCTTGGTTTAAATGTAGAATACCTTAAAAAATGCATATAAAAAATAATCAAAAATTTACTAGGTTTTTATCAAGAAAATTAGTTTTCATTTATAGGATAAGTCCTGAATGAATTATACGTTTTAGAGATCTAAAAAAGTAGTACCAATACCCTAGTTTTTGGTAGCTATAATCCTTGATATCTTTACAATAGCTGTTTCCAAATAAAAAAGCTCCTTATGTAAGGTAAAAACCGAGTAACAAGTTGACTTACCTAAGGCTGTTTTAAAAATAAACTCATAACCATCTCGTAAGAAAATGTCCCACACCCTGCAGGCAATATCAAGGGGCATGGCTTTGGCGAAAATCGTGTAGATCCAATCCAACAGGTACAAATCGGGAGTCAACCCCGACGCCTCGAAATGGGAATACAATTTCGGCAGATTAAGCTGCAACAGCTGATTGTACGCCTCGTAGTAGGCGTCCATGTGAGGCTGATTGAGGCTGAATGCGGTCAAATGAAGCGGCTGATTGAGTAGATTTGCAAAACACACGAATGCTTCGTATTGGTCCATGTTTATTATCAGGATTGCCGCTATGTACGACATTCCTTGCACGTATCCCACGTCGGGGCGATAACACACATAAGCAGCCAGCAGAGAGTGCAAAACCTAAAAATTTTTTGGAAAAATTGACTTATGCATTTATCCGTGCTACGGATAAAATGGATAATTCAGTAAAAATGCAAAAGCAAATTTTTCTGCAAATTTTACAATTTTTCCGTTTAAAATGCTTAAAAAAAAACGATTTTTTTCGTTTTTAGATGCTGAAAATAGCTATTTGTGTATAAAGAGCGCAAAGTGATACTTTGCTGATCTAACTTGTCCTAAAATAGAACATATGTTCTATTTTCATGCAATAAAGTCGAGGCGACTTAGTAACTTTTGTAGGAATTTACGAATTTTCACTAAATATTTTGGTTAGTACTCAAAATATTAGCTGTGGAATGACAGATGAGTTTTATCTTGTGATTTGCGTTTATAATCTATGCGTTTTTTATTTACATGCCTGTAAAAATAAAACAAACAGACTCATAGGGTTTTTACACCACAAAATACTTACAATTTTTTCAAATTAGTAATTAGTAATTTTCTAAAATAGTATATTATGTATCAAGTTTGATAAACGCCATTTTATACACGAATTAAATTTAGGCACGAGTGAGATTGCCAGCGACTGCTTAAATTAATGAGTGTATAGAAAAATTTATAAACGAGGTGCACACTATACTTTTTCTACGACAAATACTTATTATCTTTAAATGATTTAAATCAAAAATTTGTATAGAGCGCCATCTATGAAACAATAGGGGAATCTGTGTATCACCGCCAAATTTCACATTTTTAAATTTTATAAACACAGACTATAAAGGTTATAAATCGAAATGTATTTCTTGAAAATTGACAGTTTTTCACAGTGAAAGTAAAGAAAATGTTTTATGAGCACTTTACAGTGGAGTCCGTGTCCGAATTTAAGTTATAGTTTACTGCCGGCGAAATTAAAAGGTCAGTACAATGTTCATATAAACTTTTCAAATATTGGCGTTGAGAAACTATTAAATACTTTTGTATTTTTGTATTGAGAATCTCAATTTGAGATAATAAAATAATTTTTACATTTAGTATTATTTACCAAGAAAGGCACTTTATTTTAACGAATGTATGACATTTGACAACTGTCAACTAACTTAAAACTAACTTCAGCCCGTGACTAAAAACCTGTTGCTAACTTCAGCCCGTGACTAAAGCGCCTTAAAGCCACAACTTGTCAATGTGTATTTAAAAGGTCACTTAGTGTCATGGAAACATGTACGATAAAGGGCGTTTTAAAGGTGGGAGTAGAAAATAGTATATTATGTATCAAGTTTTATAAACGCCATTTTAGTTACGAGTTTTATTAGGCACGAGCGAAGCTTGCGAGCGAGTGCTTAATAAAAACGAGTGTCTAGAGAAGTTTATAAAACGAGTTGCATACTATACTTTATCTACGACGAACAGAAATAAGAATTTAAAGACAATTTTATTTCATAAAATTTGACATTTAACAAATTTAACCTCACTTTTTCGCAATTTATAATAAAGCTAACTTCAGCCCGTGACTAAAATGCCCAGAAGCCACTGTTATTAACTTCAGCCCGTGACTAAAATGCCATAAAGTCACAACTCGTCAATGTAGGAGTAGATAAATATATTTTTATATGCTTATAAATTTTCCTTAAAATCGTAGTGTTGTTTTTAAAACTTTTGCTGTGGGCGATGAGTTTAGGTAAAATCCCGAACAAATGTTCTATATTTAACACCATACTTATTGATGGTTTACCGCATATTATTAACCCTTCATTAGTCGCACTGTTTTCTGAAACGCCATTAGTCGCTTTGGTGTCAGAGACCGAAAGTTAAAAATTACGTTTATTAAATATCTTGTGTGTATATTTAAATTTTTAAGAAAACCACTATGTTAATTTTTTAAAAGTAATTCTTGCCTTTCCTTTACGAAATCTTGTTCGTCGTTGTCTTTATCTGCATTAAAATTACTTTCATTTTCAGAATCTTTATCTTCCATTAGTTTTTGAAGTCGTTTTTGGTCTGCTATGTGAGAATACATAGTTAAATTTTTAAAACCTTAATACTCGCATCGGTCTTTCGCACCGAAATAAATTCTGTAAGCCGCTAAATCACACTCATGCGCCAACGCTTTTAGACTTAAGTTCGAACGGCTAATGTAGGAATGTACCAAGGAGGGGATAGCGCAAAGTCGATGCGCTAAAGTACGTTAAAAAATTTAAAGCGTCGGTCTCACACACCGGGTGCGACTAGTCAAGGGTTAACGAAACAAGGGAGCGTTCAAGAATTACGCGCTAGGCTGGAAAGGGGGGTGTCGGAAATTTCGAAAAATTCATATGGTACGCCGTAGAGAGGAGGGGGTAAAAAAAATCCGAAAAACTGCGTTACGTACAGTGTTGCCAACCTCTTCGAACATTTTATCGGTAGATTCTTTGGAAATTTTCGGTAGAAGATGATAAAATTTCGGTAGATTTAAATATATGTGTAATTTTTAGTTAAAAAAACACACGAAATGGAAAATATTTATTAAAAATAAAAAATCTAATAAAAACAATAACATATTCAATTTATGTTAACATTAGTTACACACAAAAATAATAAAATTGTAAAAAATACAACAAACACAAAAAAATTAATATACATAAATCAAGAGAACAAACTCAAGAATAAAAATCCGTTTATTGTATCATGGAAATTTGCGATACCGTCGTAATGCGACTTTTGTACAAATGATGTTGGTAAAAAAAATTTATCACTAGTGAAAAGTATATAATTTTGTTGTCTAAGTATAATGTTTTTATGCAATTTAATCCAATTTGGATTATTGCAAGAATTAGATTTTCGGTAGATTATTGATGTCTATCGGTAGATCAGTATAATTTTTCAGAAATCGGTACCCATTCGGTGGGGTTGGCAACACTGGTTACGTAATACCTGAACGCCCCCAATACTTTCTATTCTAAATGTACTCGAGATATCGTGTGGAAAGTGGGAGCGCGTATTCGTATATTTATATGAACATGAAGACGAACAAACATTTTTGAATGACAATACAGGGAATATGTTATCTGGATTAATGTGGCATATTTCTTTAGATCTCACCTCTGAGTAGGGTCCACCTTCTTGGAAGATGCATAGATTCGGAAACGTTCGGGATATGTCGAGTTGTATGACGTCCATGCTGCTTTCTTGATCGTTCGAGCTCGTGTGACTTGACTCGGGACTGTTCAGTCGGTTTTGCGCTCGAGACAAGCAAATTTCGTACAACGGCCGGCTAATATTCAATTCGTTGCCGATCGCCAGAAACCACACTTTACCCCTTACGCTCGACGGAAGACCTTGCCACCAAAGATCGCGGGTCTTTTTCGTTTTTCTCCTGTAAGGACATGTTTTTAGAATTTAACTCATGTTATAGATTTCAGAACCAAACTGACAGGAATGATTTGTTTTAACCTACTCAAGGTTAAAAAGTAGTTACTTACATATTTTCCCAGTTTGGCAAAACTTGTGTGACAAAATGTTTAGTTGCTGATGCAGCTAGTTCTTCTTGCTGCATTTGTAGTTTTTGTTGTTTTCGTTTTGCAACAGAGTTTTGGGATTCCTTCTTTTTAGCAGCCTGCAGCATGGCTTTGTACTCATCTTGATGACGTTTTTCCTCTTCGTCTGCTTTGGCTGGCAAATTTGACGGCCTTTATAAAAAAAATGTAGTTTTATTTTGTTGAAAAACATTACAAAATACTATTGAAATGCACTACTTAAGGTAAATCAAATATAAACATTTTATAAAATCAACATAAATAATTTTATTGCGTATAAATCCGGCCCCAACTTGCCGGGTTATCAATGTGCAGTTAGTCTATCCATGGAAGTTAATAATACCCACATAATTAGCGTGCAATATTTTATCAGCAGATTCTACGTACAAAAATAGGAAAAAAAGTTCATATAAACATGGGTCCTAATGCTTCCTAAGGGAGCTACAGCCCCCGAAAGAGAAGCCCCTGATGATGGTTTTTATTTACGCCGTGACTAGAAGTACACCGGGAGTACGGGCATTAAACGTACATCAGGTTTGTGCGCATGCGTGTTTCCATACCAGCTGAAGGTAAAATATCGGATTTTTTAGTTGAGATTAAATTGGTACACTAAGGCCCAGTTGTATAACAGTTGGTAAACAGCTGGTTAACTCTTGATATTAATTATGTAATTATTAAGCTAACTTTCAAGTTGTATACTGCCCTACTATTGAGAAAGGCAGTAACTGCAAAAAAATGCAAAATGCGTTTTCTTGTGCTATGGTAAAGCTATGGACATTTTGTAACCGAATTCACCACAGAAATGCAATCAAATATCTTATAAGTTAAAAAAATATTTGATTGATTTTTTTAGGTATATACCTACTGCTTTTTATAAAAATGTAGTTTATGCTAATTTTCCACAAATTTCTTGTTTAGCAGTTACTGCCTTTCTCCATAGTAGGGCAGTATAAACATTGATTAAAAGTTAATTAAGTGAAATACAATTAACAACAAAATTAATGAAATTTCAGTATGAATTACCCAAAACTACCCAAACTCAACAACCCAACCCAAAATTTAAAATTGTTATTATTACATCTTATTGGCCATAAAAAGTTTGATAAATTACCATAATTTCACGTTTCTATCTTGAACGGTTTTGGAGATATTAAATAAAAACCATCTTCAGGGGCTCCTCTTTTGGGGGCTATAGCCCCCTTAGGAAGCATTTCCCAACATATGTTTATAGTATTTTTTTTCTTATTTTTGTATGTAGAATCTGCTGTTAAAGTATTGCACGTTAATTATGGGACACACTGTATACAAAAAGTTATCGCCGGGACGGAGCGTAGCAATTTGGCGTGAAACGACCCATATATATATATATATATATATATACAGGGTGTCCCAGAACTCGCGCCACAGAGAAAAAGGGAACGTACCGAAAGTAATTTGAAACACATATTTAAAAATTCAAATTGTCCAACGCAAAGGATAAGGGAGATAAGAATAAAAAACGATAGCCAATCCCAATAGATCACCACAGGGAATTCTTTAAATTGCTAGGATACTTAGGTTGCATTGTTGATAATAAAAAATATGTAAAATATTTGGTCCACTGGAATTTAATTCATTGTAAAACTGCTGTCAATCTTTACTCCTGTCATTAATATTATATTAGGTTATAAATTAAGTTATTATTGACAATGCTGTCAATCTTTACTTTTGTCATTAATATTGTATTAGGTAATAAATTAAGTTATTATAAATAATGTTTTCCTTGATGATTATACCGAAATGATAACTATTTATGGGGAGCGTGGGCCCAAAAAAGCTAAATAAAGTACAACTGGTTTGATTTTTTACTTTAAAACATTGGCGTTCTGAAGTATCAGTCATAGATTAATAACCTCATTTTTTGAAAGCTTTTGACAACTTAGTAAATACAGTTGGCCAAAAGATTTTTAAATGTTTTTAATACAACAATGTTCTATCGTCTCCTAGCAATTTTTAAAGCTCCTACGTTTAACCTAGGAGAGATCTCTCGGTATTGGCTGCCGCTTTTTTGCTCTCATTCGATTACACTATTACCTAGAAATTTTTTATTTTTAAATTTGGCATCTCCATTGCTATCGGCACGCCCCCTTTTTCTCTGTGGCGCGAGTTCTGGGACACCCTGTATATATATATATACAGTGTGTCCGTAAAGTCCCGGAACATGTGATTATTTTGAAAACGGTAATTTTTTTTTAAAAACGCTGAAACACGCCAACTTTGATATTTTTCTAGCAATATTTTAGCATATGTAGTTGTTCCAAATTCTGCCGCGTGGCGGCGCCACAATCAAAGTCGGTTTTTTTTAAATTACAACCCTTAATTTTTGTTGCATTTTTGGATAGCTACCGTCGTCCTGAGTACATTAATATGCTACATGTGTAGGGTTACATAAGAAAATTTTTGAGAAAAGTAGGTTTTTGCCGCTGATTAAGATTTTGGTTTTGACGAACTTATTAGCTGTTACGGGGCACTATGTATGCATTGCTAGTAAGGGATTATTTAAATCAGGTCTTTCCCAATCGCTGGATAGGTCAAAGGGGTCAAATTGAGTGGCCAGCGCGATCGCCCGATTTGAACCCTTTAGACTTCTTTTTATGGGGACCTCTTAAAAACCGCGTCTATGTAAACAGGCCTTAAAATTTGGACGACCTAAGACACCGCATTCAAGCCGAGATCCAGATGATCACTCCAGCGGTACTGGCAAACGTACAACGCTCGTTTGTAGACAGGCTGTTCCATTTCCAAATAGTTTACGGTGGACACTTTGAGCAACTGCTCTGATTGGCTTTCCAAAAAACATTAAGCAACGCATAGATTGTGTAAGTTTGACAAAATACCAAAATCTCATTCGGCAGCAAAAACCTGATTTTCTCAAAAATTTTCTTATGTAACCCCCCAGATGTGGCACATCAATGTAATCAGGACAACGGTAGCTATCCAAAAATGCAACAAAAATAAAGGGTTGCAATTTAAAAAAAACTGACTTTGATTGTGGCGCCGCCACGCGGCAGAATTTGGAACAACTACATATGCTAAAATATTGCTAGAAAAATATCAAAGTTGGCGTGTTTCAGCGTTTTTTAAAAAAAATTACCGTTTTCAAAATAATCACATGTTCCGGGACTTTACGGACACACTGTATATATATATATATATATATATATATATATATATATATATATATATATATTATTTAATATAATTAATTTAAAAACTAATTTAATATATAGTAAATTCCTACATTGAATAGAATTATAATAATTATAATAATAAATTATTTATATTTTGTATTGGCATTGATTTAGTAATTATTAATTAGGTTTGTCCTTAATTGTTATAACAAAGTTTGAGTTTGATAAATTTTTATTTATGTTAATCTAAATTTAAAAACATACAACTTGCTGATTTAGAATATTATTTATTATCATTGAAATTTAGTTTTGTAATATTTTAGAATAAACCTAAAAATTGTCTAGGTAAAAGTTGCCTTTAAAAAAATAAATAGGTTTTGGGATATTTTTAAATTTATGATTTACCTTTTTAATTGTATAAGAGCAGCAGAACTAATAACACCATTAATTGGAGCTACATCTTCAGTAGAAATTTTCCCAAACAATTTCCAAACACTGTTATTTGAATTTTCTCCATTTTTCCAAGAAAATACATTCCTTAAAATAAAAATATTATTAACCCTGGTTAAAATGTCACATAGAGACCCTGTTAAAACCAATAGATTTTTGTATTCGATTGTATGGTGTTTCTATAGGGTGTATCAGTATGTATAGGACCCATAGTTGGGGTTTATGGTTGTTCTATAGGGATATTCCTCCTTGATTTATTTGATATAGGTCTCCATACGGAAAATACACATAAATGTGGAAATTAGTTTTTCTCCTATACATGTGCTGCAGCCCTCCTATGGAGAAAGGCAGTAACTGCTAAACAAGAAATTACTGGAAAATTAGCATAAACTACATTTTTATAAAAAGCAGTAGGTATTTAATTGATTTTTTTAATTTATGAGATATTTGACTTCATTTCTGTGTTGAATTCGGTTACAAAATGTCCATAGCTTTACTACAGCACACGAAAACGCATTTTGCATTTTTTTGCAGTTACTGCCTTTCTCCATAGTAGGTCCTATAATACTGCCCTACTATGGAGAAAGGCAGTAACTACAAAAAAATTCTGAATGCGTTTTCTTGTGATAAAGCTATGGACATTTTGTATCTTAATTCAACTAAGAAATGCAGTAAACTATCTTATAAGTTAAATAAATCAATTAAATATCTACTGCTTAGGCAGAAAGACTAAGGTCGTTATCCTTTTTTTTTTAATGTATTTATTGAACCCAAAAAAACAAACGTTCATAACAGGTTAACATAAATATAAAATAAAATAAGGCTTTTTGTGTTTAACAAAATACTATAAATATACAATATATACAAAATAAATTAAAGTGTGTTATTTCTAGATAATAAATAATTTTTTATAGCTCTGTTAAAGTTTATAACATCTAAGTCCTTAATACTATTTGGGAGTTCATTGTACCATTGCACAGCCGTAGTAGTTACTCTCTTCTTTCCAATGTTTTTTGCACTTGGTAAAATATAAAAGTTTTGGTTTGTACGAGTATTGTAATGGTGAATATCACAGTTTTGCACTAATGTTATGTCAGTCTCTAATATATTATTTTTTATTTTATGTACAAGTTTAAGACTTTCTAATTTGACAATATCACACACTTTAAGAAGATTTAGTTCGCCAATAAAGTTTATTTTATTATTATTATCTACTGCTTTTTATACAAATTTAGTTTATGACAATTTTCCACAGATTTCTTGTTTAGCAGTTACTGCCTTTCTCCATAGTTGGGCAGAATAGGACCCCATAGGTTTTAACAAAATTTTGTAAAATATTTTATGGTTGCTCTATAGGGATATCCCTAAATATCCTTCCTTGAGTTATTTGCTATCAGTCTTAATAGGGGAAATGCAAAAGTTAAAAGGTAATTTCCTATAAATTTTGTATAGGGCCGTATACTGAAAAAGCAGGAACAAATGCACATATTGAGTCCGTTAGCGCCCGATAGATTATTTTTAAAACCCAGTTCTAAAAATAGAGGTGGAAGTGTAACCTCCACACAGAGTGAACCTCTGTGAACATTCTCCAGAAGGTTTGGTTATACAAAAACTTTTATTTTATTTAATTCCAAATTTGGACCATGTTATGCAAAACGTACCCAACAGACATTTTGTCAAAAATGGGTTTATTACCGCAACAAGAATTTCATACTTATTAATTCTGATCTTGCTTGCAATATATCTTAATAAAAAACCATAAAAAACGATATAACTATGTTCCTAAATGTTTCTAAATGCTACTAAATGCGATTTTCCACAAATTGGGTCTTGGCTTATATTGCAAAACATGTTGGAACAAAAATGTGTTGCAGTAAAGTAATAAAAGAAGAAAAAAAGCACAGTTTTCTGATTGTTTAAGTTAACTTTCATTATAGTTTTTTTTTTAAAGAGAGGTACTGCCGTTTCGGCGCTTCTCCTCAAATCGAGCCCTGGGCATAGCTATAGGTTAATTTTTTTATATTTATATTTACTTAAACATATTTTTTTTTTACACTATGATAAACGAGAAAGTGGGTGTTTCTACAGCTAGCCTTGCAATACACTCACAAAGTACAGTTGTATTCAATAAAAAAGCGTACAAGAATTAGAATGAGAGAAATCTGTCAAAATAATATTATTGCTTAAAACCGGCTTATCACTGACATAAGTCATTAAAATAATTACTATAGGTTATAAAGAGCATTGACGTCGTAGGTTAATTAAATAATATTACAAAAATTATTAATTTTTAATATAGATTTTTTATTTCTATTATACCACGGTACGAATTGACCATTCTTCTTCGATTCTTGATACTATTTGAGCCTTTTTAACTGACGAGGCATTTTTATTTTCTACTGTCAGTTATAGTGACTTAAGTCAGTGGAAAGCCGGTTTTACGCAATAATGTTGACAGTTTTCTCTCATTCTAATTCTTGTACGCTTTTTTAATGAATACAACTCGTCACCTGAGAATTATAGTGTTCTATCTGCATTTTCTTTTTTTTATTCAGGTTAGTCTTGTTTTAAGTATTAAAGATGCATATTGTTCTATCTATATATAATTGGGGTAGAAATTGTACAGTTTAAGCCTTAAACTTTACAATTTCTACCCCAATTATATATAGATAGATCAATATCATCTTTAAGACTTAAAACAAGACTAACCTGAATAAAAAAAAGAAAATGTAGATAGAACACTATAATTCTCAGGTGACGAACTGTACTAGACAGGAAAAATATACATACTTTATTTAACACCCGTAAATGTCACTTTTACATAGTGGTGGTAGAAAAAATTACATACTCCTTAAGGACAGTAGCGTGCCGTATAGGGGGCCAGGGGGGGCAACATAATTCATGTTGTGCAGGAAGAAAAATAACGTGTAAAACACAGCGTTAAAGTGATTTTTACAGGATTTAAGAAGTGTCCAGGCTTGCTAAAGCTTGCCTGGAAAAATGTCACTTTACAGTAGGGCAGGGTTCCCAACAAAAAACTGGAACATTTTGTGTAAATTTACCTTAGTTAAAAAAATTACACAATCAACAATAATTAAATGGTGCTATGCAATAGAGAATCAACCCTCACTTTTGCCAAACTTAGATAATAGGGTCCAAAAATGTCTGGTTTCTTGATTACTTTAGTGTTAATATAGGTTCAACGTTTTGATTGTATTTCTATATCGCAAATGTTGTACTAAACTTTTATAGGTAAATAATTTAAATCAGTGGAATAAAATAGGGTGTCGCGATTTTATTTTAATGTTTTAAAAATATTTATTTACAAAAAAGATTGCAGTTTTTGTACTTTAATTTTTCAGACACCCTGCATGTAATTTTTTTAGTATTTTATGTAAACTCTCTGTGTCTTTAAGACAAAGCAAGCTCAGAAAAAAAATGTTTAATGCTCTATAAAAGTTAAGGACTTTTTTGCAAGCATTATACAAATTTGTATTATGTTTGCAAGGCTTAATATAAATGGAATAAAAATACAAACCTGCTAAAAAAATTTGAAAATGTATTTTTTGTATTAGAATTATTTTCCTCTAAACTAGAGATTGATCGTTCCTCAGCATCCAATAAACTTCCTGATGTAGAGGGTTCACTTAACCCACTCAAATTTGATACAGTGCTTGAATATGATCCAGCCTGTATTCTTCTGTGTCCCTTTTTAATAAAATCTACCTCATCACTTCCATTGCATTTAAAATTATTGTCTACTTCATTTTCAACATTTTCATTATTTTGTGGTTTCTCTACTAGATGTAGTTGTTTTGTAATGGGGCTATACGCTAATGATATGTTTTGTAGAGCCTCGTTAAAAGTAATTTTGGTTTTATTTACATTCTTAGTACTATCACAATTTGTAGACATTAATAGAGTATTACGGCTACTAGCATTTGAGATTAATTCTGGACTATTTTCGTTAGTTTTTACTTTATCACATCGTTCTGGCCAAGTCTTAAACCATTCGTTGCTGGCTGTTGTTGGACTATCATTGTCTTGCTTAAATTGAGTATGGTTTTCATTTGTTGTATCGTTATTTTCTTCAATTAAACTATCTGGTAAACTGTGACTTCGAGATTCCTGGTTCACGCATTGCTTGGGAAAACTTGTTTGATAATTGTTACCCTTTTGCCCCATCGTTATTACCTACTTCGTTTTAAATATGTTCATGATTAAAGGCAGGAATTTATATTCAATTCAATACTGAAACTCATTAACTTAATACCTTTTCACCAGTATAATTGTTCATGTATTAAAACTATGCATTTTGCACGGGCTATTATTAATAATTTTGCGAAAAACATAAATAAACAGACTAATAATCCGAAATCACAACACAAAATCACAAAACAAATCTCGCCATCTTGTACACAGTACACTCACCCGAAGAAATTAAAATTCTCTGCAATTTTCATTTTTACACCAGGGTTCTGCAACCCATAATACATGTATATGTGTAGGTTACTACCAATAATTGAAACTCATTAGCTAATCTGGATTAGAGGAATAATATTTATATAGCTTATAAGCTATTTCTCATATATGATTAAATTTATTTATTAATATTAAAGTTATTTTCTAATCTATAGATTTGAAAATAACTGAAAATTTGAACTTGATTGCGACGTTGTCGAACTTCTTTTCGGCCAAAATGCATGCACCCGTTTTTTGATCGTTTGTATTTATGAATACCAGGGCTCCCAGCAGTCCATGTTGCGAGAAATAGTGACTTAAGAGACTAATAATAAAAAATAAACGACCAAATATAGACCAAATTAATTACCGAAATAACTATAAAATGGAGGCCTCCATACCGGTATACATTTTTTTGGGATAAAAGATCTAAATTTGAATTTAAAATACATAGAGATAACTTGAAATTATAAATTTTTATTGAATTAAATTTAACAAGTAACCATAACTGTTATAAAATACATAAATAACAAAAAAATATTAAATTCTGTAATAAATTATAACTTATAATAAATAGAATCACATTTATATAAAAGGCACTGGCATCAGTCATTTAATGGGTTATATTTTTTTTGGTGGGCTGCAGCTCATCTATAATTTTCGCCTTTCGTTTTTCTAAATCTTGGGCAAGACGACTAATCTTGTAAGTTACCTTCCCCGCTTCTTTTTGGGATGGTTCACCCCTTTAAACATTAGTTGAGCCATACATATTTTAACATTTTTATTTGTTTGCAACAATACGTTCTTTATGGTCTTTTTTATCAAAATAAAACAATAATTCATTTATTATTCCTTTTCCCGAAAACGGTTTTTTTATTTAATATAAAACAATAATTCGTTTATTATTCTTTTTCTCGAAAACGGTTCATTTTATTCACAATAAACAAGAGTACCTTTATTTTAGTTTAAGGTTCACGCTACGGAAATTTAGTTTTTTTAAGTCTTTACATACGGGGTGTTCAAAATTTAAGCATTAAGGTGTAAAACTTAGTCCGCCCCTGGTAAACAAAAAAAGCAAAACATGTTTCAAGAACACTACTTTAAGAGGTCCATACCAGGGTCCATCATATTAAATTTTTATTAAATTATATTCAGTATACTTTAAAAGTTATTCAAGGAAAACCAATTTGCAGGGGCGTCCTTTCGGGGCCCATGTCTGCGTAAGAAGGGCCAGTAGGAAATTTTTTTATAGGAATGTGTCATCTTATTTTTTCATGTTCCATCTGAATCCGAGATATTTCCCACATTTTCCCGGACACCCTGTGTAGGTAGTGTTAACCTAGCGAACCGAAAGTTTAAACCGAATTCGGTCCGAAACTATAGACGTAAACGAAACCCTAGACCAAACCACAAACAATTCAGCAATAATTTTGGCGGGCGGTTCGAGTCTGGACGGCGGGAACTTTAAATGTAAACTGCGAAGTTTTCGAATGTTTCACTTGGTTTACTGTGGTTTCGATATTTATAAAACTGTAAAAAAAATTTTTAATAGTTGATTTTAACAGAAAATATAGACTTTATAGACTTTAGGTAAAAAAATTGACTTTTATAGACTTAAGACAAAAATATAGACAAGTCTTTAAAAAAACTACCTGCTGGGAGCCCTGATGAATACGAATAACCTTTTAAATAATTATTTTTCTGAAGACAACTTAAAACAATTATCATTAAGATAATTATGAATTATATAGGTATTGTATTGTATGCGAATTTTGCTTTTTATATTGCCTAAAATGTTTTTTTGTGTTGATTTATTGAAATGCAAAAAAATTGGCAAAAGTTTTGGAGGACCAAAAATTGACGGAATCTTCTTCTTTATTTTAAGGAATTTTTATTATAATTATTTATCATATTAATTTTCAATTATAGGTATCACATTTTTAATATTTTTAATTTGCATTATAATAAATTTAAAGTACACCAAAGACATATATTTATTTTACTACATATTACTAATTAAATTTTTAGTAGTAGTTTGGTTGGATTTGGGAATAACAATTAAGGAAAAATTTAAATAAAACACGGTGATATTATAAATTATTTAATCAATTAAGGTCTCTATCCTCTAAATATTTATATTCGAAAGTAAAACCTTCCTTTTTTCTCTGACCCCACTTCTCGTAGTCAAAATAAATATACGTGCCCTAAAAGAAATAAAGAAAAATTACTTTTTTTGATTAAATATTTAATAACAAGATGTTGGGTAGTGTAAATTTAACACATGCCAAGAGTTATTAGATGGGCATTACATAGTTTTAAAAAAACGAGAAAAATTGAAATTGGAAAAAAACGGACCATTGGAAAAATTAGAAAAAGAGGAAAGAGAAAAATTCTCAAATCAAAACCATAAACCTAAAAATATATTAATATATATATATATACATATGTGATATATGAATAAGATATATATAAATATATTCCCATACAGCACAAGATGTCCATTGGACGTCCAATGGACTTACATTGGACGTTTGGATGTACAATAGCCGTCCAATGGACGTCCAATGGATATATGTGCTGTGTGGGTTTTTGCAGTATTGTTAAGTTAGTTTAAATAGAAAATATCGTTTTCACAACAATAACTAAATTTTCTAGTTTTGGCAGAACTTGTGTTATGTGGCAGTTAATTTTTTTGGGGATTTACCGAAATGCGAGGGGATTAGCTGGTCAATGACATTGAAGCGCCAATCCTTCAGTGTCGTAAAATGCATTTTTCGAGGGCTTTTTAATTATTAAAAAAATATAAAAGAAATCAGATTTTTTATTTAATTGTTTTATTAAAACAAGAAAGCCTGCAATTTGCAGGCTGCAAAAGTCCCAAGTTGTTGGCCTAATTGGGTCCACATAGACTTCATACCAAATAAGTTAACCTTTTTTTAAGAACAGACAAAATATATTTATTATTTATTTAAAATAATCAATATAAAGTATAAACTACTCTAAAATTGTCTTGGAACAAAACTTAAACTAACAAACAAATAAGTTATTATTTGAAACAACATATCCAATAATATATATTTATAAACTCAACAATACATTTCTAATTTTTTAAAAACTATAGTATAAAACTAATAAATACAACTATTGTATACAACTAAAATGAAGTTTATTTTGTTGTATATGTTACGGCTAATAGGTAAACTTAGCGAGTATATAAACTAGCTGGATAATTTATAAACTAGCCAAACTGTGGGTTTTTAATAGAAAACGTATTTTCAACTAAATTAGCGGCTAGCTTAAAATAATAGTATATTATGTATCAAGTTTGATAAACGCCATTTTATACACGAATTTAATTTAGGCACGAGCGAGCTTGCGAGCGAGTGCTTATGTTAATGAGTGTATAGAAAAGTTTATAAACGAGGTGCATAGTATACTTTTTCAACGACAAATACTTATTATTATCTTAAAATGATTTAAATCAAAAATTTGTATAGAGCGCCATCTATGAAACAACAGGGGAAACTGTCAAATGTCACATTTTTACATTTTATAAACACAATTATAAAGGTTATAAATCGAAATATATCTTGAAAATTGACAGTTTTTTACAGTGAAAGTAAAGGAAATGTTTTATGAGGACTTTACAGTAGAGTCCGTGCCCGAATTTAAGTTATAGTTTACTGCCGGCGAAATTAAAAGGTCAGTACAATGTTCATATAAACTTTTCAAATATTGGCGTTGAGAAACTATTTAATATTTTTGTATTTTTGTATTGAGATAATAAAATAATTTTACATTTAGTATTATTTTACAAGAAAGGCACTTTATTTTAACGATTGTATGACATTTGACAACTGTCAACTAACTTAAAACTAACTTCAGCCCGTGACTAAAAACCTGTTGCTAACTTCAGCCCGTGACTAAAGCGCCGTAAAGCCACAACTTCTCAATGTGTATTTAAAAGGTCACTTAGTGTCATGGAAACATGTACGATAAAGGGCGTTTTAAAGGTGGGAGTAGAAAAAGATATTTATTGGTACAGGTACTAAAATATAAAGTTTTGTAAACGTCATAAAAGTTAAATAGGTCATTATAACATCATTAAAATTAAAGTTACAGTAATCGTTTATATTGTAGAAGCAATGCTCTGCTAGAAATATTCTTAGACAGGACTTAAACCTATTAATTGGAAGATCTCTAACCAGAACCGGTAGCTTATTAAAGAAGGTTGGATCCCAATAATTAATACCATTTCTGGTTCTAATGAGTCTATGAAAATCAATGCGCAAATTGCTGTCATACCGTAGGGTTCTTCCAGATAACTCAAGGCGGTACCATAGTCACCAATGTGTTCTTTAACAAAGGTTAATCATTGATAAATGTATAAACTCGGTAATGTGAGAACTTTTAGATTTATGAAAGCTTCTTTGCAATCAACACAGTAAGAGAGTTTACTTAGGCAGTGAGCAAAACAGAGATTAAAACGTTTCCTCGTAAACACGTAGAACATAAACCCCTTATGAAGTTGAGCTAGCCACACTGTCAGTGTGCTCAGCCCAGGTAAGGCCACCGTCTAGAGTCAGTCCTAAAAACTTTACGCATGATGGTTCATTTGGTAGCGGTAGGTGCCTTAGTGAAAAGAAGTATTTGGCTGTTTTGGATTAATTTAGACTAAGCCTATTACAATTAAACCACTCATTAAGATTCGACTGCGTCTCAAGCAGGTCAGCATTTAGAGTATCAAAGTCCGCTCCAGTCCTCACTGTAGTCGTATCATCCGCAAATAAAAATAGCGATGTATTAGGAATATTACACGGCAGGTCATTAATATAAATTAAGAACAAAATTGGCCCCAAAACAGATCCCTGAGGCACTCCCAACTTAACGAGTCTAGTCTCAGAATTTATACTGTTACAAATCACAAGTTGAAGCCTCCGTTGAAGATACGACTGCAGTAAGGACCGCGCTCCCTCAGAAAACCCATAGGACTGGAGATTATTCAAAATATCGTTCCAACATAGTTTTTTTGGTTGAACGCTTTAGTTACTACCTCAATTAGGGCATTTACCGCTGCAGTGGTAGACCAGCTCTGCCTAAAGCCAAATTGAGACTCCGTAAAGTTCTTCAAAATGCGTGGTAATTTGTTTTACCAAGTCCTTTTCAAAAATTTTACTTAGTACTGGTGTTATGCTAATTGGTCTGTAATTATTGAGCTCATCTGCAGGGCTCTTTTTGTGCATTAGTATAACTCTGGATGTTTTTATTGACATCGGATAGGTTTTCAAAATAACAAAGGATTTTGGCTAATTTACTTAAAATTATTAGGGAAACTAAAATAGCTGGATAGTTTGTATTCTATCCAATTCAGTTTGGCTAATATAAAAACAAAAATTTCTAGTAACAAAAAATATCCAATGCTTTAGCCAGTTTGTAAACTAACCAACCAATTCTCTTGAAATACAAGTAAGGGATTTTAATTCTTTATTGATAAAAAATAAAATTTAAACCCAACCCAACCTTACGTTTTTAATAAATTAGCGAATTAATTAAAAAAGTGAGGTTGGGTTGGGTTGAGTATTTTTTTATTAATAAAGAATTAAAATTCTTTATTTGCATCTGAATCACGTCTATTTATTGGCCGTCTGGCTCATTATAATGGTAAGTTTACAAGAGACGTTAAAAAAATTTATGTAATTCATTTAAACTATAATTATAATTAAAAGTGTTTTTAAAAAGTAAAATATATAAATACAAACCACGCCAAGCCAATAAAAAATTAGATATTAATAAATTAGAAAGAATATTGGTTGGTTAGTTTGTAAACTATCTGAAGCTTGGCTATTCTGTGTTACTAGAACCTTTAGTTTTCATATTAGCCAAATTTAATTGGATAGTTTACAAATTATCCAGATATTTTAGTTTCCAAATAATTTCAAGTTAATTAGCCAAGGGTTTTGGTTGGTTTACAAACTAGCCGCTAATTTAGTTAAAAATACGTTTTTAATTATAATAGCTGATAGTTTGGCTACTTTATAAACTATCCAAGTTTACACTTTAGCTGCGTAACATATATACAATTTCCTTTATAAAATTATTATTATTATTATTATTATCATTATTATTCAGTATTCAAACACTTTAACAAAAACACTAGTTTTGCTGACGTTTCCAATTTGTTTTGTATTTTGCTGTGCACAAGATGAAAGGAAGAAAAAAATCGTTTGACCCCTGTCGAAGATGCGATTGCAGTATGCAGTTATTTGATAATATTGAATCCTTTTTTTTTATCATGGATTTCATTAAGTTAAAATTTGTATGGTGTTAATAAAGTCTAGAGCAGTGTTTTTCTTCCTTGAAAAGCTTATCCTGAGGTATATTTGGGCTCAACATATATGCCAAATATGACCTTTTTTAATTGAACTGAGTGAGCTTTACGTAGTTTATATAAGAGATCTTTCCATATTGATACACAGTCAACCAAAAAACACTTATATTTTATCAAGGGCATTGGCTACTGGTTTTAGTTTTGATAACAATCCTTTAGCCATTTTTTATACCTACATTTTGTACTTTGCAGTGCGTTTTATAGAGAACAATTTAAGGAGCTTGGAAGAAACAAATAATTTTAATTTAGATATACATACAGTATTTTTACACTGTGGTAGGCATAAAACATTTAAAAAAAAATCAACTGGTAAATAAATAGTTGGTCTACATTTTAAACCAATTTAGTGTTATTTTGAATGGATCTACATATTAATAAATCTTTTTTTACTTTTAACCACAACCCTTAATGCACATGTTAAGCATTTTCTACGAATTAGTTGAACGTTTTTTTATAACTTTTATTATACATTACGTAGTTTAAAAGCAATAAATAGTTTTTAACAAAAGATTATTTTTTTCCAAAATTTCCGTTTTTTGTCCAAAAAAAAACGGGCAATCGATTTTTTCGTAAATTTTAAATCTTACCTGCTCGTATTCTTCATTGATAATCTTGGGTTCTTCATGCCTTTGAAACCACATCATGTACTTGGTGTGGAACCTCCAGCTCTGCTTTTTGAGCGCCTTCGCGGCCAAGTATTGCGCTTTTGTCCCTTCCATGTAGTAGAAAACAAAGAACAACGTTTCCGTCGCCAATCGCTGGTAGAACTCGAGAGTGTCCGAGTGCGCGAGCGGCGACTGCACGTAGTAGGCGGGCGTGTTGAACGGGTTGCGCGGCAAATAGTTCCTGATCCGCTCGCTGTCGGACGGATGCGGAATGTGGTAGTACGCCGCCTCCATCAGCTGGAACTGCGTCTGGTGCTCCTTTTGCAGGGGGATGGCGCCCAGCGGGGCCACGCCCAGCAGCGGAGGTATGTGCGCGTCCGATTTGCCCTGGTTCTGACTCGACTTGCTCGATTCCAGGATCACTTGGTTGTTGTCGAGGCCCGCTCTGTCCACAACCTGTTGCGCCATCGATTTTAACGACGTCAAACCTTCGGATATCTATGACAAAGTTAATATTTAATTTTAACTTTATTATGATTATCGCCTGGGCTGTAAAATTAATTTAGACCAATCGGGTAAAGTTTCTTAACTCCTGGTATGCAAAAAAACTCATTTGGACCAATTAAAAAATTCAATTACTGTCAGATCTACCTAACGTCACTTTCTACTTTTAATAATTGAGGAGCATCCGTGCAAACCGGCTATATCCAAATGTTGGGAAAATGGCAAAAACTCTCGGTTTCCTGGCCTTTACAGATAAAAGAGAAAGCAAACTTGAGTTTTGTGGGCTTTGTGGCACTTGATTTATAAGACATACTTTCGTTTTCAAAAACTTTATATTAAGGCCAAAATTTCAAAAAATGTTTTGTATATAGCCGGTTTTGCTCGAAAACCGAATAAAAAACGAATAAAATGTGAAAAAAACCTTTATTATTCAAAAATATTAACAAAATAAATTTAGTGCAAACATGAAAAAACAGAACAAATTTTAGTAGTAGTATCGGCATATCCAAGCCACCTATTATTATTTATTGGATATAGCCAGGTTTGCTATAAAAACGTGGATTTGGCCGGTTTTGCTCCAAAAGCTACCTTTTAAATGTGATTTTAACATGGATTTAGTCGGATTTAAACTGAATTATCTTGGTTGTCGATAGAAATGAACCCAAAGATGCGAAATCAAAAAAAAAACCAAAAACTTAATAAAATGGATTTAGCCGGTTTTGAACGGATGCTCCTAAATTATGCCTTGAAGATACAATTATAAGTCTATATAGAAAGACTGCATATTAACACTTGTTCAAAAGACAAATTATTATTTAAATCTAAATTTTCATCATGCCAGTTAAACATAACTGATGTGACAGAATCCTAAGAAACAATTTAATAAAATGCTCGGCGATAATATGCGCTTTCTCCGCCTAGTTTATAATGTACAATATTTTTCTATTATATCTACCAATACACTATTTATATTATAACATCGTGACGTTACGCTACCAAGAAAATTTATTTAAAGTCTTTAAGGAAAAATTAATAGCAAAAATAGTTTTTTTTTCAACGGAACGGTTGTTTTTAGTGAGCAATATCTATAATAAAGGGTGTCCAATTAAGAGCGCTCTAACTTTAAAATGAAATAAAACCAACTACACTTAAGATATTAGGAAAAAAATATATTTATTTAAAAGAACATCCTATGGCATTCATTATGAAAAATAACATCTTTCAAATGCCCCCCGCAGCTGCGCTCCACAGCGCGCATTCTGCAGGTCCAATTTTCTATCACTTTTTCGCACATTTCGGGTTCGATTTCATTTACATATTATACGAGTTATGTTGGCCTTCAGTGCTTCAATTGTTCGTGGCTTACTCTCGTACACAAGGGACTTTACGTAGCTCCACAAAAAAAAGTCCAGCGGCGTTAGATCGCATGATCTCGCCACTGGATATCGCCGCCGCGTGAAATGACGCCGTTGAATTTTTCATGCGGCGGCGATATCCAGTGGCCACCGAGATCATGCAACTTTTTTTTGTGGGGCTACGTAAAGTCCCTTGTGTACGTGAATAAGCCACGAACAATTGAAGCACTGAAGGCCAACATAACTCGTATAATAAATGAAATCGAACCCGAAATGTGCGAAAAAGTGATAGAAAATTGGACCTGCAGAATGCGCGCTGTGGAGCGCAGCCGCGGGGGGCATTTGAAAGATGTTATTTTTCATAATTAATGCCATAGGATGTTCTTTTAAATAAATATATTTTTTTCCTAATATCTTAAGTGTAGTTGGTTTTATTTCATTTTAAAGTTAGAGCGCTCTTAATTGGACACCCTTTAGAAGCAGTTTCACACTGATTTTCGACATCATGTCCCAACCTACAAAGGCGTACAAGGAACACAGCACAAAAAATAACTGATTTTAAAAGTCAATATTTTACCCTAAAATTTCGCCATAATATGTAATAATATAATATAATATATAATTTCTAAAATACTTTAAATTTCGTGTTATATCTTGAAATTTTAGGGTAATATTCGATATGGCACTTGATATTTTAAAATTTCGAGTTTTAAGTAGAAACATTGATGAATTAAATTGATTGTTGAATTAAAATGTTACATGATAATTTTAATTAAATAATTAATTTTGTGCCTGGTTAAAGGCCCAGTCTAATTTACTCTTGAGTAAATAAAAATAGAGAGAGAGAGAAAATTTCAAGTTATAAACCAACATTTTAAAATTTCGAGAAACAAGTCTAGGCTTTACCTTTAAATATTAATTTAAAAATTATTTTTTTGTGCTTCTACCCCTTCGTACAGACCACATTTAACCGAAAACCCTTTTTTATGTTTAATAGGACCAAATTTGTGTACCTACCTGTAATCTAAAAGTAGTAGATCTTTAGATTATATTTATCCTAGACATTGTTTAATGAATTATGAAAAGTCTTGTTTTTATTCATGTATAAAATGTTTTAACAAATTACCTTATAACATTAAGTCATTAAATATTTTCAGTCATTTTTAAAAACGTGTTTTTGAACATTAAATTATTTTCACCCCTTTATTATTAGGTAATTTATTATTTGAATTGAAATTTTCTTCTTAAAATAGTGCTGAATGTGACATTTCTTTTAATTGTTGTAAATTTATACGTATTAAATGTATAACATTACTTTGAAATAAATAAATATATTATTATTATTTTACCCCTTAAGAAAGCAAAAGTTTCCCAGATCAAGATTATATATCTAGTTGATCTTGACCAAATTATCATCACCTATTATTTTTCTCTTATTATTTATAGAATAAAGAAATGTTTAACATTTATATTTTACTGCTAAAACTAATTAATATTCTTTGCAAAGAAAGGGCCAAAACTAGTAACAGTAATAAGTAACAGAAAGTATGTTTCCAATGGCAAAACATGTTGTAATTAATTGTAAATAGTTGTTTTTAGTTATTTTTTCTTACCTTTTCGTTCACGGTGCCATTCGTGATGGGAAGCGATGATTCAACATTCAACGGCGACGATTCGCTGCTGTTGTTTAAGTCAGGACTGATACAGTTGCTTTGTACATGCGTTTCAAATGATTTTTGTAATGCGTTTGCCGAGTTTTGCGTTGGCTAAAATTTAAATTTGGTTAATTTTATATTAAAATGTGTATTATAATTATGTTATCTTTATGATATTCAATGAAAATGACGTATGTATATTATTTTATAAACATATTTTTTAAACGTTAAGATCTTCAATTTTACCTGTGTCAATGTTATGGATGAGTTCATATGAAGGGATGTGTTGATGGCATTAGATGTATTTTGAACTGGAACTTGACTAATGTTGTTTATCACAGATGTGGAATTTGTATCACCACTTGCTGTAACAACATCACAAAAACCATATTTAGTTCATTTGCAACACAGCATAACAAAAATTGTAGTTCTTGATAAATATGTTTAGTACTTTAGCTTTATCATTAAATTAATTTCAACACCATTTACCCAAGCAGCATTTTTGGTTCCAAAAACCATTACCAAAGTGGTGATAACTTTAAATTAGTTAAGTATACTAAACAGCTACTTTAATTTTTACTTAAAAGTAATTCTAACTTTTAAATAGCAATATTTTGTAACAGAAACTTGATTCTTTCCTTAAATGGTTACTATAAAGTAATAAACATTTAAGTAAAACCTGGTTGACCCCAAGAAGATTTTGCAACTTTAAAAAAGGTGTTATAAGTAAAAAAAACTTTCAAGCAAATTTAATTTGTAGCAGTTACCTTCGGTTTCTACCTAAATATTACATTATAATTATTTTTATTTTGTAGTCCCTTTGCAAGTTAAAATATCGAAACTGGAACATGAGTTAAAAACTACAAAGTTAATAACTTAAAAGTTATTATTTTAGTATTTGGAACGTTGCGTAGCGAAAACTACTTCAAAGGAAAATGCTTCTTATCGGCCATTTTTTACTGAACAGTAAGACGCGGTAATGTAAATAATAAATTATTTTAATTGTTTGAAAATGGGTGTTTACTTTTTAATAAATAGTAATTTTGTTGGTAATAGACGGTATTAATAATTAAATCAAAAAATTAATAATAAATATTAAGATTTTTTTATTTATAAACATTATTAAATAAATAATTTGTTTATACTTTAATATTGTTGAAGCGCATTTATTTTACAAAAACTAAATTCATAAGTTCAACAGTAAAATTTAAAGGGTTTATAAATTTACCTGCCTATTTAAACATTATATTGTTATTCTGGAAGTTATAAACTACCAGTAGGTAGTGGTTCCATTTTAAAAAAGGAGGGATAAAAACAAATAAATAAAAGTAATTATAACGCTCTAGCAACGATATTGAAACGTTCTAGTAACTAACAGCTACGTTCCAAATAGTAGCAGGGTTTATAGCTAGTGACATATTTGCTACCTATTAGGAACTCAATAATTGTTCCCCACTTTAGTCGTAACTTAGTAATGAAAGAGTAATATAAAGAGACCGACGACTTTCGCAAAACACTTAGTTTCTTCAATGGTCCCATATACATAACAAATGTTGCTTGGGTAATTTGTAGGTGAATTTTCAAAAAATTTAAGTTTAATTAAAAAAGGGATATTGAATTATTAGTTTAACATTGAGTTTGAAGATTTAATTTTTACAAGTTTTTAATAAATTAATCAATCAATGAAAATTTTGTCAAAAACTTTGGAATTTTGCTTGGCAACAATTACTTAATACTAAGCAATAACATATTTGGTTATAAAATAAATTTAACTTTTACCTTTAAAACTTTTTTAAATATTTTAATTTTTCGTAATTTTCCTGTAGTCAATCGTATACAAATTTTCAAGCGTTGTTTTTTATTTCACTAAAGTGGAATACAATATTTTTTTTATTAAAATTTTTTAATTTGACAGTGGCTGTCAATAATTTTCAAAACATTGTAATCCACTTTAGTAATGTAGTTTTTTGACTGTCACTTTTGCGCTTAAGGGAGGTCCACATTTTTTTAAATATTGAGCAGTCGAAAAAAAAAACAAGGACGGGGAAAAGTTTTGAGATAAAATAAAATCACAGAATACCAAAATACTTACTTAAATTGCTCTTGGAGGTGTTAACAGCCGCGGCAGCAGCCGCAGCAGCCGCCGCAACCGCCGCCACTGTGAAGCCGCTGCTCGCCATCATCTGCGACGTCGGCGAGGGCTCCCTGCACGGTTGCAGCAGCTGCAGCTGCTGGCTGAGCGCCGCCGCCTGCTGAGAAACCGTCGACGACAGGCCGACGGACAGGCAGGTTGACGTGGGCGGCGCTTGTTTGCTCGGCGTGCTGCTCACGAGGTTCGGCGGCGGGTTCGACGTTTTGCCGCTAGGCGTCGACGCTGCGCTACTGCTGCCGATGCTGTAGTTCAGCATTGATGTGACGCTGTTGTTCAGAGAGACGGAACTGGCACGAACCGGGGTCGGTTTAATGGGCTGAAAGGAAAAAAGGTACTCCTTAAAAAGAGTGTCACTAAAAAATATATAATCAGAGCAGTATTTCTTGAAATTTGTAACTTTTTTTCTTTGAATATGGTTTCTATAGGATTGCACACTGGGGTGATTCAAAAAAATCGAATATTTTTTTTACTTTCGACACTGAAAAATTGGTTCTTAGGCACCTCTAGAAAGTGCCATTCCATTTTTTCTTTAGTCCCTTATAAAAAAGACCATATTTCATTATATTTTTGTAGGAAACTGAATGCTCTACAAAAAAGTACTGATGTGTTTAAGCAATTACTCTAACCTTTTAAAAGATATTTAAGATCAAAGTTTGAAGAATTTATAAAAAAATATTTAACTCATTAAAAAATAATTATTGTCAAATGAGTATGACATATTTTTGTAGGAAATTTAACCATCTACAAAAAAGGTTTAATTTTGAACTAAAGCTGGATTTATAGTTGGACGTAACGTAGACGCACTGCAAAAAGATCAACAGTTACTATATGCAGGGGCGCCGGAAGGCTTGTTGTTTGTGTTTAGAGCTCAACACATGGAATGCGATAATCAAAATTTAATTTTTGTGCATCTTTAATTACTCAACCCAACCCAACAATATATATATGCTCATTTGGCTGCCTTTTTTAACGTGCAGATAATGTTTAAGAAAACCTAGACTCTAGATAAAACAATCGAAAATCGTTCTTATTAACTTATAGGTTTGGTACATGGAGCCTACACAAGGAGCCCGAACTTCATGTAAACAAGAATCTTTCAAAGATAAGAAGGCACTGGTATTAATAAACAATTGCTTGATTTGTACCGAAACGCTACCAAAAGAGCAGACGTCAGTAGGCATTGACAATCAGCGCCGCTGGTGGTGAAAAAAAAAGACTTTGTGCAATTTAGAGGGCAGGTTTTGTCAATTTCCAATATTAAGTTCGGGCTCCTTGTGTAGGATCCACGGTTTGGTATACCACAACGTCAATATTATGTGGTTAATGAATTACAGAAACTTGTAAGTTAATTTAAAACCTAAGAGATGTCGCCACCGTAAATACATACCACATACTTCCACACAAGTATGTGAAACATAAACACTTTAAATGATTTTGAACCCCTCACCCCTGTAAATCCAAAAATAAGAAAATTGCCCTTCCTTTCACAGCAAAAGTAATCAAAAATTAAATCCACTACACCTTAGCCTGCTTACGTAATACTAGAATGCCTTCTAAACTATGACTAGGTCTACTCAACACACGCTTTCAAAACATTGCGGCGCCCCTTTATTTATATAGTCTATATGTATGTATACGTCTAGTGCGTCTACGTTACGTCTACGTCTACGTCTAACTATAAATCCAGCTTTAGTACAAAATTAAAAATGGAAGGATAAATTTGCATATATGTGTCCAACTTTTATCTGTTTCACCCCCGTTTCTTCCGTCCGACCAATGAAAAGAGAGAATTCTGTCTGGAGTTGGCAACACAGATTCTGTGTGCTGTCACTTTTTCTATGCTTGTTCCTTCATTTTCTATTTTTTTCTGTTTGTTGCACACTATTATTTATAACTAAATTACTAATTATTAGTTTTTTAAGCGTATAATAGTTTAATGAACTGTTTTTATTTATATTATAATATTATCTTATATATTAAATTTTGTGGAGTGGGTTACCTTAAAATAACGCAATGCTTAATCATAGTAGTTTGACCTTTGACAAAAAAAAAGAATAGAAAGGTGCACAACTACGCATGCGCCCAATTTCCGCTTCGCCGATTTATAAATTTAATATTTTTTTACAGTGTGTTTCTTACGTCTCCAGTTCGGTAACGTTTACATTCCGTCAAACTAGAAATTAATCACACAGGCATACAAAAAAAAAGTGGTCGGTCAGGCGGATTTGAGTAGTATGACTATATGCATTGACCCTCGCTGAATCCGAATCTGCTGTCGGTTTTGGCCGATTGTCTCGTTTTTTTTTCTAACCTTAAATTTCTTCAAAGGTAAATTTGTTCGAAGGGAACCAGTTTTATTTTATTTGCAAGATTACTTAATTTAAGATCATTAAATTTTTTTGAGGTAAAATTAATTTTTTACAAATTTTACGGTTTTTTGAGGTTAGAAAAAACGAGCCAATCGGCTAAATCCAACAGCAGATTCGGATTCAGCGAGGGTCAATGCATATAGTCATACTACTCAGATCCGCCGGACCGACCACTTTTTTGTGTCCTGTGTAATGGATCGAAGTCAGCACATCGACTACGTGGGAGTACAGTGTTGCCAACACTGGGAAATTGCATTCCACCAAATGGAAAAAATTCATTAGAGTACCACAAACTTTTTTCAACAAAAAAAATTACGCATTTTTAAAAACATTGTTCAATTATATAAAATAGATAATGTATCATAAACATTGATAAAATTTGAAAAAAATACAAATTAATACTAAAAATTCGCCATACCACAGTGTTGCTTATGGTCTATTGACAAAGACTGTTGCACCCAATGGGTGCCACCCATAAGTATGGCGACGTCAAATGGTCAATTACATACAAAATATGTTTAAATAAAAATATTAAAATCTATATCTGTACCCCAGAACCAAACTGTATTAAGTCAACTTTTTTAAAATCACGTTTCATGTTTTTCGCATACAATTCTCCGCTCTTTCTAATGGTAAAGGCAGCACTGTCGGATAGAGGGGGGTAAAATCGTCAACGAAGTTTATAAATTAATTATCAGAGAATTGCATCATTTCTGGGATTGTTGACACTAAATGTATTTTCTTTATTTAGTCCATTCAAACGTTACGAAAATAATGGTAAGTAGTAAGTGCCATGGCACCACTTTGCCTCTTTTTTTTACTTTGATAAACTCCCATCTTAATATTTAGAAGCGAGTCTGATTAACTCTGTAAATTTGCCATGCAATGTCAAATGTTTATTGGGAAACCGGTAAAAACTCAACCCAGGATTTCCTCTCGAAAAACACCCAACAACCCAACGGTTATTTTTTCGATATTTTTTAACATTTTCCTGCTTTATTTTCAAAAACACTCGTTTGTAACTGCTGATTATTAAAAGTTGTAGTTTTGTTCGATGATAACGGCCAAGTGGTGGCGCTACTAGCGATGCTTCTTTAGCGTATATACTAGGGTGTTTCATTTAAAACGAATTTTTTTTTCTTGCTGGCACATAAAAATTTTGTTTTTTAGGTTGAAAAAAAAATTCCCTGAAAATTTGAGACCTTAATTTTGATTATAAGTACTTCCTTTTTAATTTTGTAGGTTTTCCATATAAAAACCATGTATTTTTAATCATTTTTACTTTAAATTTCTATATTTTGGCAGGGTTTTGAATTATAATTTTTATCACCATAATTTCCTGCATAGTATTTACGGTTTTTGAAAGGCCCTGCATCAATTTTGTTTTTGATATATTTACGTTGATTGTAGTAGTTCCAAGAGTCGTTTTTTCACTTTTTCTCACGTATTTTTGAGAAAATCGAGCGAATGACTGGTTTTACCAAAAAAGTTCAAATAAAAAAGTTGTAGGAAATTTAATTTTTGACAAAAAAGGTTCTTACGTTCATATCACTTAAGTGCTTTGTTTAAGAGATATAAGCAATTCAATAACCAAAAATAAAGAAAATATAGGTTTTATTGAAATATATATCAATTGATTCCTTAAATTTCGGTTGGGTTGTGTTGTTGAGTTTGGGTTGGTTTGGTTTTATGACGTAACTAACGTGCCTTTAACATTTCGAATCGCGGCACATTTGTCAATTAAGCGATCATGCGCAGTAAGAGGAGCCGCCAGTGGCATTTAGTGTCTCGTAGTTTCGCAATGAAACAAGCAGTCCTTTCAAACGCTATAATAAGACCTAGCTGTGACCGTGGAATCACCGCATTGCAATGCCAGTGAATTTTATTAGTATTTAATATTCTTATTTACAATAATAATATTAAATTATTAATTGTTTCAACTTTTATAAAGTACACTTGATGAAACTCCATATTAACTATGTAAATATAAAAATAACTGTTTTGAAAGTTTCATGTAATTTATTAAATATTGACAATTTATTTGCTATACAGTTGATTCTTCAGAATGAGAAGAAGCTACTGTGTAGCAAAACAATTGTCAACATTTAATAAATTACGAGAAACTTTCAAAACATAGTTGTTTTCATATTTACATAAAGAATATTAAAATTACAGCACTTCACAGCCTTTTATTGTTCAACATTTTATTCCATACTGTTATTTTGATTTTCTTATTATTTTCAAATTGAATAAAAGTGCATTTTAAATTTGAATAAAACAAAATACACTTACTTTGGGCTGATCTTTGCTAATGGGCCTTTGCAATTTATCCACCTCACTGGAGCTCTCACTCGTGGAATGATTGTTGTAGCCGATAACGTTGGCGGCGGCTGCGGCTGCCGCGGCCACCGCCGCGCTGTTCATCATCGAAATGGGCGGTTGTTGCATCGCGGAGGGCGGGGGCGACGATATTGGCGACGAGCCGCTTATGATCGACGTGGGCGTTCCACCCGTATCGTTGCTGTCGGTGGTCGCGCTCGACGGCAAACCGACGCCGGAAAGTTCCACCTCGTCCAGACCGATTATGTCGTCGTAGATGAACTCGCTGTCTTCGAAATCGGGGTCCTGCGACGATTCAATGTAGTACTCCACATTGTCCTTTATCCTCCTGATCTGAAATTTAGTTTGTGATTTAGTGTGGTTTAGGGTGTATTTGTATGCAATACGGACTAACTAAAATATCCATTATTACAAAAAATAAGTAAACATTGAATTAAATTAAATTGAAGGGTATTACCACGAAACCTTACCCCACCTTGACAAAAAATCAGACGTGTTAACAAAATAACAACTATATCTGAAGTCAAATAGTTTAATTTCGACGTAATTTAAATCCTTAAAATATTCGTACATTGTGATGTTAAGAATAAACATTAAGAATAAACACGGAAGAGTTTCAATACTAGATAAAATGTTCAAATGTCTCACATTACATTACATTTTGTGAACATTTTAGAAAATAAAGTATGCAATTTTTGTGCCTTTAAAATACGTGCTTGTTTAAGGTTACTACTCAAGTTTTATACAAAAAATTATTACTATATGCTTTAATCCAAAATTTTACAGTATAAACTTTAGAAGCCAACTTGGTCGCAGTCAGGTTCCAGCACTTGAGAAGGCACCACGCGAGAGCGAAAGCTCTTAAAACGTAAAAGTTTAAAGATTAAAACCAACAATAATTTTTAAAAAGTGCACACCAATTATAATGAAACAAGCAATTTTCATAGAGTGCAAACTAAAATGGTGTAACGGTCAATGAGGAGTGAAGTGTTAAGTGATATGAATGAGTTAAGTGCCACCTGTCATTGGACGCTTTTCACTGGACAAACAAAGGAGGTCAAACAAGAGGGGAGGTGGCCATCCGCAAAAAATTGATAAGTAACCTTAAGCTTATGCATGACCTAACACATAATCTGCAAATTACGACAGATATCTTTAAAACCCTAAAAAAGGCACACTGCGTAGGATAATAAATCTGTCAACAACAAATGCGTAAGGCAAACCCAAACGAGACCAATAATAAACACTAGACACAAAGAATAAACTAACACATTAATCATTATAACCCTAACATAGTAAAAAAAGCATAATAACCAAACTCTAGTGGATTTGTAAACATTAGAAAAGAGAATAATTGCGCTTGTCATTTGTTTAACTAATAAATAAATGGAATACTTAAATTTGGAATTTAAGAAAAAAAGACAAACTCTACCACAAAACGTGCTTGGGACAAAAATTACGCAAACTTGAACGGAAGATCACTACACTACTAACGACAGACTTACCCGACTACCATCACCAACATCCCCGCGACCTGCTAATGGACAAAACCATTACCAAAAGGGTAAGAGTAGCCCAATTAAAATACTGGGCCCACGACACTCGTAGGCAACGCAACAACATACTACAAGCCACCCTTAAACTAGACCTTACAGACAAAAAAGTCGGGAGACCATGCTTCACATTTCATGACACGTTAGCACAAAACATGCACTTCTCACAAATTAACAAGACCAGTTGGGAGCAACTAAGCAACAATAAAATTAAAATAAAAAAATCAACTGACACACTTTACCAAGTGCAGGAACTATCTGACCAGGACACGGACAATGACAATAACGAACAAGACGAAGACCTCGACTAGGAAACTACACCCCTGCAGCGAAATAACAACTCCCCAACTCCAAATAGTAATCCCAAATGTTTGGAGTAATACTAACCGACTGGTCTAGGGGGATTCCGTCGTACTTAGTTTTAAGTCGGCGTAATTGTCCCCCAAAAACCAACAAACGTCCATCCCTCCCGTCCCTCCTCCTCTATACCCTACTGGGCGTATAGCATCGGCTCGGCGAACCCGAGAATGGCTATTAAAACTATTCGCATGTCGCTATCGAGACCCAAATAGGGGACAGTACGGAACGCAATGGACATTCGCACCCAGCAAACACGGGTGAAGCCGTGCAGTTGCTGGGGGCGAACAAAAATCGGCGTAATTAAACATAGGCCTGTACGGGGTCCGGGAGTGATGAGGCAATGGGGCTGATTATACGTCTCTTATACTCATACTCATACTTTAGAAGCCAACTTGGTCGCCTTTGCAGATGTCGCACCCGTTACGCTATTCATGACGTTATAAAAGTTTTTATTGACATTTACTTTGAGTTAAATACTTAATTTTTCATACTATTTTTTTATATTAACGTATCTTGATATATATGAACGAACACTTTATTATCACGAAAAAACGCATTTTTAGTGTCGCACCAGTTACAATGGAAATACCCTGAATTAACAAAGTAAACGTAACCGTTAAATATACTGTCGGTTGGGACTTTTTTGCAAATATTTAACTACAAAATAATGAATGATTTATAAAGTTAAATTACAAAATTTTAATTTTATAAATCAAAGTGTCAAATAAAAGTTTACGGCCATAACAAGCGCGTGAAACGCACGAATTAAAAAACTGTTTTTATAAAAAAAATTGTAGATAAATATTTCCTGCGTTTTTTTTATTTAATGTATAACCTAATAAAGAGGAATATATTTGACAATTTTGATGCAAAAATAATATATAATAAATTACCTATACCATTATACCATTTTTTATGTACAAACAGTTTTGTAATTTGTCCTGTCCGTATGCTTGAAATGGCCGTTATGTTAATATAGCATCGAATATGTTTTTATGCGGCCCGGTGGAATATTCTTACTGAATTCATTATGATTACAATCAGCGTCGGAAATTCATTTTTTTCTAGATATCAGTGTACGGATATCATCCGTAAAAATTTGGAAATGTTCAGAAAAATTCACTATTGCATTTTTTGTTGTATTACCCTTTGAATAAAATTTAAAAAATTAAAAAGACGATTTTTCTGAAAATTTCCCAATTTTCCGTTTTTTTTTCGAAAAAAAAAACCTGTTTTTTTGCCGGCTTAATTTTTCCGGAATATTCTATATTCCATTGAGATATAATATATTCAAACAAAATTATGGGTAAAAATTTAGAGACCATTGGGCAATTTTTGTTCGAAAAATGTTTAGCTGAAATATTCAAAGTTTGAGCTCAATGCCTTATAGGGTGCAGCGTAGCGAATTTTCAAGTATGTCTAACGGAAGGGTTTTGGGGACAAAACCCCCCAAAATTAAAAAAACGTATATTTTGGAAAAACATCATGACTTATTTTTATATTTTTATACTCTGAAATTTCACTAAAATATATTGAGCTCTCAAACTTTGTATAAAGGTATTTGAGGTATGTGAATCAAATTAAAAAAACAAAATTGCCTGGTGGTCGTTCTCTAAATTTCGACCCAATTAGCAGGTCTTAGCAAGCCTAAAAAAATTTTACTCCATGGTCAAATAAAGCTTATTGAGTACTATGTCCTCAAAAAAGTTCATTAAAATCGGTCAACGCGTTCCAAAATAATGGGATGTTGCGGACTTAAATCGCTCACACTGTAAGTTTCATATTCCTCATACCATAAGCCAGGCGCCCTTACAGGTTTGATTTATTTTCTTGGCGCCCCAAATAATTGTATTCAACAAAAAAGCACGAAAATAAAACAAAAAACGCTCAATAAATAAAATTTTGATATTCTAAAATGATATTAATAAATCAAATATCATTATAGTAACCCCTTGTATACATAAAATCTGACATCTATCAGACAGATTCTCCCAATTTAAAAGCAAATCACAGTGTAAACTTTTGTGTTGGCGGTTAAAGCGACATGCCAACAGGTTGCTTAATAAAAAAGTCCTGAAATTATTTCAGTCAAATATAGATGACTTTCTTTATTAGGATGCCAAATAAATCTACAATATCTAGATTGATTGATTTACGAACGATTTTTACGATGGATAGTTGAAAAATTTAAAGATATATCTGTACATACATACATAAATGTGTATATTACCTATTATACATATACATAAATGTGTATATTACCTATTATCTCTCTCTATATATAGAAAACAAACTGGAGTCAAGCCACGTCAAGTGGGACCAGAAAATTTCACGAAATCACCGATTTTGAAAATAATCACATTATTGTGTAGTAGGCATATGTCACAGTAAAAAATTTGCTTTTAAATTCGGTTTTTTGTTAATGTTATTAAAGTTAATAATATTGTAAAACTTTGGAGAACGGTAAAATTGAAAAAATAGAATCTCTGGGACCACTCTGTATAATTGAATTAAATTTTACACACTATTGTAGCAATGTTTAGACTATAGAATGATCATTTAATTAAGGTAAATTTGTTTAAATAAAAGAATTTTGCATAAACAATTAAAATTTTGTATGTGTTCTTCACGCTGAAAAAAAATTAATCTTGTGTCATAATATGCGGCAAACGTTTCCGTTTAATAAGATGTACTCAAAAATTTGTCTTTCATATGTCTTTCCGGAGATATTAATTTTTTTGTCTCGCTGTGTGCTTGATCAGTACGCGGCGCGCTTCGCTGCTAGCTCGTCCGTGCCTTCAAAAACTGATTGCAGTTTCTTGTTCGGGGCCATTTGGTGACTTAAATAAAAATCCTAGCTGCTCCTCTTTTCGAAATTTTTTGAAAAATCATGATTTTTTTTAAAATTTTTGTTTATCTCAAAGTTTACCTTGGACAGAGTACACATTTATAAACCGATTTTTATAAAATTGGAGTATATTATTAAGGAGACTTAATGCTGTTCACATCATTTGATGTATACAGGGTTAGCCAAAAATCACTATAAATAATAATAAAGCAAAAGCGCAAATTCATGGTTTTGGCATAACACGCAAAAAAGATTTATCCCCAATTTTGTTTAGATATTTCTACGTTTATCAGGTTACAAAATGGCATTCGTATTAACTTTTTACAATAAAAATAGATTTTTAATAAAATTAAATAAAATAACGCATAGAAAATATTTAAAATTTTGTTTAATTTAGGCTTTTTAGTAGTTTTCAATTTTGAACGAACAACTGGTTGAAGTTTTTTGATCGGCACTCTTTGGTGATTTAAAAACGATATTTACCAAAATTCGAACTGCTTTTTTTAAATTTGTAAAAAAGTCATTTTTTTATTTAATTGTTTATACCTTTGCCAGAATACACATTTGTACACCAATTTTTATTGGAGTATATTGTTAACGAGAGAGAATACAGGGTTACCAAATATCACATTTTTATATAGTAAAAAGCATAATGCACAAAAAGGATTTATCTCAAAAATTTTAAAAAATCATAAATTTTCAAAAAATTTCGTAAAGAGGAGCAGGTAGGATTTTGGTAAATATAATTTTTAAGTCACCGAAGGGTCCCGAACCAGAAACTGCAATCAGTTTTTGGCGGAATTTTTATGTTACTTAAACCTCGTTAAGGCACACCATGTGCTGACGAGCTAGCAGCAAAGCGCGCCGCGTACTGATCAAGCGCACAGCGGGACAAAAAATTTAATATCTCCGGAATGACATGTGAAAGATAAATTTTTGAGTATATTTTAGTAAACGGGAACGTTTGCCGCATATTATGACACAAGATTAATTTTTTTTTTAGCGGGAAGAACACATACAAAATTTCAATTGTTTATAATAAATGTATGCAAAATTCTTTTATTTAAACAAATTTATCTTAATTAAATGATCATTCTATAGTCTAAACATTGCTATAATAATGTGTAAAATTTAATTCAATTATACAGAGTGGTCCCAGAGATTATATTTTTTCAATTTTACTTTGTTCTAAAGTTTGACAAAATTGTTAACCTTAATAACATTACCAAAAAACGAAATATATTAAAACCTAATGAGCTGGCCAAGTAGCCTTTAAGTAAACTAAAGGCCATTGCCCCTGAACACAGGGCTCTGTATACATATTGATAAAGAAGAAATCACAGTGAATAATGAAATCAGTCAATTACGTTAGGGTTATAATGGTTGTATAATGGTTATAGTCGCCGCGGCGAATGTTTTCCGTTGCGTCATCAAATTCAAATGTCGAAAACAGGTTTTTCGACATAAGTCCCACATGAGCCGCGGCGACTTTACCAATCTAAACGATAATGTTTTTCAACAATTTTTTCAGAACCTATTCCAGAATGCTGGATTATTTTATTATTTATTAACGCATTTTTTATTTATTTATATAACATAATTAATTTAAAAAATCCGTTAATAATAAAATAATCCAGCATTCTGGAATAGGTACTGTCAATTTTTTTCAGTACCGTACTGAAAAAATTGTCAGCCCCAAAATTAGATATATTTAAATATTTGTTAACTCAATATAAAATTTATAATTGGCGCGTTTTATTTAAAAGGTGTTCCGAAAATGGCACACTAATATAGGCAATATAGGCGGATTATTTTAAGTATAAAAAATACCATTTTTTTCTGGCAAGTAGTTTTTAAGTTGTGAAGCATTTAAATGTTATTAGAAAATATTTTCACATACCTAAATAAATATTCTTGAAAAATTAAAATAAAAAAAGTAAAAATCAATTTTTAAACCCTTTAACTCAAAAACCACTTGTAGGATTTTTTTGTACTTAATATAACCCCCTATAGTGTGGTTTAGAGTGCCACCCTGTATAAGAAAAAGGTAAATTAAAATTTTTAACAAGGTAGTAACATTCAGGAATTACCGTTTAATTTTTTTACTCATCTTTTCCAAATGCTTTGTATAAGACAGTTTTTAACTTAAATTAACTTAATATCAGGTTTATAAATAAATAAACTATGTGGTAAAAGTAAATATTATTTTCTTACCTGTTGCACTTCTACAGACATATTATCCAACATCCTTAACAGAGTTTCAAGCTTTCGTATGTGAAACCTATGTTTTTCCAGCCTAGATTTAAACTCATCCATCCGTTCTTGTTTATCCTTATCTAGTTTTTTCTTTTTATTTGCTAGGAGAGACTCAATTTCACTTTCAAAAGCATCAGTCTGTATATTTAGGAGATCAATGGAAGCAACCAACCAATTTTGTATTTCTTCTCGTTCTTTTTGAGCAGGATCAAGTTTTTGTGCTGCCCCTAACCCTTCTTTTGAATACGCCTTTGTTTTTGTTTCCCTTTCGACAACTTTAAACCTTTCCATTTGCTGTAAAAAAACACAATTGTTCAAATATTCTGTAAAAAAAAAACTTGTGAAAAAGGCTGGTTACTAGAATTAAGTAATACAAATGGAATTTTTTTAAATTTGTATTTTTTTGCATTTTATTAAAGTAAAATATTCTATGTTACAGATACAGATATTCTACAATAACTGTTGGGCCCTTTTACTATTAACAGGCTACTGCAAAACATTAAACGCGTTTTTCTTAAAACTATTTTTTGGATACAGTGGCCACTATATTTTAAACACCACGTTATGGATTTAGTTTTTCAAATCTCAACGAGCAATTTTATCCTCAAAATTCATAAAAAAAACTTCAAAGGCTGCCATTTTGCAAAATTGAAAAAAAAAGCTTTAATCCTTATTAAGATAAACTATCAAACTAACAATTTTTTATTTTAAATAAACCACTAAGAGTGGATAACAATTAAATTGATAAATTGGTCCAGATCTAGGTAATTCAAATTATTTTTTTTTTATATTTTAGTGAAAGTTGCTTAAAATATATTGTAAAACATTACACAACAGTTCATAAAAACTTCTTGAAAATGTCTACACCTCTCACTTCATGTCAGAGATATTATATAGTCAATATGTAAACTTAAGCATTTAAAAAAAGGAGTTTGTTTTCAATATAGTAAATTATTATTAAAAATCTAATTAGACAAACTCTAATAATCAACTTACCGTTTCAATTAATTTCCTGTTATCCATTAAAATACTCTTGTCCTTTATTTCACCTGAGGCAATCCAACTTTTAATTTGATCTCGAAGTCTTTGCAACTTCTTAATTTCCTTTTTGAGGTCAGCCTCGTATTTTTCCTTTTGATTACTATTAGTGGCATTATGAACTTTTTGCCATATATCCTCAAAAGTTTCAACCCCCTCAGTTACTTTTTTTAAACATCGATCTATTTCACCTGAAATGTAACACATCATTGTAAATCCACTGAAGAAACCCTTAATATTGCCATACAACTTTCATAAAAAACATATTGCAAGGGCTTTGTTTATAAAATAGGTTAGATTACGTTTACAGAAACATTTAAAATGGAGCCGATTTCGAAAAAAATTCCTTATATAGGTAACTAAAAATATCTTGCCAATAACAGTTCAGTTAGGAAACGAGGGAAGAGCCAGTTTATGGCAAAAAATAACTTACCTTGTAGTTTTCTAGTAGCCGCCATGTCGAAATCATTCAGTTCATGTTAAAATTGTCCACCTTATCCAAATACAATCCAGTAATAATAACTTCCATGCAATAATAAATAATATTACCAATGCTTTAATTACAAAGGAAAATATAAAATAATACAGTTAAAGTTGTATTCTAGAATAAAACATAAATAATCAGTCCACTGTCACGCTAGACATCAAAGATTTCAGTGACGCCAACGTAAAAACATAACTGTAACTACATTTTTAGAAACGTCAAAAAATATTTTATTTATAAAAAGATGTATAAATAAATAATTTTAGCAATATTAATGAATATGAATTTTTAAACATTGTATCATTATAACAGTTTCAAAATATTTTTCAAAAAGTTTTGTATGCAAAAACCTATACATCTGTGTATGAATATTGCCTAGCTGTCGCATAGAATTTTGAAGTTTATATAGTTGAGGTTATGTTAATTGTATGTAACATGTGATTACAAAAGTTTTTTAAAAAATCAAAATAATGGCAGACTTAACAAAACTATTGCAAAATAATTTTCTTGTTATTGAGCATCTTTTTTCCACCCCGGCGAACAGTGCTGGTGACATCGACTGCACGAAAATATCCTGGATTTCCCATGAAACAGTGAAAAACTTGGATGTTTGGAAAACGTTAATAGATGCCTCGTTTGATGGGGAACAGTTACTAGTCATTTTTAACTCCATGTCCGAAGAAGAGAAGCAGAAGTATTTTAAATTTGGCGTTGCCTGTTTTACTTTGTTTGTTCAAAGCAATTTTACTGGCCCAGAACTGCTTCTAGAAGTGGTTGAAGACTTGGAAAATGAAATGTTTAAAAACACTGATTTCTACAAACTGTTATCTGTTAACAATGAGGAAATTAGTAGCAACACTAAACACCCTGCTTTGTTTGTAGCATCAAAATGCATATTTGCTTGGTGTATCGTTAACAATGTTGTCAATTATTGGTGGCTTATTAGGTCTTTGATTGTTCATCAACAAATATTGGATGATTTAAGTCCCACATTGCTTGCTACTGCAGATAATTTGTTTAAGATTATTGATAAAATGGAATTGCCTGGTAAGTAACATTTTTGCAAAAATATTTTACACTGGTGCCAAAGATTTAACATACTTTATATATATTTAATCTTTGATAGTGACTTAAACTAATTTTAAGAGGTGCAGATGATTTGTCATCTTATTTTACTAATTGGGCCCTTCTGGCTTTAAAAATCAAGTTATACTTGTCTTCATTGGTTTTAAGATCATTATTTTAATTTTTATACCTAAAGAGTCAAAATTGTTCAGGTTTTATGGATTTTTTTGTTATTGAATTGTAAAAAATATGATTTAAAGACATTAATAATATTTAAGCAGGGTGTTATGGCTATATTTTATAATAATAATTAGGGATAGAACGATATCACTTTTTTTTGCCGATACGATATATCGGCCGATACCGATATTTACGTGCCGATATACCGATATATCGTATCGGCAAACATTGCCATCTATTTATACACGACCGAAGCAAAGTCCCGTTTTAATTCCGTTGCGAGGAAACGTTTGTGATTGGTAGTGAGTGACATTTCGGATTTCTGGGAGGCCCCACTGTGGTAGGGATTGAGAATTTATAGGTTTTATTTTTATCGAATTCGTTTGTTTTGTTTTAACGCATTTCTGCAAATAAAAACTAAGTATTGTTTAAAATCCATTAAATTCCAGTTAATGGCGAAAATGTATTTCTTAAAAACTATACACATTTCCCTACGACAGTATTTCATTTATGCACTGAAGAGTGAAAAGCGCATTTTTTTGCCGATATATCGGCAATTATTTTGCCGATACGATACGATACCGATAATCGGAAACAATTGCCGATATGCCGATATACCGATATCAATATCGGTATCGTTCTATCCCTAATAATAATGCTTTATTGAACTAAAACCAAGTTCAAAGGCTATTGACCGTAGTCCTAATTTTACCTATACAAGTTATTCATTTTATTCTTTTAAGTAGGTACCACCTACCAAGAAATATATTGAGGTTATTTAGAGTATAAAAATGTTTTTTTGTTTAGTTTTTAAATTATAAGGTTTATTCTTAACTACTTAAAAACTATTTGTTAAAAAGAATGTAATTTTTTCACACTAGCCTCTGTTTTCCCTACTAAGTCTAAAACAAGATAAAGCAAAACCGACTATTTTAAACCAACTTAATATATATATATATTAAGTTGGTTTAAAATATATATACATATATGTATATATATTTTATGTTATTCTTTTAAATTCAAAAAGCCTTTATTTTTAATATTACTTTGGTATCAGCTTGCCCTTTTGCATAGGCCTCCCCCTAGAGTTTGCTATAATTTACTATTTTGATGAGTATTTTCCTTTTGCAGCAAATCTGCAGGGTTATTCTTATAAGATTTTAATTATGACAAAATTATTAATTTCAGAAAACATCAAGGCTTCAATTGATATTGAACTTGGCCAACTGTATTTGATATGCAGACACATATCAAAAGCAAAAGAGTACATTTTATCAGCCAGTAAGATATTAGGGATAAATTACAACCTAGTTGGAAGACTAGGCAAAAGAACTTGGCATCAAGAACACGAAATTGCTCAATTATCTTTGGAAGTAAAAGTAGATGAGAAAAAGGAGAAAGAGCCCACTAAGCCTGAACCCAGCCAAGTAGACATACCAGCTGATTTACCATTAAATGACGAAATACGACTGAACTCAATAGCATACAGCGAACCTACTACAGAAACGAAAATTGTGCTTAGTAATATAGAACAAAAACTCTTTCTGACTATAGTACATGACATGTTTATTTCCAAGCCAGCCGATGAACTTCAAGCTGAAGAAATCCAACCATTTGTTGACATGATTTTAAGCCAAAAAAATTCGTACACAGTAAGGTCAGTAGCTCTTTTATACAGATGTCGACTTGAGGGCAAAAACTACCGAACCATAGAGCGCTGTTTGCTCCAAACTGAAGAAGTTATAAACAGTTTTAAAAAGGATAGCCCCACATTTTTATATAGAGTTCCAGATGTATTTGGGGCTGGTTTGATACCAATTTGGAAAGTTGAAGCACAATATGCTGATTTGCTTTTGAATATTGGTCTTGTTAAGAACAGTTTAGAGATTTATTTGAAGCTTGAGCTTTGGGAGGAAGTTATTGTTTGCTATACTATTTTGAAGCTGAAGCATAAGGCTGCAGAAATTATTAAAGAACAGTTAGATATGAATCCTACAGTAAAATTATGGTGTTTGCTAGGTAAGTAACTTTCTTATTAAAAAGAGATGTTAGTCTAATGAATGTTTTGATTTTAAAATTTTAAGTGTTACAGTGTAGGTATAATTCGTGTAATTTTCAACAGTTTTGTCTACCTTACATTTGAACTAAATACTAAACTATAAATATTATAACAGTAAAGTAATTAGTAATCAACACTCACTGACTACTTTTTGAGGACAAATTCATTAGTCTTGTTTGAGCAATTTTTATATTACTTGCTTCAAATTTTCAGTCTTTAGTCCCAGGAAACTTTTTGTAGACAGGGTTTTTCATTAATAGTGCAAAGATTCCAGGGTTGTAATGATTTAAATCGCGATTTTTTATCATATAAATTTTTTTTATTTTGTTGTATTTTATAAAAAAATAGAATTTTTTGTTGATGTGTTTTTTTTTGTTAGTTTTATTTTATTTTGTTCCAAGAAAACTTTTATTGTTGGTACAGTGTTGCCAGATTGGGCGATTTATCACAAATTGGGCGATTTTTAACTCGCTCTGGCGACCATAAATTTACAAAAATCACAAGTCGCCATTTGGGCGATTTTCGGCGCTAGTCCGGCGTCAGCCCCAAGGAGGGTAAAATAACTCACCAAAGCTATGATCGGAATAATATAAATAGGTTCATCGACATAAAACATATATATATGTATATGTTTTATGTCGATGTCGAATATGTAAATAAGTATGTAATATAAAGCAGATTTTACGCTGATTGTAAATGTTAACTAAACGATGTTATTTAAATAAAAATCATGCGTGAACATGTTCAGTTATTTTTTTATTTTACAAGTAAAAATTCACAAAAAAATGTACTTAAAAAAAACTGGCGACTTTTACTTTATTTTGGCGACTTTCGCCGCCTCTGGTGGCGACATGAAATTTTTTTATCTGGCAACACTGTGTAGGTATATTAATTTTTTAAATAAATATTAAATAATTTATTTTGTTGAATATAGATGATTAAAATATACTAGTTATACTAAATGTAAGAAGTTGACTAATAAATTTGTCCTAATAAAAGGTCAACATACCTACTTAAGACAGATTTTTTTTTACATTTTAACTCAACCTGTTAATACAAAAAATTCTACCAAAAATCAACAAAACTCAAGAATTTTGAAAAAAAAATACAATTTAAATAAAAAAAATCTGACTTGAAAAATTCAACAAAAAACTACCTTGCATACATAGGTATAGGAAAAAAACATCCATTTTACTAATTTCCGGAAAAGCTTTGTTCCCAATATAGTGTTGTAATTTTTAAAATTATCTAATATTTCCTAATAATTAATGATGATTAATTAAGATTTAATTATTTATTCCAGTGGCGTCCCGTGGGCTTCTCGGCTGTTATTTTGTAAATAAATTTGACACGCCACTGTTTTTAATTTGTTCCACATTCAAAAATAAAACTGTGTTGTCTCTTTACTGTTTTTCGCATCTTACATTCAAATTTAAAGAAACTCAAAAACAGTGTTTGTTTTTTTATCCAGTTATATATTAATATAAATATATCTACATTTTTATCATAAAGTTAGTGAAGTTTATTAAGCTATTGTTATTATTTTTGTTGAGGTTTGTCTCTGTATCTCGGAAACGAGAAATTTCCGCTAACTAGTTAATGGAATATTTTTTTTCTATGCAAGGAATCTCATCTAATTTTTTTATACAAAGAATACCTTTTAATAATATTATATTTTCTTATAGGCGATGCTACAGATGATATAAGCTGCTATGAAACTGCCTGGGAAATGTCGAAAAAACGCAGTTACAGGGCTCAAAGGCATTGGGGTCAATTTTTATTTGAAAGAAAAAAATATTTTGAATGCATACCCCATTTTGAAAAGTCTGTGAGCATAAATCCTTTGCAGCCAAACATATGGTTTAGATTGGGTTTCGCCGCGTTGCAAACTGAAAATTGGCAGGTTTCTGCTACCGCTTTTAGAAGATACACAACTTTGGAACCTGAAGGTTTTGAAGCATGGAACAATCTTGGCCAGGCATATATTAAACTAGGAAACAAAAGAAGCGCCCACCAAGCCATTTTGGAAGCCTTGAAATGTAATTTTGAAAACTGGAAAGTCTGGGAGAATCTCTTGGTAGTTAGTTGTGACATTTCCAATTTTTCCGATGTGATCCGCGCATATCACAAACTCTTGGATCATAAAGGTAAATACATGAACATTGAAGTGCTTAGTGTTCTTGTATTTGGTGTTCTCAGTGAAATAGTAGATGCAGAAGGCAAGTCATCCACTTTATATCTGAAAAAAACCCGCGAATTGCTTGGCAGAATAACGTCAATACACACAAGTGAGGGTTATGTGTGGGAGCTCTACGCCATATTGGCTCCAACTTTGGTCCTGAGAGTCCAAAGATTGCAAAGAGCTTACAGATCGTACACCCAAACAGGCTGGGACAAGAACGTCACCCTGTGCCAACAAGTCCTCCAAGTCTGCATTAAACTATCAGAGGCTGTTTTAGAAGAGGAAATGAGTCCAAAAGAACCTAGTTTAAACTCCATCAGGTTGAACATCAGTTCGGCTTTAGCGGCTGTCAAAAAGCAGGATTGGGAAGATACCAAAGAGTTAGTGAAGGAGGTCTCTGAACATTTAGACAGGGTTGTTGACAAGATTAAAAGTGGTTTATAATTTGTTTTAAATTTTTTATATGAGAAGATTTTAACTGCTTGTTAAGTCTTTATATATTTATTTGTCAACTTTTTTGGTGCTGAATCATTAAAAAACTGATATCTTGGAAAGTGTTTTATTTTTTCAAATTTTACTTGCAGGGACAGTAGCACATTTTGACATACTTTTTTAGTCTGTCTGATTATTAGTTTTTGTCAGGGAAATAATAAAAAGTGTAATTTAATAAATAATTTATTTTTTATGTACACTCACTTTATTTAAGTAAAAACTGCCTTAAGTACTACTTAGTCACTAACACTCATCTGCAGGCTCTGTACCAAAATATCTACGAAAAATTCAACTATATATTTACAACACAACAAAAACTATATAGTTTGTTTACCTGTCTCCAAAGTTACCAATGCCGGGTATCACGTAAAATTTGTCGTTAATTTCTGGGTCGATAGCAGTCGTGACAATCTGAACTTTGGGAAAAGCGTAGGCTATAGAGTGCACGCCCAATTCGGCCATCAAGAGGGACACTATAAGAATGTTGCTCTCGGCAACGTCATGGTCAAGTAGAACTCTAATGGCCATCATGGCGGCAGCACCGGTGGCCACTGTGGCATCCATAAGGATCACCTTGTAATCTTTTATGTCTTTGGGCAGTCTTAGGTAATACAGCTAAAATAACAAGAATATTTTATTCAGCAAAATAATCTTTTACCAGTTGTAAACATTACTCAATCAATAGTTATTTATGTCATTAGGCCAAAAAGTGGGCCTTTTTGTGCTGAGCTCAAAGGAGAGCAAAGCACAAAAAACCTTCTGGCATACAAAATTTTATCTTTAAGTGGAAATTTCAGAATTTAAAGTCAATTTTATTTCTTAAGCACTTCATACCCCGACAACAATCGGGATTTCCTAGTGAATTAATGATGATATCACAACGTGATTTTTTTATTACGCTGTGATATCCAAAAATAAAAATAGGTAAAATGTTCAATAAAAAGTTTACATGAAAAATGTGTATTATTATTGTGAGACACTTGCAATTGCATTAAATAGTAGAACTTATTTACATTTACAAGCACGTGTAATTTATTCAGAGTAAGAGCAACTTATTACTTTCTACATTTTTCTTTTTCAACTACAAAAACCAAAACATGGGTTTTAATTGCTATTAATTTGAACTATTGCAATAAAATCGATGAGTTTAAGGCAAAACGACACAGGCGCCAAAAATTTTAAATTTGTTAGAAGTACATGTACCTCGATAGATAATTAAATTCTCTATCGACCTTTTTCTTAAAAAAAAAACAATTTGGCGCTTGTGCTGTTTTGACTTAAACCCATCGAAAAATACATTTATTTCTATATAAAAATAATTTTAAAAGTTGTATTGACCATCTCCAATTAATCCACTAAGTAGTAGACCGAGCACCGCTGCAATAGGTATACTATAGTAGCTGCTCGCCGCACGGTCCCTACGCGCTTCAACCCTTATTTTTTTTTACTTATTCTTGGGATCCCATCTTCATATTACATCAAAATTTAGGGAATTGAAAAAGCTTTCTTTTAATATTAATTTTTAAAAAATCCAATGTGTCGCATTTCGAGAAAAAAACAAATACATTTTTATCGTAAAGCGTGGAAAAAATGCTAAACGATATGTTGATTATCAATTTTAAAAAAAATTATTATATACATGAATATTTCGACGTCTTTTAAGCGCACGAGAAAAGAAATAAATTTTCAGGCCCCCCCATTAGGAAAATTAAGGTAGTCCAATAGGACAATTATTTGTCAGTTTTGTTAAAATCGGAGACAACATCATTTTTAGGTGGGAACACTTGAGGTGTTTTCCCCCATAAGTAGGTATACTTTTTCTCTCAATGTACGAATGTGGCGCAAAAATAAATATCCAAACACCGATGGCATAAGAAATCACGACATGATTTTTTATACCATCGGTGTTTGGTCATAAAAAATTACGACATGATTTTTTATGCCATCGGTGTTTGGATATTCATTTTTGCGACACATTCGTACATTGAAAGAAAAAGTATGTTAACAATTGAATCAACAGTTTAACATTCAATATTTTCTTGGATTTAAATTAACTATATATAGTTAATTTAAATCCAAGAAAATATTAAATGTATTTAACCGCAAAAACTGTTGATTCAACATAATTTTTCTCTTAATGTACGAACGTGTCGCAAAAATGATTATCCAAACACCGTTGGCATAAAAAATCACGACATGATTTTTTATGCCATCGGTCAATCGCAAACAGCGATGGCATAAAAAATCACGACATGATTTTCCTAAAAAATAACGTACCAAAATTACGTGATTTCGGAACGTAGGGTAAATGATTTCACAATACTTGCGAGTGGAATGCACGACACGATGTTGCTGGGCTACATTTTGTCTGGCGCGCCTCTCAGTTCTATTGACCGCACCATAACAAATTTAATACCAAAATTAAATATTGTAACTGTTGCTATACACTATAAGGTTTAAGGAGGTCCCTACACTATCAATATTATTGCACAATATGTTGTATTAAGCAATTTAGTTAACATTGTGTTGACAATATTGCCTAATTTATTTATATTGTCTGATTGCCTAGGGACAATTACCAGTTTTTTGTGCAGTAATATTGAGCAAAATATTTTTTAAACGTCTAGGGTGCCTTTAATACACAAAAACCTGTTGATTCCTTGAATGTTTTGTCTATCTCTAATAAGAAATTTTTGGTATTAGTTTAATAATTGTACAATATTAGGTATATTGGATTCCATCTACCCTACCTAACAAACTTAATTTTTTATGCACCGTTCCAGCGAAACGATTCCACCCGCCTCGTTATATTGGTTATAGGCACCGATTAAGTTCAGCCCAAGTCGGCGCGCCGTGAAAGTCGAACAAGAAACGAAACGAGGTAACTGCGCAGTTCGACTTTAGCGACGTTCACTCACGATGGTCGGATTCTCTGTTTCTATTCAGTTCGATCCGCTGTCACATCGTTCCGATATATTTAGGAACGTTCCGGAACGTGATTCAAAAATATCGTTCCAAAATCACGTTATCAAAATCACGACCCATCACTACGTGGTGGGACTTTGAGGTGTGGAGGATAGTACATATCGGGAAAGAAATTGCCCTTAAAGTTTCATTCCTTAATCTTATTCCCAAGTACTTTTATTTTGAGTTTACTGTTTTCCCATTGAAATAACAGAAAATTAAGGATCTTTTTTTCAATTTCCTATAGCTTGGCGGTATTTTGCGCTACTAAAATTAGGTACGATTTATACATAATTAGATGCTCTTTAAAAGTGCTTGCAACAATTTTTATACAACCTATATTTTCGACCTATTACCTCTCACCAAAGTCATATTTTTATTTTTTTTTAAATAGTACTTTTGCCTTTTACGGCAATACATTTAAAGTTATAGGTAAAAAATAAAACAGAATTTTAAATTAACTAGAAATACTATAAATACATTTGGTACTTTCACATTAGAATTCGATACACTCTTTATTTTGTTTATTATAGTAATTTATGATTCTTATCTGGCCGACCACTTGAGGGGTCTGAGGGGTCGTTACAGAAAGACCAAATAAGAAAGTTTTGGAACAGTTCCTGTTCTTAAAATAGCATAAAAAAGAGCGTGTAGATAAGACAGATTTTAAAACAGTTACAACTGGTTGTTTGAAGGGAACAGTTTAATTTTTGTAAGGGAGTTAATTCAACTATTAAATAATCAAGTTTATTGTATTTATATAAATTCAGTTATTGTAAAAGTGTATTTATCTGACTATTATATATAATATAGGTATGTCTTTTTATAGGTTATTATTATAATCTAAGGTCAAAAAGATCATAATGAGTGGTTAAATATTTAATATAAACTATATTTTATTATTATTTTATCTTGATATTTTTGAAAGAAGAAACAAGTTGAACTTTGTATCTTAATGGTTGTGGTTAGACAAACCAAATTACTTCTTCATTATAATCATTATTTTATGTTTATTATTATATTTATTTTTCACTTTGACATAACATATTTGATTGTAATGCAATCTAGCATTTTACTTTATATTGGTATTTAACTTTTATATATTTTATTTTGTACAGTTTATTTTATTTTATATATTGACATTCATTATTTTATATGTTGAGTCAATTTCTGTACAACAAATATTTGTTAGAATTTTCTTTCTATTGTTTAACCGTTTTGATAAGGTCGAGGGGGTTAAGCCATGGAATACCAGTAATTATCTATCAACCTATTTTTACAATAAAGTGACCAGATTCTTTCAAAAAATAAGGGGACATTTTGTATGAATTTACCTTAATTACAAAATTGACACAATTATACAATGCAAATTGTAAATTTAACGTTACTTAATTATTGTTGATTGTGTCATTTTTATAATTTATAGGTTAATTTACACAAAATGTCCCCCTATTTTTTTACAGAATCTGGTCACTTTAGGTGATGTGAGTTTTTGTGACATTGTCTTATTTTTTTTATTATTGATAATCATTTTATTTTGCTATATATTTTATTTGTACTGACATATTTTTACTACTTATTATCAGTGATGGGTGGTGAGTAAATACCCAATGGATAGGTAAATAAAATTTGGGTATATACCTGGTATATACAGATAGGATGGGTATGTGGGTATATACATTTTAGGGAAAATCGGATATATACCTGATATTTACCCGGTATATACCGGTTATTGTCGACAACTTGAATTCTATTATAAAGTTTTTTTGTGGTTTCAATATTCGTTTCTAATTATTAACGTGCTCCCTAGCCCCGTTCGTTACAATCACAGACCACCAAAACAAATGAACGGCGCATTACCATTCAATAACAATGCTTTGTTTGCGGTCAACGAACGGTCACAGTCTAAGCGTTAAATTGGCTATAGAATTTTATATTTTCTTTCAGTGACGTATTGCGTACTCCAAAACAGCTGACATAACAAATATGACAGCTGACTGCAACCAGTGCCGTGGTGTTAAATAGGAATAATTTAAAAAAGTTTAATTTAATTGTGATTACGATACGTTTTTTAAATTAAATTTATTTATGTTACATGCGGTGGTTTTAAATAGGGATACTTTAATTTCATTCAGTTTTTATTGAAATAATAATCATCAGCAAAGTTTAGGTTTAGTGAAACAAATTGGTTTATAAATCTTTTAAATAATTATGAACAAATATTGGGATTAAAAAAATAATAAGTTTTTAGTAAAAAATAATATATTTAAACTCCATAATTAACTTAAACACGATAGAAATACACAAACGAAAACACAAAACAACAAGCTGTCAACCTTTTTCTATGCTGTCAAATATGACGAATTTACCAACGTTGTTAATATTTAATTTTAATAATTATTAAATGATTTACTTTCTTTAAAAAGAGAAAAATATCTAAAGAAAATAATGAACAAATCCTTTTTACAATTTTTTTATTATTCAAACGAATTACTGGTAATTTTTAATGTTCATTATGTTATGATGAACGTCCAAAAAGGCGTGTAATCTATACTTCTGACAACGTTGGAAGCCGTGTTTCTTTCGACGGTGTTTAGAATGTGAAACTATGCTTTACTCGCTTTTTAAACGTAAACAAATCCGTCCATTTGTGACTAATGACACTATTAAAATTTGGCGAAAAACGTCAATTTACATATCAAGGGGGACAAGTGTTGAGGTATTTGTTTTTGTATTACATTACCTCCAGAGCACCTACCCATAAAATTTTAAATAGCAATATGTAATACAGAATTATCCTTATGTAATTCAGAATTACATAAGCATTTTAAACGTAGTTTTACACTAAATACAGGGTGTTATGTAATTAATGTTATATATTAAAATACTGAATACCTTTTGACATAAGGAATAAAGGAAAAATATTTAAAAAAACATTTTTCCAAAGATAAAGAAAAAATATGCATTAGAAGTTTTTTATATTTTTTGTGATACGCCACTGGTTACACACTTGTTTATCTCTGCACACCTGTATTTTGTGAGTACATAGATACCAACCAACAAAGTAGCTATGCGTTGCCAGATGTAAAAAATTGTTACTAAAAATTTTTCTTGCAAAAAATAAATAAAAACTCAATAAATATATTCTGTATTTATTTACTGATCCAGCTATTAGCTTAAGCAATGATTAGAAAATTTAGTACCTTTGAAATTTGAAATCCATAACCACAAAATTTTTTCATCAGTTTTTTTCTCTGTTTACTCAGATGAAATTGGGACCAGTTCACAGGTTAAACTTTAAACATTTAATTTGTGTAAATAAATCCAAAAGCACTTCCCTTAGTTAAGATATTTACAATTTGAAAACATAACCTAAAATTTAAAAGAAATGCACTAGATTCTGTCATAAAAGTTGGCAGATTTTGTTTGAATTTACCTTCAGTACAAAAATGAAATAACCAACAATTAATAAAAACGCCAAATTGACAATTTGCATTGTTAATTTTGTCATTTTTGTAATTAAGCTAAATTTAAACAATGTTTGTCAACTTTTTTGAGAGATTTTGGAAACCAATGTTACCAACCATAACATAATAAATCCACCAGATTAACCTAAAGTTCCTAGTCGATCAGTGGCGTACTTTTTGGTAGGATAAAGGTTATTATAAATTATTTTTAGACTTTGGAATTTAGAAAAAAAAGTTTCAGGTGCTTCTTTATGGACCCTAAGGAACAACCCATTTTAATATATAACATTAATTACCTCTATAACTTGTTTAGAATTAGATCTATAAAAAGTATTAATGAATATCAAACAAGTATGTTTATAAATCAAGTCCTTAATTCTAAAAGACACTCATGTCTTAAGTTCACTTATAGAAATAATGTTCACGATCACTCGACAAGAGCCAATGCAGAGGTGAATCTACCTCAAGTAAATTCCCAAATGGGAATGAACTCGATTTCCTACAGGGGAGTCCATTTATATAATAGGCTGCCTAACAGCATTAAAAATTTTAAAGGTCACAAATTTAAAAAAAACATAAATGATTATATTCAATATTACAGGGAGGACTAAAAAAGACTGAAGAAAAAAAAAAACTTAAGTTGAGGTTAAAGCTTGCTTTATTTATTTTAAGTGTATCTGTGATATTTAATAATGACTGTATTAGTGATAAATGTACCTATATGTAAATATATATGTATAAATGTGTATAGTGTATTTAAGTAACTATAAGAATTGTGTATGACGATTGTTAATGTAAATATGTACTGAATTATAATGTGTATACAGAGGTGTCCCTCTATAAAATATCCTTTATATGTTTTTTTGGGACGAATAAAGAATTATTTATTATTATTAATTATTTATTATTATTACATAACACCCTGTAGAATTACTAATTACTAATTAGTAATTCTAGAGTTTTCCCCTAGGAGGTCGATGGTTAAGGCCATTCCCGGAATTTTGTCGCCGGGCCGACCATACGCCCAATTTAGGCTAGAGGAGAGCGGGATAAGGAGGGAAAAGTATTGAATTTTGGAGGACATTGAACTGACCAAAAACTAAGTACAATCCGGAATCCTCAACCAGTTCTTTAGTAATGACCCCATTCAATTGGGATTTATCAATGAGGGTAGGTGGGTTAGTACGCTGCTAGAGCCTATCCTTATTGGTGTAGTTCCTGTTTGTATGTGTCTGTTCCCCCCCTGTTCGTGTTTTATTTCGATTTAGACGTTAAATACGTCCGATGAAGTTGTTTTGATTCCCGTACCCACCAGAACCACTTTTGTGTGTGATCATTTTTAAGTACGCCTCTGTTTAACGTCCCATGTCTGTAATGTGTGCTTAACGGTGGAGTTGGTCTTGGAATGAATCTGGGACGTATGGTCTAATATCTCTATGTTTGTCTTTGTCTGTGTCCCCAGGCAGTTTCCGTCGTGTTTTTCTAACAATTATGTTGTGTATGTTATTTTTAATTTTTTTTTTTGGTATTATATTATTGTTGTAAGTTCTTATTAATTCTTTGCTTGTACTTATTAAAATGTAGTTTTGTCAATACGGTTTATTTAGTCTCGTCGGTTGGTGCTTTAATTGTACCTGCTGAGTGATCTATTAACTTTTTATGTTTGGTTTGGTTTTATTGAGATTTATGAGGTCAGGTCGGCGTTTCTTTATGGTTTTGTCGAGTTTATATAATGTTTATGTTATGGATTGATTTATGGGTTGATGTCTAGCTAGTGTTTCCTTATGGGGCCTGTTGGCGCTTGGTTGCCAGATGTAAATCATGGTAATTAGCGGTTGCAAGTTTGCGTTTGGATTAGAATTTAAATTTAAAGTTTTTATCAGAATTTCGGTATTTTTAGGTCATGCAATTAGATAAAATTAGAAAATAACTCATTTTTAATGCTGTCCAAAAAATTAATAAAGATTTGGGAACCCTCTCAATCCTTTTGAGAAAAGTTCCAAATGATGATCAACCTTTTGAGCATTATTTAAAATGAGTAATTTTACAAATAATTTTACCAAGCCCAGAAAAAGTTATTGGCGCTTGGTTACTTTTCAATAAGCATTATCCATATGCAATAGGATTAAACTTCTTTTATCTGTTTATTGTTAATTTTTATCAATCCATCCCTTCAGTGTTGAGAATTGACAACAATAAAGTTTAATTTATAGACTGCTTGAACATAAAATTCTTTGTTTAGATTTTTCAAAAAAATTATTTTTGTGGATATGGAATCAAATGAGGAATAAATTGATAGGGAAATATAGTCACTTATATTAAAAAAAATAAAAATATACCTCTGGTTCTCCTGTCTGAAGATTAGTCTGGATTAGAATTTTACCAATCCTAATATCTTTACATACATCACATACAGCTTGCTCCATAGTCTCTCCAGCTCTTAATATCGAAACGCCGCATATTTTATTGGTACTCATTCTTTTACCTGGCGACAAAAATGTTCCATAAACAACGAAAGTAAAAATAATATTGTCTACATACCAGAATAAGGTACCCCCTGCGGCGACTCGATTAATTTTTCGTTGAAAGACATAAGCGACAATGTATACTCGATAACAAGTCTTATCAAGCGGTTGCTGTAAAATATAAATTCATCTCTGGGGGTATCTTTGTTTCTAATGAAAGTATGCAAGCCTCGGATTTGCGGAGTGGTCGGCAATAATCGGACTGTATCGGGTCTTGCCTGACCTATGTAAGCGTTTGCTTGCATTAATTCTTCTCTAAGCTTTAAACCTCTCTGAAAAAGAACTTTGGTAAGTTTATTTTTGCTTGAAATAACATATTTTACTGTATACAGAAAATATACATTTTTCTCAAAATTCTAGCGAAAAAACGGCATTTTTATGTATTAAAGCAAAAAAAACAAAAACAAATAAAGCTGATGATTATTCTAAAACTACTTTAATTTAATCTTAGAAATTTGTTGTTCCTTAACATATGTCACTATTATTCTGAATTGGTAGTTGAACTACCAAAAATAATCTTTTTAGAGATACTATCAAGAAATCTATATTAGTCCTACCACATGACTGATACAATTAAGTATGGTTAATTTTTTGTCATTGTAAAGTAGGGTGGGATGAAAACAAAATGTTTGTTTTTTTTCTTAGCATGGGGGTAGGATTTGTACCTTATAAAAAAAGAAAATTCTTCAAAAGAAAAAAAAATTCTTACTCAACATCTTGAGGTGGCCCACTCGTTTTTTAAATAAATATTTAATCAAATGGGGTAGTTCCAAAATTGTGAAAACATGTAAAAATTGTAGAATGTGATTTTTTTCACTCAACTTTCATTCCAATACAAAAGAAAGTGCATTTCATTTTTTAATTTTTTACTTAAATTACAAAAACAATGGGAAAAAACTTTCTCAACTTTTGACTTCCAATTGGCTTTTAAGGGGACACCCTACAGATTCTAAAACGAAAAAAAGAATTTGATTAAATATTTATTTAAAAAACGAGTGGGCCACCTCAAGATTTTGAGTAAAATTTAAATTATTTTCTAAAAAAAATTTTTTTAGCCAACCAAACAGAACTTGCTAATTTTTCAAAAAATAGATTTTTTTCAAGTACCCTTAACTTTTTTAAAAATTGACTAAATGGGACATTTCGTTCTTAAATGTTATTTTCAGAAAATATTTTCGATTTAAAATTCGTTTCAAAGTTCACCATTTTTATATTTTTTTATACAAAATCCTATTAATTCTGTGAATAATGCTGCTAAATCCAGGGTGGGCCGACTTTTCTTTACTTTATTATAATTGAAAATTATTTTTTTAATTTTTTCCAAATCGTTTATTTAATTTGTGTAAAAACTGTTTTTATAATAATATCGATTTAAGTAAATGGTTCTATATTTTACACTTAATTTATAATCTTACCAAATGATTAATGAATATGATTTTATGGTTAATAGTAATAACTTAATACAATTAACATTAATTTAATTGTTTTATACCAACTTAACAAACGATTTATTTTATTTATATATTTTTTGCTACTTACAATAAATAAACATATTTTATACTCATCTCAATTTAAAAAATTTTGGACAAAAAACCACCATGTAATCCTTATCATTACCTAATTATTAGGGTAGATTATAAATTTACAATATTATAGAACAATGGTTTATTTATTTTATTTATATATTTTTTGCTACTTACAACAAACATATTTTATACTCATCTCAATTTAAAAAATTTTGGACAAAAAACCACCATGTAATCCTTATCATTAGGTAATTATTAGGGTAGATTATAAATTTACAATATTATAGAACAATGGTTCAATTAATTTTATTAGAGAAATAAAAGTTTTTCAATGAAAAAAAAAATAGAAAGAAAAGTCGGCACTTTGGGAAAACCTGCATTAAAATAAAAAATTGTGAACTTGAAAAACCGTTAGGTTTTTCTAAAAAAATAAAAATTGTATAGAACTTGACAATGGAAAAGTTATATATTTATTGGTATATGAAGAAAAACGAGCCATTTTTAAAAATTTGAAATTTTTTTGTTGGGAAAAAATATTTGAAAAAATTCTGAAAAAATGTTTGGTGAGGTAGAACAAAAATTTCTGTCAAATCGAAAGGGGTTGGGTTAAAAAGTGGCCGATTTGGCGACCCATATGCTCTTTTATATTATTAATAAAATAAGTTGAAATTAGCGTTATACTGACAGATACATAACCTTACTTATTTGACTGCATTCCTTATTCAAATCATAGATAACAAAGCCCGATTTAAATGTCAAAGTGGGAGTTTTTGATGAGGAGCATAGTACATTTACTTACCAATTGTAATTGTGTGTGGACATGCTGCACAATTAACTGTATAGCAACTTCGTTCTCTCCACCTCTTGGTACTATGATGTCAGCGTGTACCATCAACGGGGCGATGTAGTGGTTGAACGAGGGCTGCACCATGCCGGTATACTGTTTGATGACTCCCTCGAGATCACGCCCCCTTTGGCTTATGTCTCTGCGCAGTCTTCTCGCAAGACGCACGTCGGCGTCGGTGTCGACGAAAATTTTCATGTCGAGCATTTCCAATACTTTTGGGTGGTGGAAGGTCAGGATGCCTTCGAAGATTATAACGTTTGCACCGTACATTGTTTTCTTGAAATAAAAGAAAAATGAAATAGTTAACCTAGGTCAGTTTTAGATAGGAAAACTTTTATCGTTACGGTTGGAATTTTATATTTTTAATCAAAAGATCATAAATTGAATTCTTGTATTCTGGTTTTTGATTGACCCCCCGCAACGCTATTCCGCGCCAACATAAAAAAAACACCCAACGTTTATCTTCAATAACTTATGAACCGTTTGTCGCACACTCTTAAAATGCGCTGTTGCTTAAATATATTTAAAAAACTCAAGCATATTTTGGAAAAATTGTGTTCTCCTTTTGTACCCGTTTGCGCTATTTTTTAACAACAATTTTCTCTTGAAATTTTGTAGCCTTTTAAATTTCCAATAAAATGACCATTTACTTTAGGGAGGTTCGGGCAGTACATTGCGGGGAAAGGGGTAAGAAGAGTTGCTTTTATTTATACCTAATGCATAAATAGTGATATGTACCAATAGACTGGGCCAAAAAAATCAACTATTTTTTTAAAAGTATATCGAAAATATGGTTTGGGGTGACAAAAAAAATTATTGTGAAAGTTTGAGTCCATAATATTAATATTAAGAGGTCTATCATCGCAATTTTAATTTATTTTCCAAATAAAATAGCTTCTTAAAGCGTAAAAACTCTAATGTGTTATTTTTTTTTAATTTTCAGTAATTTTATCAATAACATAAAGATTATCATCGATAAAAGAATTCAAGTTTTTAACTGACTAAGAGCGGAAAAAACAAGAATTTCGTTTTGACTCCAAATTTAACCATGAATAACTTTTGATGGAGTGAATTTAGCCAAAAATGTTAAGAGACTTTTTTTGTAGAGCATTTGATTTCCCATAAGAATATCTATCGGTTTTTTTTTCGTGTACTGATTTTTACATGAATTACAAAATTCCAAAGTTAAAAGATCAAATTGTAAAACTATAACAATTTTTAAGGCATGGTTGTAAGAAAACGGTTCATCTAACGGGAAATTCCAATCAAACCTTTTTTGTAAGACATTCAATTTTCTTCAAAAAATATTCTCTAGTCAATTTTGTTAAACTCAATGGTTTGGGAGTTCTGAGACAAAAACTCGCTCAGGAAAAGAAATCTAAAAGTGCGATGATAGACCTCTTAATATTAATATTATGGACTCAAACTTTCACCATATTTTTTTTGTCACCCCAAACAATATTTTCGATATACTTTACAAAAAAAAATAGTCGATTTTTTTGGCCCAGTCTAATGTACCAACTTGCAAAAACAAAATTTATTTTATTACATTAAATTTAAAAAACAGCAAATTTTTTAACTGATTTTAATCTTTTTTTTTATTTTAATACAAAATTCACTATATACATACACAGGGTTCCCAGCATTGTTTTGTACTTTTTTTTTATGATTTTATGACAAATTTTTCAAATTTTATGACATTTTTTATGACAAGAGTTTATTATTTCTAAAGTTATTTAATAAAATAAATGTAATTTTTTAACGGTTTATTATATAAAAATAAATATTTTTGCTCGCATCAAAATAAATATTTCTGCTATATTTTTAATATATGTTACTTTAGTATTTTATTATAATAGGTATTATAATCTCAAAATAAATAAAACCACAAAGGTATACAAATCTGAAATATTGGAGGCTCAAACAATGATTAACATGGGTCTCAAAAAAGCAAAAAAAAATAGTATATATACCTATAGGTACTATTTTTTTGCTTTTTTAGACCCATGTTAATCATTGTTTGAGCCTCCAATATTACAGATTTTTTAAGAGTAGTTATGAAGTTATTGTTAAGGTACTTCAATAATTTCTTATTTCCTTCAGAAATAATATTTCTTGTTATTTTTAACTCTGCTTCCTTACTTGCCAAAATAGTATCAATTTCTTCAAGTCCTTCTTTGTGCCTTCCTTAGTAAAGTAATATAGTATAAAAATAAATTTACGGTTCTCATTATTTATTTCAAATTTAAAATTCATTTCCTCACCTAACTTCTATTTCCTTCATAGTATGAAGTTCATACTTCAACAACCAAGGCCATATTTAAAACATTTTATTGCGTTTTATTCTACAGGACCGGCTTTAAATTTTATTTTACAAAATTTCCATTTTATAAAAAAGATCAAAGGTGAGAAAATTGTTAAAAAATAATTAAATTTTATGATTTCTATGACAAAATGTGAATTTTATGACATTTTAGGACAATTTAACCAATTTTATGATATTTAAAAATTTTATGACAAACGGGAACCCTGCATACATATATATTGTAACACAAGAACAAAAATTAAAAAAACGTTAAAAATAGGATTTAAACGCGACAACATTGCGAGTAGTTGAAAATTGGTTTCTATGGTAACGACAGTGGCAGTGACATTTCTGTATGCAGTGTTATTCAAAATTTTAAAATGAGTTGTGAAAACGAATTATCATGTTCTGTGAAACCCTAGATAAAAGTTACATGCAGTCTACTACAAAGAAAAAATTATTAAAAAAGGTAATAAATAAATCAACAGAAAACCTGCAGTATGTTGAATGCATCAAGTCTCAAGAAAGCAAAAAACAAAGATAATAAAACCATAAAAGGTAGTCTGATTGTCTTATTATTTAAAAAATATTAGGTGCATAGGAGAAACCAAAATTCATTAATTTTTCAATGTCGCGTTATTTATTAATTAAAGACATGGGCTGTATAGGAGATGTATTTAATTGACGCATATCTTATAACATGACAATAAGAAATCGATGATTTTTTTCTCGTATGCACAACACAGTTTAGCGATAATAAACCATAACATCCCGCGTAGCCTTAGCAACTTAATATTCTTTTACTCGAAAACCAGACGGCCAATTTTTCTAAAACTTTGAAAATGTCTATTAAGTAGATTACTACAAACTAGAATTTTTTCATAGGGACTAATATCGTACCCTATCCTCCTTAAGTAAATTGGTCCAGTGTAGGCTAAAAATCTACCACATTTCGACGTTTTTTAAAAATAAGATTTTTACGGCCTTCTATAAAAAACTTTGTAATTTACTTACTTTTGATTGATGGATTGTTGCGTAATTAAAGAAAAAACAAGCTGCGTGATATTCTAAAAAAACATCGCAAAAGGGGTAAAACGAGAGAAAACATATTTCCAAAATTTTTTTTAAAGTTTTTGCAACAACGCATCAGTAAGAAAAATAAGTTTTATACAAAATGTAGGTCAAAATTGCCTATATTTTAAAAGTTTATTGGCCTCTGTGTGATAAACGGTTCGTAAGTTATTAAAACAAAAGGTTTTTTAAGATGGCGGATTAATTCGGAAACCAAAATATATACTATTCAATTTATGCTTTTAATTAAAAAAATAGCCCTCTCAACTCTAAAGAGCTTTATTTTTAAGATAAAAATGATTTCATGGTTTCAATCGATTAGAATCAATAAAAACCAGAAAACCGATTTTTTAAATTTTATATACTTATATGTGACAGAATGATAAATAGCTTCCGTTTATTATGTTATTGCCTTATCTAGAACACTTACCGTTCTGCTTTCTCTAGAATGCGTCATAAAATTATAAATAGGAACTTCGACCTTGCGGCCCTCTTTCAGCCTCTGAAGAGTCTGTGTTAGCAGATCAAAATCAAACGCATCCGGATGATCGAAATCGTACTCGTTTCGATCGGCAATTTCGTGCTGCTGTTCGTTCAGAACCTTGTAAAAGGAGTCCATGCTCAGCAAAGTGACCCATGGCACGCCCAGAGATTCGATTATTTTTTCGGCAACCGTCGTTTTACCCGAAGCGCTGCCTCCGCAAATACCTAATTACAAAAAAAATCAATTTAAACACTTGTGAAACCAATTTGATAATACAAATGATGGACATGAAGTCAAAAATCTAAGTTTCTTATTCATAGTGACGTTCTCGAACATGCCCATAAGACTCTAAGTACTTTAAAGAGAGACAGACGCATATATGCATATATATATGTCTGCACCGTGGAGTTTTCGTCCTCCATTATTCAAGTAGCAATATAGCAGTATTAGATATATGCTAGAAACAAATGTTGGAATCAGTCGCACATCTTGAAACATCTGTTATAAATTCGTGACATCACGCGATCTCTTCAAGGTCATCCAAGCGTTTGAGAACCCTATGAAAACAAACTCGCATGCGTACATTTCAAATATGCAATAAAAAATTGCATGTCCCAACACCATTGAAGAGCTAAGTTAAAAAATGTGTTAACCTTAAATAGTTAATATTGTAGTTAACACATTTTTGCTTGGAACAAAAATGTCACTCAACATGTTCATCCACTAAACTCTTCAATTAAGATTTAAAATTGTTGCTATCTACACGTTTGAGTATTTAGTTTTGCCGCCTTACGGGCGCATTGATAAGGTGACCAACTTTCAAAAATGAAAAACCAGGACCTTGCCCAAAAAATAAACAAAATTTATTTTATTTAATATTTAAAATTTGAAAAAAAGATGTGGTAATAACGTCAATAATAAAAAAAAATTATCCTGTAGTCCTGTACTCCCAAAAACTCAGATTTTTAAATTTATTTTTAACCTGAGCCCCAACCACAATTAATAAAAAAATTAGAACAAATCCTAAAAAAGTGGGAAAAACTTAATTAATTAATTGAGGTTTTTTCTTACTTTTTTTACTATCCTGAAGGTACTCCCAAAAATTCAGATTTTTAAATTAATTTTGAACCTGAGCCCCGACCACATTTGATAAAAAAATTGGAATAAATCCTAAAAAAGTATGAAAAACTCATAATTAAAAAAAAATCAAACTAGTTTTTTTTTACTTTTTCACTATCCTGAAGGTACTCCCAAAAATTCAGATTTGTAAATTATTTTTTAAAATGAGTCCCAACCACTTTTATTAAAAAAATTAAAACAAATCCTAAAAAAGTGGAAACAACTCATAATTAAAAAAAAATCTTTTTCTTACATTGTTACTATCCTGAAGGTACTAAATTAATTTTTAGCCTGAGCACTGACAACTTTTTAAAAAAATAAAAGAACAAATCCTAAAAAAGTGAGTCATAATTTTTTTTTCTTATTTTTTTTCTCTTCTAAATGTAGGTAGGAGTTTTTTCAACATGTTCTTATTGCTCTATGGTATTTTAAGCAATATGTTTTTACTCAAAAACTAGACAATCAAACTGAAACTTTGTAAATATCTTATTTGTGGACTCTAATTAATAAAACCTAGTTTTTTTATAATAAAAATAATATCGTGCCAAACCTCCAAAGCACCATGATTTTTGAAATATGGAGAGAGATTTAACATATTTTTACGATTAATTTTTAAGAAACAAAAAATTATTTTTAATGAAAACAGCTAATAGCGAAGAAATCGATCGCCCACTTTTGAAAAGAGTTGATGCCAACTTACGCCTAAGGCTTTAAACATCCGTGAAAATGGTCACTACCTCAATGACATAATTTTTTGAAGATTCTTTATGTCTCAAAAATTGATTGTCTCCTTTAAAAAAATTATCACTCCTACGCCGCACCCTGTATATATCTTTTAGTGCATTTAGGTCGCGTATAAAGTAATAAAAGTATAAACATTTGCATGTACTTTTTTATTAATATTTAAGCACGTTATTTACATATTGTAAATTTAAATTTATTTTTAAGTTTATCTAATCTATAAAAATGTTAAATAACTATGCATATAATTTATCATTGTTAGGTATATTGATTTTAAGCCAACCTAAGCGTTTTAATTTTTAGATCGCAAAATATTTTTTAAACAAGTATCGCAAACTTACCTGGCGAACGATATTTCTATAAACATTTTTTAATTATGTTAATGAGTTAAGTTAAATTAAGTTAGAAATCAACTACTATTCAATACAATAAAAAATTAGAGGTTTTAAAAAAATTTTAAGAATAGTAATAAAGCAACTTAACAATGAACAAAAACTCATTAAAATTACATAAATCATAAAAACTACATAAACATGCTCAATAAAAAGGCATGACAATCTTATTGGCAAATGTAATACCAGGTTTTAGAAATAGATAACCATGTAAAAAATAAAATTTATTTATTAAATATTTACTTAATGATCATGACATCCTGTTTGTTTTAGTTATTGATCATTTTAAATAATAAAAAACAATACCTGTTAGTTTGGCATTGATATACATTAAATTTTGCATTTATATGAATTTGAATATTTTTAAACTTCCTGCTGTACAAGTTAAAACAAGAGAAAAATTCATTAAGTCATTTATAAAATCTACTAATTTTTGTTATCGATTGTAACTTCTATGGCAGATTTACTCACCAATTATAAATGGTACGACTTTTTGGCCTTCGCTGTTGTACCATGGGGGCCTTCCAGCAGTGTAAATAGTTCGGTGTTGTGTCCTAATCATTGACTCGGTCGCTGTTTTCTTTGACTGTTGATTTAATGATGTAGTTCTTTGTCTTCGAGACTTTGGCGATTTTTGTGAACCTAATATATTTTCACATTAGAGATATTTAATTTGATTTAATTTTAAATATGTGCAACTTTTATACATAATATTATCGAGGTTTTGTGAATTGATTTTATCTTAGTCTGTATCCGTTACTTATTGCACATTATCATTTTTATTTTTTAAACAAAGTTTATTTGTATTATTTATATGTATATTTATTATGTGGTTTTATTGGTTTTTATGAAGAATAACATGTAAACAACCAAGTTTTCAACGTTATAAAAGGCGCAAAATTAGCATTGAATATTTTTATATTATTTGATTGTTTTTAAAAACATGTAAAGTCTTTTTGCTTAAAGGCATTAAATTAAATTAAATTAAATTTAAATCAATTGACCTTTTCACAATTCACAATTTAATTTAAACTTACTTCCAATTTAAATGTATACTTTGCCCCTTTGATTTATAACATTTTGATTAACATTCAATCTAACCAAATAATGGAAAATATTGTCCATTTTTGAGTTTATATTTCATAAATTATGTATATTAAGCTAGAAAAAGTAAATTAATTTAAAACAAAGTCTGAATTAATTAAAATTATTTCTTTTTTAACTTTTTTATAAAAAGTCATGACTTTTTCCAACCCTGGTAAGAGATGATGTAACCAAATTTGCTGACCCTTAAGTTTTTTACAAGATAAAAATGATTTTTTTACACGCATATAGAGATTACATATATTATTTATCTGTAGTGGGAGATTATGATGTGTTTCTAAACAAAAAAAAATAAGTTAAAGAATAAAATATTGCGTTTTAAAATTAAAATAGTGCGTATTTGCATAAGATATACATAAGACTAGGTTTGAGAAATTAATTCTAGTTCCTATTTTATTATGTCCACAAAATATTTTTTAAAACCATTAAATAAAACAACTTTTTTTATACTAAAAATTGAACACAGATAGAACATGAGCTAGACATTATAATTCAAAAAATGAGCATATTTATTTTCGAAATAATTTAATTTTAAAATATCTAAACTAAATTATAATCATATCCTAAATTTGTTATAAAATATTTATTTATTATTTATTCATGACCTCAAAGACATTTATAAAAACTTTATATAATAAATTATAATGCTATATAATTATTATATTATAATAATACTATAATAAATATAATTATATAGGTATCATAAATAATTATATACCATAAAGAGGGAAGATTATTTTAAGCATTAAAAATTACAATTAACAAGTTTTTGAATAGTTTTAAAAAATTAATTTATAGTAATATTTAAAAAGAAAATTTATTTATTTTTTATAAATAATTTAAACTTACAATTTTTGTAACTTTCCATCATAAAATTTAGTAAGCAGTACATTGACCAGCCATTTACAGTGTTTTCAAGTTAAATACTTACTCAAAAACTACCCACTACCCAATTTTTTACCTAAAACAACCTCTCTCAGTAAGCCATTTTTGGGACATTAACTATCATAAAACTATTTAGGTAGTCTTTGTTGATTTGTAGAAAATTATATTTTATTTTTTGTGCTTATAACTCAAAAATACCTGTCAGCCTCACTGTTTAATAATAGGACTCTTATTGTTTTATATCTGTGTTTTATATACATACATATGTAAGGCCGCAGCCAGCATAAAAACAGTCAATAAATAAGTCTATGTCTATGTTAAATCACAAATCAATTTTTAGAATCCATGATTTTTATCTTAATCTTATGACACTTTTTTCTCAACGCATTGTGTGAAATAATTTCCTTATCAAGATCCACAATTGTTATTATTTTAGCTTACTCACCAACCAAGAAAAGGAAAATTTGCAAAAACTGTAACTATCAGGGATTTACTTTGGGGACATATGGTAGGTACATCTTGCAATGCAGAGATCTTGGGACATGATGACTTTGTATTTATTATTTAAAACGATAAAATAGAGCAAATTGCGTTAAATAAACCCATTGCTAAATTTTTGGTGATGAAATCTAAGGCTATTTTGTTTTACTAACCTGTGGATGGTGGTCTGGGGCAATATGGTACTGTGATAGGTGAAGCTGGTGTGTTGTAAAAATCTCCGCTTTTCTCTTCCTCCACCTCGCAATCCGGAAAAACTTCGGAGAAATCTGCTTGCGTTTCCTCTACATCGCTAAAATTTAATTTATCAAACCAATTTGAGCAAGCATATAAATCAGCCAATTAAAATCATTAAGTGCCTTCAATAAACGTTAATAAGCTGCCTAAACATGATCTTAATTCAATGTTAACTCTTTGCAATATATTTTTTTATTTCTCACATGGAGCTATTTTTAGTAATTAAAAAGCGCATTTTCTTTGAAATGATATGATAGTTAAAAGTATGAATCCTACCTATCTGAACTTGCTGAAGATGGTGGTTCAGGCATTATAATCTTTGCTGCCATAAATTTTCTTTAAAATACTGTTTGTAAAAATTTGAAGGAATCACTTCGTCAAAACACGACACAACAGTAAAATGACATTTGGCAGTGCTACCAACAATGAATGCCTCTCCCCTAAAAATGGCGATAGAATTTAAATGCGCCATAGGCGTACTCAACTTATTTACCTATGTAAACTAAAAAAAAACAACAAGAAAGTGTTTAAGGACCTTTATTTAGAAATTTTATATCAAACAGTATAGCCGAACATTTAGAACAAAGTAAATCTGAAAAATTGCAAAATACAAATAAAAATTTTTTATAAATAATTATGGTTTAAAATATACTTTACTTATACTTTGCTTTTTGCAACAATATTTGTCAAGAATAATGCTCAGTATTTGGAGCTGTAAATTTTATTCAACACACGCAAGAAATATGTAATTGAAATTGGGCGAAATAATGAAATCACTAATTGTTAATTTCGATTGAGATAAAATTATTCTATCTCAATGTTCATTTACAGTCTTATGCAAATAAAAAGCGTACAGCCTTAGAATGGTAGAAAAGTACTGCACTTGTCAAATATGGCGAGTTGGGTTATAAAAAATACATCTAACATATTTGACAAGTGCAGTACCTCTCATTCTAAGGCTGTACGCTTTTTATTTGCATACGACTGTATATGAGCTATATACAGGGTGTCCTGGAAAAGGAGGTCAATCGATTACGGATCCGTTTACCATATATTCCTTGAGTTAAAACAATAAGACTTTCATAATACCATTTTTCAATTTAGAGCTTCATGTTCGATATACAGGGCGACAAAGTTTGAAATTTAAAACTGATTTTTTTTTAATAATTCGAGTAATTGATAAGATATTAAGTTAAAATTCGGTACACTACTTCAACATAAATAGTTACATTTTTGGAGACCAACAAAACAAAAAACAATTGTCAAATAAACAAAATAGGGGGGTTCAGTACTCACCGACTCCCCCTATTTTTTAGTACGTGCGCCAATGACTTCCAAACGGTATTTTTTCAGGTAATCATTTATTGTTGAACATTTTTTGTATCTTATAAAATTTTGATAAAATGATTTGTTTTAGAGATAATATGTAAAGTATGGGTCAGTCCATATGAAATTTTCAAAATTTAATTTTTTTTTTTTAATTTAGGTCATGTGATATATCATAAAAAAGGTCTCTAATAGGCCTTTAAAATAAGCCACCACTCACCTTTCTACTTTTAATAGTTTACGAGATATCGCTATTTTTGTAAGTACTTGCAAGACCCAAATTTATCGGAATTTTTTGATTTTCAAAAATCAATAAAACAAAAGCCACCTATCGAAAAAAATTCATATATGGGATTTTTGAGATTTTTAGTGAAACAAATTTACCAAAAATTATCAAAATCGGAGATGGTGGGGGAAGAACCTTTGGTTGATTTGATATGGACTGACCCATACTTTACAAATTATCTCTAAAACAAATCATTTTATCAAAATTTTATAATAGACAAATTTTTTTTAACAATAAATGATTAACTGAAAAAATACCGTTTGGAAGTCATTGGCGCTCGTACTAAAAAATAGGGGGAGTCAGTGAGTACTGGACCCCCCTATTTTGATTATTTGACAATTGTTTTTTGTTTAGTTGGTCTCCAAAAATGTAACTATTTATGTTGAAGTAGTGTACCGAATTTAAACTTAATATCTTATCAATTACTCGAATTATTAAAAAAAATCAGTTTTAAATTTCAAACTTTGTCGCCCTGTATATCGAACATGAAGCTCTAAATTGAAAAATGGTATTATGAAAGTCTTATTGTTTTAACTCAAGGAATGTATGGTTAACGGATTGACCTCCTTTTCCCGGACACCCTGTAGTTTATATAATTATAATTATAACTTAAGCTATAAGTTAAAACGTGAGGTTAAACTGCTTGATAGTTGTCAGATTAAATATTAAATAAAATAAAATTTGCCTTAAATTCCTTGCGGTAGTTCAATAAAATCATCAAGTAATCTCCTCTTTCTCCCACTAGTCGCACAATATCCTAGGAGTAGGTATTAATTAATTAACTGCGCATGACGAATTTTACCGTCATGTGTCTACTTTGAAAAGTGCGCAAGACGGTTTCTAGTAGAAGCTTTCTACCGTCAAGGGACATAATTTTTTAGAAACCTTTTTTATCATATGCCATTATGTGATAATGGGGACGATATAATATATTATATAACATATTATGCTATAAATATTATACCTATATAAAGGGTTTTTCAGTTTTTGGTCGCATAACCTTAAAGCTAAATTTTCATGTATTCGTTTGTCCGTTATCCGTTTGTCCGTTTTTCAATAAAATGGTCTGACAAGAAATGTTCTAATTTTCATGCATCCGTTTTTTAGTGACGTTTAACGGATTGATTTGGCGACAAATATAAATTAAGGGTCCGTATATATATTAATTGTCATAGTTACAATAGACCTATCCCATAAAACGGACTTTTGGATAGCGCGTGCGTGAAAAGGCAGGTCGTCTTTTTTTAATTATATAAAAGAGAAAGAGATACCACTCTTCTTCAGGCACGCGCTATCCAAAAGTCTGTTTTATGGGATAGGTCTATAGTGTCAACCATTGTAACTAAGTTATCTGTTGAATAAATTTAAAGGTAGGTAAATATACTATTTAAAAAGAATATACTAGCCTTAATATATATTAAAATGTAGTCGAAAAAACAGGTCCTTTTAGTTCTGGTTTAAATATTTTTTTGTTTGTCTTTTCTTTTTTCCATACTTCTTATTAAATGAAGACGACAGTAGAACATTATTTACATAACGAACGTAATTACTACGTTTTACAATCATAATTAATAAACTGCGGAACTTTTCTAGCGATGACGTCAAAATGTTTACAAAAATCAGAGTTAAAAAAGTAAACACTTAACTTAATACATGTGCAAAAAATAATTATAATATAACAATATAATCATTTTGATGTAATCGCTGGAAAAATTCCGCGGTATAATAATTAAAAATATATTTAAAAAATTGAAAATAAATTATCTTAAAATAAGGTTAGGTGTCAAAAACAGATGTGCAGTGACGGATGAGTTAAAATTCGTCAGACGTACGAAGTTAAAACTTGAGTCCAGTTATTTGACGGACCGATGAAATGTCATAATTTTCGAATTAAAATTGAACCAATAAGAGCGCTCCGGGATGATAGGACTAAAGGACAAACGGATACATGAAAATTTAAAACTTTTGAAATTAGTATGTACAAAACTTCAAGGGAAAATGTTCTCTGTATTAATGCAAAAAGTATATACAAACATAGGTCGTCAAACTTTTAAAATATTGTTAACATTTTTGACTATTGAATTAAAAAAATATTTTTTGGTATAAAAAAAACTTACTATGGAGACAGTTTTACTGTAGCCCCTATAGAGGGCGCTCATTATTGTACTTTTTATGGATTAAAATTACAAAGTGTTTAAATTAATTAACTTCAACACTGTATCTCTAAAGCGTTTGACAAACTATATTAATTTAAACTTTTAGCATTAGTTTAAAAAATCTATCTGGTGTTGAAGTTATTTTATAATGTATGTATATTAGGGTGATTTTTTTTTCACGACAATTTTTATTTTTTCGCTCCCAACTCAAAATCTTGTTGAAAATGTTAAAAAAAAAATTCCCTGAAAATTTGAGCCCTTAATATTAACTCAAAGTACTCGACCAAAGCGTATTAAGATTTCCCATTTAAAATACACGTAAACTTTGATTATTTTTTTTTAAATATCTATATCTCAGCCGCATTTTATGCTATTGGATTGTTTCAAAAAAGGATTTACTCGTAATCAAAAGTTCTACAAAAATGCTTTATGTGTCATAGCTGTAATCTGCACATGTAGGATGGTACGGGTCACTAAATCCTATTTTAGTGAAAAATTATCATATTTTTGAAGATATTTCAAAAGTGACTGGATTCTTTGAAAAAATGTAAAAAACAAACTTGTAGAAAATTTAATTTTTTTTAAAAAAGGTCCTATCAGTTGAATCGCTAAGATTGATATTTCTTGAGATATAAAGCGTTTACATTGACAATTTATGAAATTTTTAGGATTTTCGTATCAAACTTTGTATAAATGATGATTTTCAATTGTTTATCAGTAAAGTTTCATGTAATTATGTTTTTTTCTACAGTCGGGTGATTAGAGAAAAATAAATAACTCAAACAATCTAGCATAATTATTAATAACATAAGTTTAAAGAAAAAAGATATATCTAACCTAAAAATTGATATAACGAGGTGTAATACATACAACATGTTATTTTATTAATAATTATGCTTGATTGTTTGAGTTATTTATTTTTTTCTAATCACCCGACTGTACAAAAAAAGGAATTACATGAAATTTTACTGATAAACAATTGAAAATCATCATTTATACAAAGTTTGATAAGAAAATCCTAAAAATTTCATAAATTGTCAATGTAAACGCTTCATATCTCAAGAAATATCAATCTTAGCGATTCAACTAATAGGACCTTTTTAAAAAAAAATTAAATTTTCTACAAGTTTGATCTTTACATTTTTTTAAAGAATCCAGTCACTTTTGAAATATCTTCAAAAATATGATAATTTTTCACTAAAATAAGATTTAGTGACCCGTACCATCCTACATGTGCAGATTACAGCTATGGCACATAAAGCATTTTTGTAGAACTTTTGATAACGAGTAAATCCTTTTTTGAAACAATCCAATAGCATAAAATGCGGCTGAGATATAGATATTTAAAAAAAATAATCAAAGTTTACGTGTATTTTAAATGGGAAATCTTTATACGCTTTGGTCGAGTACTTTGAGTTAATATTAAGGGCTAAAATTTTCAGGGAATTTTTTTTTGAACATTTTCAACAAGATTTTGAGTTGGGAGCGAAAAAATAAAAATTGTCGTGAAAAAAAAATCACCCTAATGTATATATACCCTAATTTTTGTCGCAATTTTTTTTAATAGCAACAAATGTGGTAAAATAGCTAATATAGCTAACACAATTTTTGTACAAAGAATAAATAAATAAATTACAAGTACTTGGGTACTGCACAGCTCTTAAAATATTTGTTTAAACCACAACCTCTAGATTTTAATAAATTTTAATTAACAAAGTAAACATATCACAGAACTATTAAATATGTGAAGTAAGTTTTATTTTCATATGCCTTATTTGTCTAATTTACAATTACACTTTTTTAATATTTTAGTGAACATTTAAATATGAAGTAAAATCTATCTCTATTCTGTAATTATTTATTTATTTAATGAATGCTTTTTAATTCACCTATGTGTTTTTAATCCACCTAGGTATATGTTTTTAATATAAATATAATTTTAATGATATGATTAATGGTAATTTTCTGACAGAAAACAAATTTATTACAATTATAGTTACTGTATCTATTATAATTATACTAAATAGTGTACTAAGCTTGCACAATTAGAACACATGGTTTTTATTATTATAATGTTATATCTTTGAAGAACATTCTATTTTTTTCATTTTGTGTTTTAACAGAAATATTTGTAGGCGATGTGGGTTAGATATATCATAATACTATATTATAATACTACTTTTATGCCTATACTCAATATTGGTCTTACTTAATTTGACAGGAAAAATCTATTTATTAATTAATGCAATAAAGACAAATTTGTAAAATGTTGCGTTTACAACTTTATAGATATATTACCAAGAATCAGAATATTTACTTAAAGCTGTTTCATTTAAAATTCCTATTAATGCAAAATGCTAAAACTTTAATATATTTATTATAATTAAAATAACTTTAAATTTTAATTGAAGTAGGTACCCCTTACAACAATCCTGAGTTCATATGTTTTTTCATGAATTCTACCGCTCGTTCTGAGCTTTTTTGTTTTGACAATAATCTCTATAGAAACTCTGTCTGATAAAACGGATTTTTCCTCGGTGAATTTAGATTTCTTAGTTTTGTTATTGACATTTTTTTCAGATTTTAAAAGGTCCAGAACACGAAAAAGAAATCAATTTTTATCTTTGAATAAAAAACCTTAGGAAGGAGTAAATGATAGAAAATAGCTGACCGCCAACCAATTATAACGTTTAATTCTTTGCAAGGTTTAATTATTAAACAACAAAAACGCATAGAACAAACCATAAGCGCTATTAAACAACAACACACAGAACATTACAATACAGTGTTGCCAACTTGCGGAAAAACAATAATCGTACGGAAAACCAAAAAAAATCGTATTTTAACTGTAAAAATCGTACACCACTTTTTATCAAATAAAATTAGAGAATTAAAATTTAAAAATATAAAAAAATTAATTTTAAATTAAGTTTTTCGTCCTGGTATTTAAATTTATTGTTTAAAGTTGGGAAATTTCAAATACTTAAAAATATGTGTAATAAACAATGGTTTACCTACTTACGATACCTACGTCCTATCCTATCCTGTCTGTTTATCAAAGGCGTTATTCAGTGTGATAGAAACAAGTTAAGTCATTTTATTAAGTACTACAAAAAAAAGAAACTTAAGTCATAGAACGAGGAATATCAATATTGATGAAGTAACTGGTCAACTTATTGATCTTAATTTAATATTAAATTAAGATCAATAAGTATATATTTCAATTTGCAAATAGTATTTCTTCTTCATCACCTTTATTTGTATTGTTACTATAAATCTTCATCACGCGCAGCGCCAAACCGCTGGCGAATAAGTTCTGCAAACCAGTTTTTTTTGTAGATGCAATAAAATACTTTTTACAGGTGGTGGAAGAAACATAAAATGGTATTGGTCATAGAAAACCCCGAAGGGGTAAATTTTATTTTTTCACTTCTTTTGCGGCCAACACACTGAAAATCTAAACATGATCGCAATGTTGCCTAATTCATTTTCGGGGCAAAATAATTCGGTTTTCACAGATGCAACTAAAAATAGTAAATTTATTAATTTTAGAAAATACAAAGAACTCCTATAAGACAAAAAATCGTATTTATACGTACGATTTGACATAATGAATCGTAGATCGTACCGACATGAAGATAATCGTACAAATACGATTAAAATCGTACGGTTCACAACACTGTTACAATAGGTAAATAAACAAATACAGTCATCTGTCAGAAAAAATGACTCACAATCGGACTCCTAAAATGGCGACTTCCGTCGTAAATTTATTACATTAACGAGATTCGGCAGGGTCCTCCATGATAAGTGAAATGTTTTTTCTACAACCCTTTTATTTTTTATTATTTTCAAATACAAAATAACCTAAAAACGTGTTTCACAGCTGTTAAAATTACAATGCTGTTAATTTTTTTTCACACAGACCAGTCACTTTTCACACAGAAATGCCACTTTACATTCGAGTTTTGCCTTGCCAATGAAAAGTTTTATTTTCTAAGCAGCAATGCCATTACAAAATGTGACTTACATAGTGGTCATATAAAAAATGATTTCTTTCTCAGGCCATGAGCTCAGGTGATACACAAATGAGCAAAATGCATACAAGGCGTGAGGTAAACTGAGAAAAATCTGAACTCTGGGATGCTGTGTGGGATTATTACTACAATATTATTTTTTTAGAATATTATTGGGTACAATGCAGTGGCGGCTGGTGGATTTTAAGTATACCAATATCTCAGTTATTAGACATGGGACCCACACCAGACAAAAAATAAGAACTGATTTGGAAATAATACATAACTGGCTTATAACTCATAAATTATCACTCAATGTAAAAAAATCATCATATATGTTTATTCATAGCCACTATAAGCCCATTGATCAATTGCCTATTTTGTTTGGAAATGACAATCTACAATATTCTAATGTAATAAAATACTTGGGCCTCTACATTGATGAAAACCTTTCCTGGGAAAAGCACTTATTAAAATTAAGACAACGACTACTTGCGCCGGTGGGAGTGTTGAAGCGACTAAGTTTTATGTTGCCAGCACAACTACTTCGGTCTGTGTATTTTTCGCTTGTCCATTGTCACCTTCAGTATTTGACTGCACTGTGGTATCCTGCACGTAAAGGCCTTATTGTGCCTATTCAAATCTTGCAAAATAGGGCGATAAAAAATATATACAACCTCCCAATTAGATACAGCACAAAAGCTCTTTTTGTAAACTATAATGTTATGCCTCTTGAAAACATCTATAAATACCAGGTATCTGTTTATATACACCAAGTTAATCTTAATACTCGCCATTCCAATATTTCATTAAAATTTCGCAACGACTACCATGACCATAACACACGTCATAAGTCTGATGTAAACCTAGAAAGGGTTTTATCAATGAGAGGTAAAGGTTGCATATATCATAATGGTGTCAAAATTTACAATGCGTTGCCTATTGAAATCAGAAACAAACACATTAGGGGTTTTACGTCTGGTTTGAGATGTTTTCTGGAGTCTGACTTGAGATATCTTTTGGAGTCTGAGCTGTAATGGTCACCAGTGTGGTCTATGCTCAGACCGCACTGATGGTTGTTGTTCGGGCTTTGGGGGACGCCTCGGGTTAGACTTCCAAGCTAGGGTGTTTCAACGGGTATTGTCATTTTATTTTATTTTTATTCTCTTTTCCGTCCTTGCATTATCAAACATGTAATGTACCTATCTATAGTATAGAAACTAGCTTAAGCTTTTAAAACATGACGAAATGTGAAATGAATATCTACTACTACTACTTTTATATTTTTATTTTTTATTGTTTGTATATTTTTGTTGTATTGTTGTGAGAGGATGAATCCGTATAGAGTGTTAACGTGCACTCTCTGGATTTTTCAAAATAAACGTATTTTCTTTCTTTCTTTCTTCTTTCTTTCAAATTTATAATAGTTTATATTGACATTAAATAAACAAGTTCGGCGCAAACAGAATTTAAATTGAAGTTTGCGAAAAAAAGTTAGTTTTTCCTGTCGCCTACCCTGCCTCCAGGCCCCCCTATTTGAGATAATTCAAATTAAAGTGTTGCAATTTATTATCTACTATAATTTATCGAAAAATTTAAAATTTTATTTAAAAAATCCAAATATTACAGTTTTTATACCATTTTAAATATTTTTTTATTTTAATAAAATAAATAATAAAAATTTAAAATCGAATAAAATCTGTAATATTTGGATTTTTTGAATAAAATTTTAAATTTGTCGATAAATTATAGTAGATAATAAATTGCACCACTTTAATTTGAATTATCTCAAATAGGGGGGCCTGGAGGCAGGGTAGGCGACAGGAAAAACTAACTTTTTTTCGCAAACTTCAATTTAAATTCTGTTTGCGCCGAACTTGTTTATTTAATGTCAATATAAACTATTATAAATTTGGTGTGGGTCCCATGTCTAATAACTGAGATATTGGTATACTTAAAATCCACCAGCCGCCACTGGTACAATGAATTGTTAGGGCTGCCTTTTTCTAAATAAACTAATTAAGTTGAGCTTAAACAATATTGTCAAATTAACTTAAAAGTAACTTCACAGCCCTTATAATTATAAAACTAACAAAATAATAAGAAAAATAAATTGCATAAAAATGTAATTTTAATAATTATATTAATAAATTATAGTACAATTATTTAAGTAAGTATAATAATGAATTGGTATAAATAGGAAAATAAAACCAAAATTTTGCCGTTAAGTCATGAAATATTAAATAAATAGTTTTTTAAGTAAAATAATGCTTTAAATGCATCAATTTCAAATAGGACACATACAAAAAATGGAGATTCTCATTATTCACATTTGCGTGTCATGGATTACCATAACAAATCCCAACTTTTTTTAAATTTTAATGTGACTAATACCCATTAAAACTAACAATCGCATAATTGTTGATTACTTTAGTGATGGTGCATGCTGATTATATGACATGGCAATTTATATTTTAATAAAAACTGTCAATAAAATATTTGCTGAAATATACCGCGTGTCAATATAAACTTTTTTGTCCTTTTGTTTTCAAAATATTAATTTGAAGTATTTGATCCTAAAAACTAAGAACAAAAGAGGTGTTGACTACTGGGTATAAAATAAATTATATTAAATGCTATTTTTATTTACAAAGTTTCAAACCTATAGGAAAATAATATTTATAAAAGCTACTTACACTAGGATTAGCTGCAAACAAAAGTCCTTTAAAATGTGCAAAAAAATAAATTACAAAATTAACTAACTTGTTAATCAATGAATTTTTATGTAATAATGGAAATTTTGTCAATAAACTCTGAAAACGTAAATTTAAAAATCCATCGATTACAATAAGGATCACCTTAAAATGGTGGGAGAATGACTACAATAGAAATTTTCAAACGCATTACAAAATTATTTTAAGGTATCCATTACATAAAAATCATAATTCCCAAAACTTGACTTTACTCTTCCTCTACTTTAATAATAATGATAATAAAAGTGAACATTACATTTTACACTTCTAAACTTATGGCCAATTGAAACCATAGAAGTATTGCACATTATTAAAGGGGGCCTATTCTTCATTCGATTTTGCGGGGGCAAAGAAACTTCAAGCAGCTAATCGCGGCGGGTTCCCCCTGGCCCCCTCTTCTGTCATACGTACTCCAGAGGCGACCTCTTGCCCTTGCCTTTCTGTTCAATCAGCCTTTCCACCAGCTTCTTAATCTCGGAAAATATCCACACCGACGATGTTAGGCTCGTCAAAAATACCATATCTAAAACAAAAGTGTCATGAAAAAATTGAATCACAATGGGGTTGGGACATGATGACAAAAATCAAAGCGAAACTACTTTAACCATAGAGATTAGTCACTTAAAACAACCATCCCATTAAAAAAAACAATTTTTGCTATCAATTTATCGTTAAAAATTACTAAAATTTGATGAACTCTCTCAGTAGGGTTGGTGTAAGAGCTACTACATTATGTTGGTAAATATTTAACATCTGTTTATAACATAGAAATAATACTATTATTTCTATGGTTTCTAGGTTACGTTCATATTCTTTAAAGTATTTAAATCGTTTAAACTTTATACTTAAATACGCTGTTAATGGCTTAATATTTGTATTTTTTATTTTTGTAAATACTTCCTTTGTAAGTCTTGACAATACTGTTACACCAAGGCGTTCTCTCTAACGTTATCGAAGCGGTTTGAAAATTGTTTGAGAAAAGTAGGAAAAAATGTTTAATGACAATGCATTAATGTGGAGATTCAAAATATGCAATAAAAAATGGGATGTCCCAACTAGGGATGGCAACGATAAATCGATATTTTTTTATATCGATATATTTAAGAATGTATCAATATTAAAACATCGATATATATTTTTCGATGTGTATCGAAAAAAGATTGATAAATTTATAAATACTGTTTATATCAACTTTAAAATATGTAATAATATATAATATAAATATAATATTATTATAATTATATAATTATTTTGTTTTGGTATATTTCTAATAAATTTTATTAGGGGACATACCCCCTTCCCCCTCCCTTAAACTCACGTGAGATTTTTTAAAATGCATAGTTTTAATGTAAATAAGTTAATCTGTATTTGATTCCATTAAATTAATTTAAAAAAAAACAATTTGCTTATAATTTTTTTATATTTAAGACTAGTATTTAAGATTTCCAATATTATTATTTAAAAGTAGCATACACGATGAGAAATTTCCATTAAATTTTACTATGGGTGCATAGTATCACTGGACTATATGAAACTGTCTTCAAAATTTACATCTGTCTTGTAGTAAACGTATGCGCGTCAGCCACGATCGCATGTAAAACTTGTAAATTTGAAATAATATAATAAATAATAGTATATTAAAGAACTAATGTCATAAGACGTCATTTTGTCGCACGCGGACAATTTTTAAAACGAGCGACGAAGGAGCGAGTTTTGTAATGGACGAGTGCGACAAAAGGTCTTATGACATAAAAAAAAAATAATTTTATACCTTAAATTTAATTTGATCGAATTTTACTTTAGATAGTTGGTATCACAGTCATTGGTTTGACATGTCATGTCAAACTTGATTCGCCATGCCGTCCTTAATTTACTTATTTACAATAAGCGGATGTTAATGTTAAAGAAGAAAAAAAGGATTTTATTTGGTGTTAAACAAAATTTATTGCCAGAAAAGCCTCGTAATTACTAAAAAAACATAAAAATATTATAACCAATAGGCAAAATATTATCAAAATTTTGGGTGGGATAAAGTATCTCATTACAGAACCGAAAGCGGTGTTATAATAAAGTCATTACGAACGCAAAATAGATAAATGAATTTATTACACTGTTTCTTTCCGAAAAAAAAAAAATTACGTGAAATTTCCCAAGACGACCTTCCCCCCCTAAACCCCTCACGTAATTAATGGATGCCACCCTGGTTGGTTAAATAAATGCATTACATTTTTTTATTGAGACCTAAAATTTCCAACATCTTTTAACGCGCAATAAAAAACCCTAATATAAAAACCATATATATATATATAAAAGTTGATTTTTTTGGCCCAGTCTAATATATTAGACTGGGCCAAAAAAATCAACTTTTTTTTTTGAAAAGTATATCAAAAATATGGTTTGGAGTATTGTGAAAGTTTGAGTCCATAATATTAATATTAAGAGGTCTATCATCGCAATTTTAATTTTTTTTTCGTCAGGTAGTTTTTCTCTCAGAACACCCAAACCATTGAGTTTAACAAAATTGAAAATATTTTTTTAAGAAAATTAAATTCTCTACAAAAAAGGTTAAATTTATATAGTTTTACATTTTGATCTTTTAAATTGGAATTTTGTAATTCATGTAAAAATCAGTACCCATAAAAAACATTTTTGGCTAAATTCACTCAATCAAAAGTTATTCAAGGTTAAAATTTCGTTTTGACTTCAAATTTAACCTTGAATAACTTTTGATGAAGTAAATTTAGCCAAAAATGATAAAAGATTTTTTTAGAGCATTTGATTTCCCATAAGAGTATTTATGGTTTTTTCCGGCTACTGATTTTTACATGAATTACAAAATTCCAAAGTTAAAAGATCAAATTGTAAAACTATATAAATTTTTAAGGCATGATTGTAAGAAAACGGTTCATCTGACGGGAAATTCCAATCAAACCTTTTTTGTAGAGCATTCAATTTTCTTCAAAAAATATTATTAAGTCAAATTTGTTAAACTCAATGGTTTGGTAGTTCTAAAACAAAAACTCGCTCAGGAAAAAAAAACTAAAATTGCGATGATAGACCTCTTAATATTAATATTATGGACTCAAACTTTCACCATAATTTTTTTTTGTCACCCACAACGATATTTTCGAAATATAAATATTTTTAAAATTTAAAACGCCTGTATGTAGGGTGTCCCAGAACTCGCGCCACAGAGAAAAAATTGAACAATAGTATCTTTTTTAAAATTGGACAATTTAGCATCTCCATTGCTATTTTTTTCTGTGGTGCAAGTTCTGGGACACCCTATATACAGGCGTTTTAAATTTTAACAATATTCATATTTCGCACCACCCTAATATATATTTCTTTCAATATATATGGATATCGATATATGATTTTTCTGTGTATACCATAATGCGCATTTGCGTAGTCTCCATGGCAACAGTACGATACGCTAATATAATTTATAATTCGAATTTTTTTAAAATGTTGCCAATTAGAAAAAAATAGTATAAAGAACTCATGTCATAAGACGTTTTCTCGCATTCGTCCTTTACAATTGTCCTCGTGCGAAAAAATGACGCCTTATGACATAAGTTCTTTAACTATTTCGATATATCGTTTGATCCGATATATCGAAAAAATAATTGAAATCTGCCATCCCTAGTTTCAACCCCAAGGTGGAGAAATTGTGTAAATGGCCAAAATCTTTACTGGACTTTGGGCACATAAATTGTGCCTAGTCCATAGATCAAAGCAAAAAAAATTGTACTAAAAAAAGCAAGATAAATTTTTAAAAGTTTGTTAAATTTCACAAACGCTAGTATAGTAAACCTTTTTTGTTAATATCAACATTAAAATATGTTATAATATATAATAATAATTATAACTATTATGTTTTTTTATTTTGGGTAGACGCTCAAGCGCTTTGTAAAGCGCTTATAAAAGCTCGAGCATTTATAAACGCAAAAATATAAATTTAAAATTTATTAAAAAAAAGGAGTACTTGTTTGATGGAACATTTTTTTATTGAAAAAAATGTTCCATCAAACAAGTACTCCTTTTGCAGAAATTGCAAGTAGCTTAGTATCTTTAACTCCTTAGAGCGGGCGGCAATCCCTTATTTTTTTAAATGTTGTGATACATCTTTTGAAAGGGCATTAAATTTTCTTTAAAATGGCACTTTGTTTTTTAAATTGCAGTTGCGGGTTGCCGAGAAATGTACAGCAACTGTTCAAAGTGTTCCCGGACATTGTAAAGAATATCGGATGTAATTTATTGGCATTCATTCGTGATGCGCTTCCGTAAATCTTCTAAGGGTTCAGGCTGTGTGGCATAAATTTTGGATTTCAGATGTCCCCACAAAAAAAAATCAAGGGAAGATAAATCCGGTGAACTTGGCATTATCCAACAAGTAGCTCCATACCGGTAAGAAAAATGGTCCAATTATTTGATCACCAAAAATACCAGCCCAAACGTTTAAGTTCTAAGGATGTTGAGTATAAACCTTATGGAAGATCCTTGGATTCGTGTCGGACCAATTATGACGATTGACAATGCCACTGAGAAAAAAATGAACATTCGTCTGAGAAGCAAACATTAAAAAGGTAGTTGGGAGTATTTATAATTATTTCGGACATTATTTCACAAAATTGTGAACAGCAGTCTAATGCAATTCTTATAGAAGTTGAATTTTATATGGGTGCCATTTATTGTGTTTCAGAATTCTCTGTACGGTGGCCCGTGAAACTCCAGTTCCATCAGATAGTTTTCTAGTACTTATTGTAGGGTCTAAAGTAATTTCACCCAGAACAGCTACTTCTACTGCCTCATTTCTCACCGGATTTTCAATATCTCGTTTTTTATTTGCCACTGAACGAGTTTGCCGGAATTTTGCTACTAATTCTAGGATCTAACCACGCTATACGTGTCTATTTGCATGTCTCTTATTAAACAAAGTTGCCGTTACTCTTGCACATTGATTGTTTATAAAATAGAATTAAATAATTTCCACTCCCTCCGCAATAGAATAAACCATTTTTTATCGTATCGAAAGAAATCAAAAGCACAGAAATAACGATCCATCCACATCAAGTACTTTACTGAAGATTTTTTCAACGAATTTTTTGATTTACAAAATTTGTAAATAAGCGGTTCAGTAAAATGTTCGGAATTCTATTGAACGACGAAGCGTCCTTCGAATGCCCTTTCAAAATCCCGCTAAGGGGTTAAAGTTACAGTGATGAAATTAATGTGTAAATATGTCCCCCTGAAAACAAAAGTATACGTATACAAACATTTTTTTATATTCACATACAAAGCCGTAAACCTTGCTGAACTGTTTTTGATGGGCCACCCTGTATAATGAATTATATTATTTTGGTTGGTTAAATAAATGTATTACCTTTTTTATTGAGACCTAATATTTCCAATACTTTTTTAATGCCAAATGAAGCTTTTATATAAAAAAATTATTAATTGCTTAACACATTCGCGGACACTTCCAGATTTTAGAGGTTACTCAAAAACATACCAACTTTTGTCTGCAATTGCAGACGTCTGCTATAACAGACACGTCCTTGTATATCCCAAAATTTTATATTAAGGGACATGCGTCTGTAATTGCAGACGTTAATAAACTAAATGCCGGTTTCGGTAATAAGAAGAAAATCGTAAAAAACATAAACTTTATTCAAATAAATAATAAAAACTACAACAAAATAAACTTTTAATCCAAGTCTTTGTCATCTGAACCAGCAAATGGATCTTCTATACTAGTACTGCTTGGTCTATCACCCTCAGGCTCTGAAGAAACGACGTATTACGTATGACGTAATTTACGTATCCCTATAGGGCAATACGAAACATTATCTCTTTTGCCAATGATCTTATACGTATTTATTCAAAAACCATTTTATATATTGAATATATATATATATACTAAATAATATAATATATATAATATTATTATATATTTATAATTTATAATATTATATATTTATGATTATTAAAATTTTATAACCAAATATAAAAAACCGTATTTAGCTTAGGCAGGAATATTTCCTTAGAATAAAAATAAATAAAAATATTTGAACAAACCCTTATTAAAAATATAGTACTTACCAAGAGTTAAAATCGAAAATACAACAAAATAAAATCGAAATTTACAGGGACACTTCATAACCTCTTCCATTGGCCGTTATGAAGCTACTGTCACAGAACATAAGGCTACTGTCTGCTTTTGCAGACATGACGCTTTTCGTGAGAAAACAATCTGCGCGGGAACTATATATTTAACCTTAAAATGTATCACTTAGAGGGACACTTTTCTGCTAAAAAACTTGATGTACAAGGACAATATGCTTCCATTCATACGTATTTAATAGTAAATAGCGACTGCTAATGCAGACATGCGTTTTTCTGTGGTTTAAAATTTGTCTGCAATTGCAGTCGTGTCCAGTGTTGTTCCGTCTATTACATTTGTAATAGATCTATTACAACGGCCAAAAATCTATTACGTCATTACAAAATTAATAAATCTATTACATTTTCAAGATTTGTCCGTTTTTTTTTCAACAATAATTATATATATATATATATATATAACGCTAGAAGAACAAAGGGAATACGGTTTTCCGAATACGATAAATACGAAGTCCGTGTAAAAAAGTTTGCATTAGCTAACATCATTTTCGTAGACGAGTTGAAAACCTTGCCTATGTATTTTGTGGTATTCACAGAATAATTACAACTTAAAAGTATACATATTATAACTGATTGACAACTTGCCTATGTATTTTGTGGTATTCACAGAATAATTACAACTTAAAAGTATACATATTATAACTGATTGACAACTTTAGTGTTACGTAGATAAAATGGATAAGTAAATACCTACCTACCAATTACCTGTGTACTGAGCTTAAGTACGTTTCCTTGAAAACTAATCCATGAAAACATTCTCCGTATGCAAAATTGGTTGACTGGATTTTTGTGCAACAGGAACGTTGTTCAATAAACACAACTTATTAAATGAGATGTATTTATTTTAATACAGAGATGATACTTGGTTGAATGCTAATGAATATCTCTGTGAATAACTAACTAAAATAATAAGAGCAGACTGCCACTCTTACAGAAAAAACTGAGTAGTCAGCCCCAAAGATAATCTTTGGTCAGCCCTTTTTAAATATAAAAAAAATATGACGCAGTTCTCGACCCCTTGTGTGGTCTTTTAAAAACACAATGAAACTTGCTCACGTCGCATTTCCTCTTGGTTACATTTTGTTTTTTTTATAGTATCTAAATATCGTAAATATGATTTTATAAAACACATTAAGTTGACAGTGTTTTATTGCACTATACATAAAATAAAAACTTATCATTATATTATAAAAAATAAGTTATAAATAAAATAACCCATAGTTGAACGTGTTTTGTTAACAAATATTTAAATAAAATCTTTATTCACAAAACATGCATAATGTCTTTGGATGTTTTAATGTTTTAAAAATCCCCCTCCTCTTTACCTTTATGAAATAACAAATTTCTTTATTTTTATAATGATAGGTAGTTCAAAAATGGCGATCTATTACATTTTATAGGGATCTATTACTTTTTTCTGTAAAATCTGTTACGCTTTTTTTTTCGCTGGGAACAACACTGGTCGTGTCCCTACACATGTGTCTGCAATAGCAGTCGTGTCCGCGAATGTGTTAAAATAGTAAATTTTACCACTACCCCGAAAAATCCCAAAAATCGATATATTTCATATACCGATATACATTTCATTCGATATTTTAATATGGATATATGATTTTCGATATATCGTTCGATAGGATAAATCAAAAAAATAATTTAAATCTGCCATCCCTAGTCGTAATACGCTCATTGTACACTTACGAATGCAGGGTCACATGTAAAATTTTATAAGCCCACATTGTGAAACCATCATGCATGCATTTATATTGTGAGTGAATTGAGGACTCACACAATCCTCATTGTAAAAGCACGCGTGCGGCTTAACCCCGCGCACGTAAAATGCAGGTAAAATTAACTTCTAAATGTTATCTGGGATGTATACATTTATTATAGCCAATAAAAATTAATTATTTCAGATTAAATAATGTTTCAAGAGATCCTACTTACCCCAAGCTGTCAAAGCTTCAGTTTGGAACACCCTCTGCAACGGGGGAAAATACACAACCAAGAGTTGACCGATTATGGACAAACTTACAGCCACTAAGAACATTTTGTTAGAAAAGAGACCGATTTGGAAAACGCTCTTCGTTTGAGATCGGCAACTTAACGCGTTCCACATGTCGAAGAACACGAAACATGTGAACGTCATTGTCGTGTCGCGTGCTGTAATGCCTTCTGAACTCATCTGTAAATGGTAATAATGGTTATTAGTTACAAATATATTAACAACTCTGTGATCGTCAAATAAAATTTTAATGTACAACTTACTTCTTTGTTGAAAACCCACAATGTCCCAGCAATAATGAAAATGGCAGAAAGTAAAACGTTTATTATAAGCTTTTTGGTAATCATTGGTTCCTTGGTATCTCTTGCTTTTTGTTTTACTACATCTTTCTCTACAGGTTCAACACCCAAACTTTGAGCTGGCGGACCATCCATTATAATGTTAATCCAAAGAATCTAAAATAATATTTATTTCGGTATTAAATATATTAAAAATATGTGATACGCCCCAAAAGAAGGTACCTTAGCGGCATATTAGATTTGTTAGTACCAGCGAAAGAAGCGAGTGCCCAAAAAGCTTAAGAAACAATAAACCTGCTAATCGAATTTTTACCGCTAAGGTACATTTGTTTAAAACGGAACATTGCCTTTCAGCAAACATTAAATATAGAATAACAAAAATACCTGCATGGCATTAAGTGGATTTGGAATCCCCATTAGTGTAGCTAAAGCTATTAACGACAAAGCTGCTATAGAAGTAGATAGTTGAAACCTAACGAAATTCCTGATATTGTAGAATATGCTTTTTCCTTCTTCAATTGCTGCACTGTAATAATTCGATACATTTATTAGAATTGGCATTTAAATAATACCCAGGGCTACCCTAACCAAAGTGCTAAATGGGCTATAGCCCTGGGGCGCAACCTTTTGGGGGCGGCAATTTTTATTGATGTTATATTTTTTGTTATTATTATATACCATTTTGTATTGAAAATCTTTTCAAGAAAAAACCTGTTCTAAATGAAACAGAAAATATTATACAAAATTAAATAAAATAGAAAATCTTATATGCATGCATCAATAAAATACGTTTGGTTTTGGTTCTGTTCGCCCGTTTTCTATTGCCAGGCTGGCAATAGAAAACGGGCAATGCCAGCGTCAGCAGCGCCATCGGGTTCTCTTCGGCCGGCTTTGTGAAACTTTACGGTCGGTAAAACACATTTCTACTAATATCACTGTTTCAAAAGCACCATATTTGCGTCTAATTTTAATATATGTTTCTTCGTTGGGACAAAGCAAATTAAATGATTTGAAAACATAAATACGTGTGATATAATTAATCAGTTTGCAAAAGAAAAAGCTAGGAAAATAAATAAATAAGTTGCTTTTGTTTTTTCTTCACTAAAAATTTTGTTTCTGTTCATATAGTTTTTTAATTTTGTATGAATTTTGTTTTTGTTTAGATACTTTTATTTTTTGTTTACTATAAAGTTTATTTTGTTCATTTAATTTTTTAATTTTGTATGAATTTTATGTTTTTATTAAGTGTAATGATAATAAATGAACTTTTACTAGTTCTGACACTTTTGTAAACTTGTATAACCCTTCCCACTAACTCCTCTTATAAAGAAGGGCGCATTATTTTTAGTAGCCCACAGGCGCTGAATATCTTAAGAAGGCCCTGATAATACCTATATTAATAAAAACTCCAATGAAGTTTCCAATACACTATAAACATATTTATAAACATTTTGAATGTCAAAAGAGCTATTTTAAAAAAAAAATTGTTACTAACGCATAGGTACAGGGTGATCCCCTATAATGTCGCCCCCTTTTAACTTTTATTTAAGGGTCCCAAAAAATTTAAAAGTGTGGTTATGTAGGTACTAAAAAATACTATTTTTCTACTTACAAATTGGAAAATTGTTCAGTATAGAGGGAAAAACAAAAAGTTTATTTTTTTTTCAATGGATCACCCTATATATGTATTTATTTTTCGATTCCTTGTAAAATTCGAAGCATATTTCATATATATATTTCAACATACCATATACCTAAATTCAACCGTTTCTCAAATATTTATATTATTTTTAAAATAATAAGTTGAAATAGTTGGTCTTTCTCTGTCTGAGTAGGTACGCCATTTTTACTTATACAAGGCATATTGACATAATGTCAATAAAAATTTTGGCATACTGAGGCTTCTTGATTTCTAACAGTTTAAAAAAACATTTAATGATAACATTTCGATTGCGAATATTTCAGAAACGGTTGAATTTAGGTAGGTGGTTTGTTGATGGTTGATGTTGATGGTTTGTTACATGAATTATTCTCAGAATTTTACAAGGAATCGAAAAATAAATTCATATATAGGGTGATCCATTGAAAAAAAATAAACTATTTGTTTTTCCCTGTACATTCATCAATTTTCAATTTTATATATATACAGGGTGTTCCTTAATATCATGTACAAACAAAAGGGGGTGATTCTTTGGCTTATTTTATGAATAAAAGTTCCTATAAACATGGGCCCGCAAACGCTTCGTTACCGATCTACAGGGTGTTAAAGTTTGGAGATTTTTTTAGTTTTTATCTTATAACTTCTGCAGTTTTTGAGATATTTGGCCCAAATTCGGAATATAGGTTGGGATATAAGGCTTACATCATTGGGCATGCCAAATGGTTATAAGAATCTACAGGGCGATACTTTTTTGTATGTCATGCTCCCCTTTTTTCCCAAGAACTTTTTTATGGTGCGCTGCTGGTAGATTTTAAAATACAAAATAAGTTTTCTGTTTTGTTTAGAAACTTTTTAGTAACCTAAAGTTTTTTCGTATCTGCAACCATTATCGAGAAAAAAAATATAACACAAGTTGTTGTCATTTGCGAGATGAAATTCAAATTTCTAAAATAATTTGGTTGGCTTTATTAATAATTTATTTTTATTTATTTTTAAAATAATATTTCTATACTTCTTATTAGAAACAAAACGGTTTTGGTTACAATGATTTATTTTAATACAAAAAACTTAAATATTTAGAAAAACTAGAAAATTACCTTACAACAATTGTTGTAATGGTGTACTCTTTTAAACATGATTTGAATTCATTTCTGCCACTACTTATTAAATATCAAATCTGAAATAAAATGGTTTATGTAGCTATTGGATACAACATCACAGACAACACACTGTCTACAACATCAAAAAAATACATAAAAACGATGCTATTGACAGCACGCATTTAAAGTTTTAAACTGCAAGGTGTAAAATTATTTAAAAGACTCGTTATAATTAAATTTCTTATCAGTCCGTAACAATGCCAAATTATACGAATTCTGAAATGGCTGACATGCATTTCATCTATGGCCTTGCGGATGGAAATGCAAGAGAAGCTACACGCCTGTACATGGAGCGCTATCCCGATAATAGAATAATACCCGATCATCGAACATTCACAAATATTCATAGGCGTCTTGCAGAAAGTGGAACTTTTAAAAAGAATACCAATGATGCAGGTAGACAATATACGGTAAGAACACCACAGATTGAAGAAGCTGTTTTAAATGAAATAGAAGAGCATCCAGATACTAGCACTAGAAAAATTAGTGAACATTTCAACATTAGTCATCAAGTTGTTTGGCGTATCCTGCGTGATTCTCTGCTATACCCTTACCACATTCAAAGGGTGCAGGCGCTCCTTCCTCGAGATTTCCCATTAAGGCTTAATTTCTGCCGATGGTACCTTGCCAGGCTAGCAAGAGACCCTAATTTTGACTGTAAAATCCTTTTTACCGACGAAGCCAACTTTTCTAGACTTAATTATAAATTTTCATAACAACCACATATGGGCTGAAGAAAATCCACATGAAATTGTAGAAACGCATTTTCAAGAACAGTTCTCGTTAAATGTATGGGGTGGTATAATTGGGGATTATTTGATTGGTCCTTTCTTTTTGCCTAATCGACTTAATGCTCAGTCATATAGGCATTTTCTTCAACATGAATTGCCTTTTTTAATAGAAGATTTGCCTGTTTTGCTAAGAAACCGTATTTGGTATATGCACGATGGCGCCCCAGCACATTTTTCTATTTTGGCTCGGGAGTATTTAAATGTAGCATATGAAAACAGGTGGATAGGACGGGGTGGACCTCAGCCATGGCCCCCTAGGTCTCCTGACCTAAACAGCCTGGATTTTTTCCTATGGGGGCATCTCAAATCTTTAGTCTATGCAACACCAGTTAATAATATAAATGACTTACAAAATCGGATAGTAGAAGCATTTGAAACCGTAAGAAATACTCCGGGGGTGTTTGAAAGAGTAAGGGCATCAATGAGAAGAAGAGCAGATGCTTGTGTGAGAATTGGAGGAGGTCACTTTCAACAATTGTTGTAATGTAGTTTTCTTGTTTTTCTAAATATTTAAGTTTTTTGTATTATAATAAATCATTTTAACAAAGAGCATTTTGTTTTTAACAAGAAGTGTAGAATAAATTGTTAAAATAAATAAAAATAAGTTATTATTAATAAAGCCAACCAGACCCTTTTAAAAATTTGAATTTCATCTCACAAATTTTGTTCTACATATTTTTCTCGATAACGGTCGCAAATACGAAAAAACTTTAGGTTACCAAAAAGTTTTTAAACAAAACAGAAAATTTATTTTGTATTTTAAAATCTACCAGCAGCGCACCATAAAAAAGTTCTTGGGAAAAAAGGTGAGCATGACATACAAAAAAGTATCGCCCTGTAGATTCTTATAACCATTTGGCATGCCCAATGATGTAAGCCTTATAGCCTAACCTATATTCCGAATTTGGGCCAAATATCTCAAAAACTGCAGAAGTTATAAGATAAAAACTAAAAAAATCTCCAAACTTTAACACCCTGTAGATCGGTAACGAAGCGTTTGCGGGCCCATGTTTATAAGAACTTTAATTCATAAAATAAGCCAAAGAATCACCCCCTTTTGTTTGTACATGATATTAAGGAACACCCTGTATATATTTTATAAGTAGAAAAAAAGTATTTTTTAGTACCTATATAACCACAAGCATTTTAAACGGAAAAATTGAATTTTGCATTATCCGTAATACCCGTAAATACAAAATAATTGCAAAATTATTTTTTTCTGAATTTTTTTTAATTTTTCGTTTAAAATGCTTGTAATGTTTAAAAGGCTCCAAAAAAACTGAAAGAAATTTTTAAAATTTCCAAAAAAAAACAAGCCCCGGGGAAAAACGATTCTTAAAAACGCTAATTCTTACATTATTGTGTAGAAATCGTCGTCAACCAAAATCATATCGGCGGCTTCTTTACAAACGTCGGTGCCATTCTTGCCCATGGCAATGCCGATATCGGCTTTCTTAAGGGCCACGCCGTCGTTCACCCCGTCTCCCGTCATTCCCACGATGTGACCGGTTCTTTGCAATGATTTTACGATCGAAAGCTTGTTTTTCGGCGACACCCTGTAGAAAACAGTGGCGTGCGGCACGGCGCCATCTAGCTCCATGTCGTTGAACGCGTCCAGCTGTTCGCCGGATATTACTTGCGATGGAAGGCACTCCAACCCTATTGACTGGGCTGAAAATAAAGTTTTAATTGAGACCATTTTTTTGCGAAATATTCCAAATCTTCCAACAAAAAGGCTATGATAAATATATTTGCGTTGAACCACTTTAAAGATATGGAAGGTTTTCCAACAAAATGGTTCAAAGTATAGAGCAAGTTTTACAAGATTACATGGGGGCTCAAAAAAGTTAGACCAATTTTTTTATATTCTTTAATACAAAACTTGTGTACGGTAGTATCACTTGTAAAAGAAAAAATATTCTATAAAGTTCCGCGACCCCAAACACCCCACGACCCAGAACGAAAGTGCAAAGTGAATAGTGTCACCCCTGCCAGGAACAAGTGGTTTAGTGTGGTGGGAACCTGATAGAGATCAAGCTCGAGGAAACAAGGCGAAATTCAGATAAGTATTTTAATAATACAGGGTGCGGCAAAAAGGTTGCCCCATTTTTAAAGGGTCATTGCTTGGCTCGTGGGGGGATAGAGCAGTGCGCGTGGTCGCTTTAGGTAGTTACGTGTATGCCATTTTCAGCCGTCATAATGAATCTGTCAGAAATATTTGGGATGTCAATAAAAATCAAACTAAGAAAAAGCTTTCTATTTTTTAAAGGTCCATTAATTACGTGTTGATGTTTCCGGGCAAAGTTGTCTCTTTACGGGGTGATATTGGGTGACCTCCGCGTTCGCCTGATTTGAACCCTTGCGATTTTTTTTGTGGGGGTATCTAAAATCACAAGTTTTTAAACATCATCCACAAAATTTGGAAAATCTAAAGGCATAACGCTATTCGCAATACTAAAAACTCGTAATCCCGAAATCCACCAAGCCTTCGGGTTTATTCCTTTTCACGTAGAAAAATCTGGAGCAATAACGAAAATACATGAAATAATAAAAAACACTAAATGAGGTAAACAGAGAACAATGAACGATTATTTCAATAGCCCAAAGAAAATGCCTATTGCCTATTCAGCAAAGCAAGTTGGACCGAATATTAGAATAAGCATTTACTTTAAAAATACAAACCCAATAATCTTAAGTAGTTCCGAACTTTGCTTAACATAAACATAAACATAATAAACCACTCACCACCTTATAACTTTTAGTCATCAAACAAAAGTAATAGCCATAGATTAAAAAAAAAGAAATGTCAAGAGCAAGCATTGATTAAAATATAAATATAACTTAAATTAATTGCTAGAAAAGAACAACAGAAAACGTAATACACTGTATTACACAAAACGTAGACAACGGAACGCTCGGGCCACACATTAACCAGGATTATTAAAATTTCGCATTAATTTGGCAATAAAAAAAAAACAAAAATTTTTTTTGAAACTCTCGATAACGATCGGTAGTTGCATTACCGATCATCGAAAACCATCTACCGATAGTGCTTGAACTCTAGACTGAAGAAATGGTTTCGCACAGTGGGGCAAACATTTTCATACAGCAGTTTCCAATTCTCAGCAGACTCGGACACAGATAAACAGGAAGTACTACGAGACCAACATGGGTTCCTTGGGGTTGGGTCATAGCAGCGTACTAACCAACCAAACCCTATTCATAAATCCCAATTGAATGGGGGAATTACTAAATCCATGGTTGAGGGAGATTCCGGATTGTTCCTAGTTTTGGGAAATGGCCTTTGGCTAAATTTTACGTATATTGTAGGACATGACCCAGTGATCAAAAGTTGGTACATTCTCGAAAATGGGCTAGTTTTAAAGCTAGGAAAAAATTTTAAAATCACAAAATGTTCAAAATTTTTTAAAATATTGATAATTTTCAAATCCACCGGTAGCTTTTCCCCATAGGATTAGTGCGAGAGAGTTTATTTTATTAGGATTTATTTTTTCATTTTAGCGATATTGGGCTATTTTTAAGCGGTTTTTGTCCCATTTTAAGAGCTATATCTGACTAAAAGTACTTTTTGAATAGAATTAGCAGGTTTCTCGAGCTCATTTTAGTGAAAAATCGACAAAAAATTGTCAAAATATCCATATTAAAAGAAAATTGACAAAAATCAGTCAACTTTAGAAAATTAGTATGACCAAGCGATTTCTCATATCAAAGTTAATCGAAATAGCATGTAATACGGAATTTTTTACTCACAGTGTTATTTATTCCAAAGTTGATTTTATGTATTTTATTTTGATATTAATTGCTGAGAATAAAAATATTTTTTATAACTATATTTTGAAACCAATATTGGTATGCAACTCCCAATTCCTAAAAGGCTTTTGTTCTTCTAAGGTTTTTCTACTACCGCTAAAGTAGGGACCATCATAATGCACAATTTAAATAATTCAATTGTTTACTTACCAATCGCTACAGCAGTGTCAACTGAATCTCCAGTGAGCATTTTAACTTGGACTCCAGACTGCTTAAGAGTGCTAATGGCTTCTCTGACCAAGGGTCTTGGTGGGTCGCAAATACCCACTATACCCATATAGGTAAGATCTTGCAGCGTGGTGCCTTTAGCCATTGCGATAACTCTAAGACCTTTCCTGCCGATTTCATGGGCTTCCGCGATAAAATCCTGCTCCTTTTTCGGCTCCATCGGTTTTATCGTGCCGTTCCAGCTATACATTGTGCATTTCGGTAAAATTTTCTCGATCGCCCCTTTCACGAAGAAAACCTCGTATTTATCGTCGTACTTCGACACGCATCTGACAGCCATCATTTTTTGTTCCGAGGAAAAAGGGTACTCCTGCAATCGGACGTATTTGTCCTGTATGTTGTACATGCCGTGTTTCATCGCAGCTGAGATTAGTGCGCCCTCTGTCGGCTGTCCCATCAGCTGCTCGTTGGTGATGATGGCATTATTACAAACTACGCCTACTTCCAGTAGATGGTATACGCTTTCTCTTGCTTTGTCGGGAAAATCGCATTTGTGCAGAAGAACTTGTCCATGGTCATTATAACCAGCACCTACAATTTTTAATACATAATAAAATAAATTCAAATTAAACATGGACGTGAAGTGCTGTAACAGTGGTCTTTTCTCTTGTCACAAATCTCTTCCTGACCATGTATTTAATTGTTAATTACTATAATAATAAGTTATATAAGTTAGTAGCCTACCCCTACCTGTGAGTTCCGCAATATAACCATCAGCCGTCACCAAAACAGTTGCGGTCATCTCGTTTCTTGTAATCGTTCCGGTTTTGTCAGAACAAATAACGTTAACGCAGCCCAAAGTCTCGACGGTTGGCAATTTCTTAACGATGGCGTTTCTTTTGGCCATTCTCATAACACCCAGCGCCAGAGTGACCGTCACAACGATTGGTAAACCTTCCGGTATGGCCGCCACCGCCAAACTCACACCGATCGTGAACATTTCCATTATTAATTTGCCCTGAATCCATCCCAGAAGCATGATGAGTCCGATAATGCCAAAAGAGTAGATGGATAGTTGAGTACCAAGACTGTCCATGGATTTCTGTAGTGGTGTTTTGGGTGCCTCTTCTTCCAACATCATTTTAAAAACGGTGCCGAATTCGCTGTTGGTACCAGTACCCACAACATATCCCTACAAAAAAATAATTACCTAATATTGAATTTAATATTTCTTAAAAAAGCTTTTTTTAACAAAATTTCTATGGGGTATGCGTATACCCCTCTATAGAGATGCGACTTGAAAAAAAAAGGTCCGTTTTTTTTCAGGTTTTTTAATTGTTTTTTTTAAATGGTTTTTTTCATATTTTAGGTTTTTTTTCAAGATTAGTCCCATGTGCCTAATTTTTTATGTTTCCAGTCCAGTTCGTGGACTAAAATTAGCCACCAAATGACATTTAGTAAATGTAAATACAGTCTCGCGCTTTGCACCCGCCACCACCACCGAATTGACCAATAAGGGCCCCGCTTCTTTTGATTTGGTCCTAAAAAAAGTAACTACCTATAAGTTTTTTGATTCAGCACTTGATTTTTCAAAAAGCTACGAAAAGCACTTTTTTTCTTGATTTTTCAAATTCATGTATGGAATTTTTTTTTTCAAAAAACGATAGCAAATTCTTCTAGAACATTTATTCATTGGTGGTTAAGTCATTCCTTGGACCAAAAAAAAAAGTCAAAAATTTTTTTTTATTACGGTATTCGTTAGGAATGAGCGTTGCACGTTTTCTAAAAATCTCAAAAGTAGAAACTTTAAGCTTCAAATTGCTTTTTTTACGGTTCAAATACGACCATTTTTGACCAAGATATAGCTATCCAAAAAATCGCAAAAAATTTGGAATTTTTTTTTATCCTTGAATTTTTTCTATTAGTGTAGAAGTTTTACATTGCTATTGGTTTCTTATGTGGAAACTACCAAATAATATGAAATCAGATTCTTTAGTCTCAATCAAAATTTTCAATAATGAAAAATGTAATATATTCTACATTTCACTTTATTATTAATATACATTTTACTCAAAATTTCATTTTGAAAAATTACTCCATTTTTTAAGATTGATGTTATTTATTTACAGAGAAAAAAACAAAAAAAACCGTTCAGTGCATTCTCAAATGTTTACTGGGAAGACGTCATAATAACCCACATCTAATAATCGTCTTTAAGAAGACATTGTTATTACAAAAAATTACTTTTATCTGCTTCCACTATGGTAACAAGTCTATTCTTACATTGTTTTATAGCAGGTAAGATGAATTTACCGTGAAAGGCTGGTTGCTATTGACGACGCGAGGCAAGTGAGCTACTTAATAATTACTACCATAAGTAAGTGTCAGTGTCAAAATAAATTGATTAAAAAAGTATTTGGGGGAGCAGATAAAACGTTACAACACCTCGCAGAAGGTAAGTTTTGACCAATCTCGGACTCTATTGCCAGTAGGGTTTCCAGTCCGGGATCCCGGGATCCCGAAATCCCGGGATCCCGCGGGTTTTTTGTCCCGAAAATCCCGGGATTAAAATTAGGGTTTCTGGTTCGGGATCCCGGGATCCCGAAATCCCGGTGTCTAATATTTACTTGACAGCTAAATAGGAAAATTGTTTAAAATAATTTTTTGTGTTTTCCTAACTACAAAATCCCAACAACTATCATACAAGCAATATATTCGAAAACCCAAATTCTGAAGTAATAGCTCAATTTGTCAAAAATATATCAGAAAATTTCAAAAAAACTATTACTCCAGATTCGGAATCTGATGATAAAGACATTCCTTTGTTTGAACATATAAAAAAGTCGACAGACCATTTAACTACTAAAATTAAACCTACTTGGCAAAACACTAAAAATCCAAAATGTCGTCTTAACACCCTGAAAATTATTAAAAAAGAAATGACACTTTATGAAAATGGAGGATTAAGAGGTTTATATTTGCAGCAGTGTTACGAATATTTACTTACAGTACCACCTACAAGGGTGGAAGCTGAGAGAGCCTTTTCTTCGGCGGTCACATTTGCGACCAAACTTAGATCGCGCTTAAGTGACTCAACCTTAGACAGGTTGGTGTTTTTAAGAGCATATTTTATTTTTACTAAGCAAAACGTAAATGTTTACTTTTCATTTAAAAGTTCTTTGTAAAGTACTTTGTTTTAAGTATAGCTTATTTTATATTAACAAATCGTAAATGTATAAGAATTGTTTTTTGATGTATGCATTTTTATTAATTTTGTTGCTACTGTTAGATAAATAAAAACATTATTAATGTTAATCCCGGGATCCCGGGATTTGTTTTTTTTATCCCGGGATCCCGGGATCCCGGGATTTGTTTATTTTTATCCCGGGATCCAAAAACGGGATCCCGATCCCGAAAATTGGAAACCCTAATTGCCAGCCCTCGCAAGCTCAGGCGCAAACTCGTTCTCGACTGGTAAAATCTACTTACCTCCTTTGTAGTGTTTATTCTATTCAGAAGTATTTATTCTTTTCATAAAATTATTCTAACAAGGATAATTCTGTTATAAAAATTCGATTGGGTGGATAAGATTATAAATAATTTAAAAAATCGATAAACATTACGTACCTTTCCGTTTCCACACCTCACAAGGGTACCCATAAAAGCAATATTGGTATTGGAGGAGCTGGGACCGTTCGGTCTCGATACCGCATTGATATTTTTTCTTGCAGGTTCAGTTTCTCCAGTGAAAGAACTTTCATCGATAGTGAGATCCGTCGCTTCGAACAGTCTAATGTCTGCTGGTACCCGATCGCCAACATTTAAAAGCACCACGTCACCAGGTACCAGCTCTCTAGCCAAAAAGGTGTCCGGCGAACCTTCCCTTAAACTAAAATAAACTATTAGAAACAATATTCATTTTATTACTTATTTCTTACCAGTGGCAAGATGGTGGTACAAGTTTGGTAAGTTCCTGTAATGATTTTTCCGAACGGTATTCCTGAACAAAAGCAACTGTGACCACAATGACAATTGCAACTGTAATACTGAATGCATCATCGAATTGTTTCATGCAAACTGAGACCAATGCAGAAGCCAAAAGTAATAAAATTAGGGGATTTTTAAACTGCTCGAGGTATTTCTTCCAAGGAGGGTCCTCATCCTTAACGCTAAATTCATTATACCTAAAAAAATTGAAATTTAAGAAATATTTTGATTTTAAAGTAAATGTTAATTTTATAAGCATAGAAATTGTATTTCTATAGAAAAATATTTATATATAGAAAACAATCAACTATCAGAGCCATTTTCCGCAGCAAACTAGATTGGGGCGTATTCTGATTGGTTAATTGCTTTTTATAGAAATTATTATAAATGAAATAAATTTCAAGAAACGATCTCTGTTCTATTTTTTTATGAAAGTCTTAAGTTTGTCCTATACAATATATTATCGCATGTTAAAGAGTAGTTTTGTTCCAGCTATTTATATTCAAATTTTCAAAGGATAGATTTTATCGGTTCGTACCCGAATAATTGTCTTCTGTGTGTGGCTTCTTGCCAGGTGAGTCCTGTTCTAGGATTGGAGTCTAATCGGTTGGCTACACTGTCGCATCCCAATCCACTAGCCTCGTTCACAGTCAGCCACATCTCCTGCTGACCCTCCTTTTCCTGAAAATAAAAATATATGATTTAAAATAGGGTTTACATTTAGGCTTTAGATTACATTCTTATAAAAATAAAATTATCGAATTATCTTATATTTAAGTAAATGGTTAGTAGTTACCCGCTGCCTATATAATTAAACTTTATAAGAGGCATTTAATGAAATCGAATTATATTTATTATTTATAATATATTAGTTTACAAAATGTAAAAGTCAAAATGAAAATACATACATATACGCTGTGGCCTAAGCGTTTACTTTAAACTGATAAAAATGATTTAATTCATACCTAGTAAGTTACCAAGATTAAATAATTGTTATCAGAATACGGAAAAACTTATTTGGTTAACATAGGCGGCTCGCCAAATGGGTAATTATTAATTAAATATGTTTTACGACAAATTTTCTGTTTTGCTTTTATGTGCCATAAGAATTAACTTTTTGTTTTATATGAAACAGCTGTTTTCTAGAATATGTTGTTAATATGAACAATGGATAAAACTTGAATTCAAATTCTATTTTTTATTACAATAATTTACTATTTACTATATGTATAAACATATTTTATCTAGTACTATTGGTTTTTCCGTATATGTACATGATAACCATTATAACCGTTATAACCATTATAACCGTTAACAATTGTTAGGCATCAGTGTATAGTATTCGCGGCGAATGTTTCAAATTCTGAACCAAGCACAGATATTATAATTATTGTTGTTTTCTTTTACGTATATAATCCAAGGAACCGCTAGGTTAACCGTATGTCGAGAAATCGGTTTTTGACATTCGACATTGATGAGGCAATTTGATGACTTTAGCCGATTTCAATATTCATTGTGATTTGAACCAATCGGGTTTTACGTAATACGTAATACGTAATATTATTTATTTTTTACTTAGCTGTTATTTTTTCATAACGACTTGGATACGAGATATGAGAGGGCGTAATCGATTCATTATTTATTTTTCATTTAGCTGTTATTTTGTCATATCACCTTGGATACGAGATATGTAAATGCATCCAAAACAACAGATGCGTAATAAGAAGTCTCTTATTTTTTCAGTTTTATGTACCTAAAGTGAAAAATAATACAATACAGGGTGTTATGTAATTAATGTTATATATTAAAATGGGTTATTCCTTAGGGTCCATAAAGAAGCACCTGAAACTTTTTTCTTCTAAATTCCAAAGACTAAAAATAATTTATAATAACCTTTATCCTATCAAAAAGTACGCCACTGATCGACTAGGGACTTTAGGCTAATCTGATTGCCTAATTTAATTTATTATGTTATGGTTGGTAACAAGTTGTTACTAACAACAGCGTTTCCAAATTCTGTCAAAAAAGTTGACAAACATTGTTTAAATTTAGCTTAATTACAAAAATGACAAAATTAACAATGCAAATTGTCAATTCTTGTTGACTGGACTACAAGGAACACAGGTATAGTTTTTAAGAACTAGAAATAAGAATTTGCAATCAATTTTTATGGCACTTCTAGAGGGCGCTTATTTCACAGCTAGGTTGAATATTGTAAAAAAGTATTGACTCGATTCTACCTGTCATTTGCGCCCTCTAGGAGTAAGTACCATAAAAAATGATCACATTTTTTATTTTATGACCTTTAAAACTGTTTTGAAATCAAAAATTCAAATTTTCACTTTATTAGTATTAACCAATTTTAACTTTTTATTTATTAATTACATAAATTAATAACAAAAATAAAACATTTTTAAACACCTTAGGTATAACTCCAAAACTAGTCAAAAAATAATGTATTTTTTTGCATTTTTTGTTTATGGGTATGGTGTTATAACTAACGCACTATGGTGCGCTCCTTCTGGAACGGTACTTTCATTAATATTATTTATTACAATCTAATAAATGAAGGTAAACTTCATTTTATTTTTAAAGCAATTAATTAGATAATTAGTTTGAAATCTTAAATTAGCATGTATTAAATTAAAGAACCCATAAAACAATCGAATAATTCTAAATAGTGATTTACGTACAAGAACATACCTATGTATTAGGACCTACATATAGGTATGCATAAAACACACATTGTAAAATTATAATATAATGATAAGTTTAAATAAAAAAGAATAATTTGCATTTAAACGATAATTACAAATTAGTAAATATTTTTAAAATTCCTTAAATACGTATATATATATTCGTATTATAATAAGGACAAAAATCAAGGAAAAAATATTCAAACCCTGTGTTAATTTAATCAAAATCGTAATATACAGATTTTTGAATTGCTTGAAAAAAAATTATAAAGACTGTAGAAATTAGGCTAAGAAGTGAGTCTTTTTGGGCAAACTCAAAGCAACATAATTTTTAAAAATCCTATAAAATTTTATAATTATTCAGCAATTTTTTCAAGTATTTACTTCACCCTGAATAGACACGTATAGTTATTGATTAATGGATTAAATCCCAAAATACTTTTCACGCTGCAACATGTAACTTATAAGTTTTAGTTAAGCACGAATAGTTTTTTGATTAAATGCTTATTAGTCATAGATTAGGTTCCATTAGTACAGTGGTAGACGCGGAACATCATAATTTGGTCGTCCTTGTGTAATTCTGTAAATAGCTAATGGCCATTTTTAATTTCGCTTTCAAAATGACAAAAATAGTGATAACCAGTTGTCCATAAAAGCATTTTAAGATTTTGTTGTCAACGGAAGAAATTCGTGTTGTAACAATTTTTTTAATAAAACAATGATTTTCATAATTGTATTTTTTAGTTTCACAAAGTTTAATCTAAACACTTTGTGCCTCTTCCAATTTTATTAAAATTTATAAAGTGCATATTTTTATGTATTAAATTCATAAAAAGTACATAAAAAACTGTTAATATTAAATTTTAAAGACACATGTTGTCCCAAAATGACGAAATAACACTATACCACTAAAAAATTCAGACAAGTAGTTTTTATGTTATGTTTGACAAACTCGTTGTGATATTCAAATGAGGTAGCTGAGGTTGACATCGTTGACAGTTGTATTTAAATCATCGTAACGTTGCCATTAATAACAAATTTTTACTTTTTATTTTGAATCGCCATTAGAAAAATATTTTTAATCTTTTAATACCTACTTATTTTATTAGACATTTCCTACCTGTACTATAATGAGATCCATTATAATACAAATGTTTCATTACAATACAGATTTTTAACTAATAAAAATGCAATACATGGCAATATTAACCAATAGAAATGCAATAAACGGCAATATTCTGTCAATAGATACAATATTTATTTATCTTGACAAGATTATGTTTACATAGAAAATTGTTAAAATTTAAATTTTTAGTTAAAATTAGTGATCATGTGCGATAGTGAATGTGAAGTTGAAAATTTAACCCCGCCATAAATTGTAACAGGCCGCAATAGCCGCAAAGTATTAAGACACTCGCACAGTCGCACCAAAAAGGGTTAAGTCCTAGCCCCCTTGTAATTAAACAATGAACATTTTAATTATAATTTTTTACATAGAATACTTAAAACTTTGTATAGATAATGGAAATTTGTATTGTTTCCAGGAAATTTTCATAACAATTTGTTTTTTGTTTTAAATACTTGCCGTGGCATTTTCACCTTTTTTAGAACACAATTTAAAATTAAAATTCAACATTGCCGACTATGCAAAACTATTGGTGAATAATCAATTGAGATTTATTTATAATAATAGTTTATTAATAAAAAAGTATATCTGGGAAGGACAAGTTAAATAAACTAAAGATTCGTTCTAAAAAAAAATACAATAATTATCTATTAATTATAGAATTCTATTTATACTTACTGGTTAATAATAAAAATAAATTGGTACGTTTTTATTTTTATTAAAGATAATTTAATTGAATGAAATAAGTATTTTGATTTAAAACAAAATCTAATAAGGATAATTCATTTTTATTTAAAATACAAATCCAACTTAAGTCGGTTTTAATCAAAAACATTTTGTAAAATATATTAAACACAAATTTTGTTAATTTAAATGTCAATTGAATTGTTTTGCAGACATTATTGCGATACATTTTTAATAGAGTATAAATAAATAATATGAAACATATTTTAATTAAAATTTAAAATGTATTATTTTTATACTTGAAAGCATAATGCTATGCAATTTATTTAAATATATATCTTTAGGTTTCCTGTTTTTTGACAACAAATTACCGGTTTTTAAAAATAAGAAAATAACATAAGATTTTTGATATGAAAAACAAGCGCATTTAAATTGGTATTTAATTAATTTAGTTATTTTAAAAAAAATTGCAAATAAACTACTCAAAACGAATTAAAATTGTTTATAACTTTTAAATAAACAATTTTTTTATTTTTTAACTAGTGTTAGTTTTGGGAAACATAAAGGTTTTAAATGCGGTATATATTTCTTAAATCAAATAAAAAATAAAAGATTAGAAAATAAAAAATCTAAAAAACTAGATTTTCCACGTTTTTTTTTAATACATTAAAAATAATATATAAAACAAAATTAGTAATGTGTGTGTCCTCCCCTGGCTAGCTGAACTTCTTCACATGGTCTGGGCATAGATTACACCAAATTTCTAATAATATATCTGGGAATATTGTTCCACTCCTGATGCATTTGTCCCAGATTTTGGGGCCGGACGAACTCTCATCCTTCTCTGAAGAACATCCCAGAGATGCTCAATAGGATTTAAATCTGGGGAGATTGCAGGCCACTCTAAAACCTCGATATTATTATCTTCAAGATATTGTGTGACAATACAAGTAGTGTGGGGTCTCGCATTGTCATGCTGTAGAATAAACTGTGGACCTTCTTCCACTGCAAATGGGACTATATAGGGTTCTACAATATCTTCCAAATACATATGAGCATTTACCACACCATCTCGAAAGAGATGAAAACCTGTACGTCCCGTTAAAGTTATGCCTTCCAGAACATAAGTGAGCCACCTCCAAAATGAACAGTTTCTGTTACAGTTGAATCTAAAT